AAAATCTTTTCACGTTAGAAATCTCTACATTTCTAAGAACATGTTCATTTTTCAGCAAACAGCAGTTTGAACTCAATGTGGTTTGTAACCTCCTGCAAGAACGTCTTCAATTATTGAGCTTTACAATAAATGTGTTAATTTAGAAGTACTGCTTTGTCCACAGGGGGCACCAAAGTGACACAAACAGAAATCCTCATAGAAGCGTATTTTGAATATTAGCATATTAAAAAACATACTTTCTAACTTGGATTAAGAAACCATGTTGAGACAAACTTTTACCAGTTTGATGATCTGCTGATTAATCTTTTTGGTCTAAAGTCATTATTGAGTCAAACCTGAACATCCAGCCCATGGGGGGTATCAGAGGGAAAGATAACTTGTTGCAATTAAGTTTTGGTCCGGTCTGTGTTCACACTGTCATTTATCAAAACGTACCTTTTTTGTAAACAAATTATATGTGGTCTACAGAAAATTGGTCAGAAAATTTGCGAGGGAAATCCCTTTCTGTCTTTTTTTTCTGTAAACATTGGCTTTGACAGCTACTATATTGATATGGTGCTGTAACCAGGACAGATGCAGACATGTGAGCCATGACTATAGACTGTATGACATGATTCTGAGGATACGTTACCGAAGGAGAAGGCAGGCCCTTATGGGTGCCTATGATATGTTTTCTGTGTAGTTATTACACAGGAGACGAGTGAGGTATGTTTTCAACATTAGGTGGATTCTAGTTGACCTAGGGATGGGATGTAAATCGTTAACGACTGTAGTATTGATTTCTGACGTAACCAGTCTTTTCACCAGTAGTTTCCGACATTTTGGTGTGATAAATTATAACACGTCAGCTTCCTCCTCCTCTCTGTTGGGCTGCTGGTGCTCACAGACTCTCCGCTTCCTATTCTCTTTGCTGGTAATGCACATCCGTCTTCAACCCATGATGGTCCTATTAAAAGTCTGCTTACGTTCTCACCTAAAGCGAACCAGACCATGGTTCACTTCGAACTGGACCAAGTCCCAGCTTTTTTGGGGGACCATGGTCCATTTGTTTGGTCTAACAAAAGTTCGGACCATGGTCCAGGGGAGTGTTCAGACATTAAATTTTGGTTCGGATCAAACTGAAAAGTCCTAAAGTCTGGACCAAATGAGGCTAGTGTGAAAGCAACCTAAGACTGACTTGAGTTTGAGCTATAACAAAGCTTCAGTGAGGAATTTTCATTTTGTGGCAATTTTGGCACCCCCTGTGGACAAAGCAGGCCTTACTTGTCCTCCACATGCTGAAGTTGTGTCTTCTAACAAAAAATATCCTCCTGTCGACTTTTGACCATCAAATGGATCATTTATGGTGAATATTTCTGTCTAAATGTAAAATGGGAGCTGTTTCTGTTACAATTACACTGACCCCATAACTCTGATTTGAAGCATTAAAAATTCAGATTAAAAAACAGTTTTGTCACTGATGATCTTGTTTGCTTTTGTATGTCACAAAAAAATGGAGTAATATAGATTTAAATGCAAAAACTCCTCACAGAAGTATGTTAACTAAATGAATTACTCCCTACACTATCTATAACACTAAAAGAGTCCTTTTTACTACAGCAGTGACCTTCATAATTTCCACATTCATGTTCTGTCCTGCAGGTTTTCGTGATTTTAAAACAGGAACAGAAATCTTGAAATGACTGCTTAAAAATCCCAAACTGATGCAATCACTGAGTAAAACCCACCCTGCAGCCTCGGTGACCGCCTCTCTCTTCACTCTGACCTCTTTCATCAATCTGTAATTTTTCACACTAAAACTCAAAGTGCACACTTTGTTCAGGATTCGCAGTCATGCGTTTCTCTGAAGGCATTACTGGAGCTGCATTAAACATTTTAGGGAGTTTTCAACTCTGCATACAGCACGTGTGATTTGGCTTAAAACCTGTTTATTTACAGCAGGAACATATTCAAACAGATAAACAGTCTCCAGGAGCTGCACAGCATGAGGTCTGCATTTTGTTTTTCTAGCTTCACACTCTAAAAGAGTGTTTATGACTGTCTACAGGCTCTTTATTCATCAGAAATTACAGGAATTATTTAAAGGGAAAGGTTTGAAATGAGACAACACACACTTCTAAATCACATCCATCAAATAATCCTCATATTTATATTTTATTTTTCAACATTTTTATACATTTCTTTCATAGTAACAGACTCTTTAATATGTGCATATACAAATGTAAAGAAAAATGAACAGTACCATAACAGCAGAGCTTGTTTCTTGCTCAGTTTTAAGAAATAAAAGCTCCAGTTTGGTGTTTGTGTGTTTAAGGATTTCAGCTCATGTTAGTGAAAAAAAGACAAAAGCAAAAGGGAACGTCTGAGGCACGTTTTTCATCATTTCAGTCCCCTTCTGTTAGAAAACCACCAGAGTCTGAAGCACTGCTGCTGTGAAGCAAAAACTAACAGGAGAACATTAATATCAACAGTCTGCACACAAAGAAACATGAAAAACTTTACAGATCATAAAGAAACAGCCTGGACTCTTGATAGGACAGTTTTGACTTTTAAAATATGGCTGTGTTTGGCCGGACCGGTGTTTGGAGAAGCTTTCACAGGATCAACATTTAAAGAGATGGAAACAGAAATTTCTAAGATGTTTGAATAAAAAAATCATCAAACTATGGCAGCCCTGAAGGTCAACTACACAGACCTATCATGACCGTGAGACGTTTCACTGAAACCCCAAAACACTCAACACTGAAATATCTAATAAAAAGCAAAACTCATTTTTGAAATGCCAAAGATTAAAGAAAAACACAAAAATATTTGACAAATTTTTGGATGAAATGCAAAAAGCCCATCTCTGTAAACAACAAATATATTCAATCAAATTCAGAAATATTAAATATAGTTTTGCATTCTGCAGTGATTTGGGGTTTCATGTATTTTTCAAAGTTTCATTAAATATTTTTTAATTAAAAAAAAAAATCTGGTGAAATGCATTTTTGTTGTGTGACACATTTCTGTTTCAAAATATTTTTGTGAATATTTTTTTCATTGCAAAAATATTTAGGCTTTCCAAAAACTTCAGTATTTGTGAAATGTGTTTATGTTTTCACAGATTTTTTTTTCATTTTATGAAATATTTTGTGAATTTTTGCATTTTATGAAATGTTCATGTCAATAAAATGCTTTTTTGTGATTTTTTTTTTTTTTTTTTTAAGCGAACTTTTTTTTTTCTGATGAAATATTGTTACATCTTCTAAATGAAATGTTTTTGTGTTTTGGGGGATGTTATTCATGGTCATAATTGTCTGTTTGCCATCTGGGCTACCGTAAAAATGATTCAATAATCACAAACATTCATTCTCTTTAGATCCAATAATTAATCATTTCACACTCAGAGAGCTAACACTGAAAGAACAGCAGTTTACTCTCAAAAACAAGGAAATAATCCTGGTGGACTCTAAACTCTGAGCTCTGCACAGCTGTGCTCGGAGTTAGGAGAATAAAAGTGCTTCATCCAGTTAATCGAACGAAAAGCTGTTTCACTTTAAGCGCACATAACATTTTCTGATTATTTACGCTGCTGCAGCTCCTTTTTTCTATCCTGATCTGATTTTTTTAAGCTGCACATTCTGCCAAGTGAAATGTTCAGATCAGCTGTTTATTAAAGAGACAACAAAAACAACAAAAATAAGATTAGATCTCAGGAATTACTTTTATGAATCCATTATCGAAGAAGAAGAAAAACAAAGTCTCATTTATTGGAGATTTTGGCATCAGTGATTCTGCAGTTGTGCACGACGGCCAAACTGGATTGTTGGTGTTGGTTGTGTATAATCCTTTCTAATATGTGAATATGAATGATGTTGTGAACATTCAGTGGGGGTAACCATGGTTACCCAAGGCTATTATTACGAAACAGTTCACCTGGAAAACTTGGTTTGACCAGTGTAAAAGAGCACATGCATGCATCATTTCTAAAACCTGCAGGAGAGTTTCATATTCAGATTTTCTTTTTCTCTTATTTTGACACTTCATGGCTTTAACAGCTGATCCACAGTGTGCAGCATGCACGGGAATATAGATCATGTCAAAGTCAGAAAACAGCGATAACATAGAGGATTGACGCATGGAAAAAATATCAAAAGTAAAGGATTAACTTCAAACTTATGCTGTTTTTTCTTAAGTTTGAGGGGTTTTATTTCTGCTCCAAAGCAGAACATCACTCTGCCTCTAAGTCGATACCCTGCAAATTTCTCCAAAAACCGGGCTGTGAAGACACCCCTCTACCACAGCTGTGTTCATACACAGAGAACTCCCGAAAACATCCTGAAATTTTTAGGACGAGCTGCACGTATGAATGCAAACAATCGGAATCTTCATCCCCACTTTATCTAGGATTTTTCCTGCCAGCTAAAATTTCTGCACGGTCATAATGTTAGAACTCAGCAGGGGGAAACAGGAAAATCCACTGCAAGTGGGGGTGATGGTGTTGGCTTCAAGAGCAGACCTAGAAATGTTCATATATTTGTGACAGTGGCTTACTACAGTAGATAAATTGAATATTAATAAGTACCTCCTGCAGCCCCATTCAAAAAATCTGAACTATCGCTTTAATGTTCATAAGTGCCACATTGTTAAACTGACTCACTTGGGGAAAAGTTAACCGATGAACACATTCATCACTCTCTACTAAAAATAGTAGGTGGGAACAGCAGTAACACAGCAGGGGAGTGCAGAGCAGTGCTTCCTCGGTTTGGATCCAGCATTAGTTTGCCAGCTCAGCAAAACTGCTCCCAGCTTTAAAGGGAAAATATAATTGGTTTATTTACACTGCATTTTATTTTAGAGTTCAAATAAAGCGTCATATTCACAATCACACATGCTTCAGCAGACAGACCGTACAAAACACGAGTATTTGTGTGGAACTGATGGTGAAAATTTGCCCCTGAGAGCTGCACTGCTGCATGAGGACCCAGAGGACACACCATGTGTCCCTCCTGCTCCTCTCAGTACGTGCGGGCTCCTGATTTCACATCCTGCTGCTGGTTGAAGGGGTTCGCTGTGGTGGAGGACTCCTCCTGTTGGTCAATGGACTGGTAAGCCTCTCTGTTTCGCGTTACTGAGGGAAAACCTGCAGAGACAAGCCCAAGATGTCTTCAACACACAAACCCCCACCATGCAGATGTATAATTAATTATCACATCAGCGTCTGTGACTAACAAAGAGTAGAGGAATATGCATATAAAAGCCGTAAGCAGCAGAAAGAAGCCATTCTTTGAAACATCTCTCTTTCTCTTGCTGCAGAGGGCCACGATTTTCACTGGGGCAGCAAATTAAGAGACAATGCAGATTTTAACAAACAGAAAGTGTTGAGGGAAGCTGAGAATATGCACAGGACAAATTAGCATCTCAGGCTCCAACAAGTACAAACACACTGAACCTGGCCAACCTGGTATAATGCACTTTTACTCTAAAACAGGAGCAACAAGTTCTGCAAAAGGTAAGATGATGGAGTGTGTTTAAAACTTTTTGTTTTTTTTCCTTTCTTCAAAACTTAAGAGGACGAAACTACAGACAAAGACAGACCTCCTCCTTCAGACTTGGAGCTCTTCTGCTTTAATGACTGGACTTGAATCACTTGCTGCTGTTTGTCAGATTTGTAGGATTTGACTTTTCATCATGTCAGGTTTGGCAGCATGTTTGATGTCAATGCATTTATCTCTGCTTTTTGTACCAAACTTTTTAATTGTTCAGCTGTCCTCTCAGAGTTTGCTGTAAAACTAAACCTCAAATTTACTTTCATTATTTGGCCTTTGGCTCGGGGTGAAAAGCTTTTCTCTTTTCTCACTTTTGTTCTCTGGAATTTTTAAACTGGTCTGAGTTTTTGTCTTTTTGGCACAGTAATACAGACCTCGGGTCAATGTTTGTACCTTTCTAAATGCATTTGGACTGGATGGTCAGGTTTTGGTTGTTGTGCTTATTTTGTGGTTTTGCATTTACTTTTTAGACTCTTTTGAAGTCGCAGCTTGTTTCTCCCTCAGAAAGATCCCCTTTGTTGTACACTTATCTTCTCTCACACACTTGAATTTTTTTCTAGACTTAAACTTCTGACCTCCTCTGGATAATTATACTATATTATCCAACTTATAATATCCAACATATTAAGTGCATCTTATTATCATTTCCCCATTTTTACATCTAAACAATCTTCAAATTTAGGATTCATTTTCATTGTTCTTGAAACTTCTTTAGGGAGGACACTATCTCATTGAATGACAGTTTTTAATGCTTTTATTTTGATATCTTTTCTGTCTTGCAAAAAGATTGCTTTTTATCTTGTGTTGTTGAACGATGCTTTTTTGAAATATAATGTAGGAGAGAAGTATAAATGTTCAGTTGATTTGTAACCCAAAGCAGCTCAAGCTTTAAAAGTTTAAAAATCTTGAACATCAGTTAAAAAAGTGTTGAATCATCTCTCAGAGGGATGATACATCTAACTCACAAGCAGCAGCCGCTTCTTCTTTGTCCAACCTCTGTGTGGCATACAGCGTTAAGGACCACTGCTATTATTACTTACTTTTAGGCTTACTTTTAACACATTATCAGACAGCCTGAAATCTACATCAAAGTTTCCTGAAACCCTCAAAAACACCTTCAATTTGCTTCTTACCCCAAAGCAACACTTCAAAACCTCAAAACTTTTCAACAAGCACAAAGGGAGCAAACTCTTACAGGAAAGAAGCTAGAAACACTTTTTTTTTTTTTTTTGAGATAGTTATGAAAGCAATTATTGAAATGTCAAAATATTTTCTTGTCAATGTCCAAATGTTTGAGTTGTATCAATCATGTCGCCTCCAAATCAAACTCAACAAACCAGGTCACGTGTTGCAGCATTTCCTCTCATTTCTCCTCTTTCTCTTCATATCCACAACTTTCTGGGGAGCTGCTGACTGAAAGAAACTTAGTCATAGAAACAGACCAGAGTCTATAATCTGAGAACTCATCTGGAAGTCTTTCAGTGGTTTTTCCTCAGTGTGAGGGTGTTAATTCTCTTCATATCGAACTTGATGGTGACTGCTCGCTGGTGTAATCCACATGAAAAGTATTAAAGAAGCTTCTGTGTCACTGAGGAGGCGTTTACCTCTGCATGGCCCGGAGTCTTTCACAAACATGCACAAATTGATGATGATTTAAAGTTTCTGATCACTTCACTAATACACCTGCAGGGTTTATCATTTTTTTTATTAATTAATTTATTTAAAAGCAAAGTAAAACAGTCATAACTCTTTAAAAAGTTTACTGGTAATGCTTAGCAAACTTATATAAGTGTGCATTTCAAACAGGTCGCAGTCGTCGTCTTCATTATGTTGACTGTAATTAGGCTGATTTAAGAATGTGCAGCATCATGCAGCTCTGCTTTAAATATATGCAAACAGGAAACACAAACGCAAATGAGGCGTCTGGAGAGAAGAGGAAGTATAAATAATACATACAGAAGCAGAGACATACAAACACGTTTAAAACAGCGGACATGTACACAAACACAGTGATCGGACACAATCAGGCAGGTACGAGCAGGTAAGAAGGGCTGATTGAAGATGGAAAGAAAAATAATTTAAAAGAGAAGATCAAAAAAAGTTCATGTTTGTCCTGCAGCCGGGTTTGTAACCTTGCCTCCTAGGTAGGACAGGATGAAAAGGGATGATGGGAGGAGAGGGATGGTAATAGGAAGGGAGCAGGGATCAATAGCGGCGGCCGATAAAGGCACTGTCAGCGCTATCCGTAGTGCATCGGCTGTCCACAGAGGTCTCAAAGTCTGAGAGGTCAAAGGTCAAAAGTGGAGGAGAGAACAGAGGGAACAAAAGGAAAAAGATACAAAACAAATAGTTAAATCAAATCGAAAGAAAAAACCTTAAAGTGACAACAGTGACGGCCAGGCAGACTCTGGCAGAAGATATAACAAGCAAGAAAAAGGTGGAATTAGGATTATATGATTATTGACCAGAAATCAGACCCTCTTGATTTTCCTGATATCACACTGAGAGTGGCAACCTTAAATAATGATCTAGTCCTGTGTCACATGGTGAGTGAGTAACAGTTTGTGATCATTTCAACATTTTTCCCTTGAAGCAATAACAGCGGGATGCATCAGGCCATATCCTAAGTAAAACAACATATTTAACAATCTTCATTAACAGGACCAAGGCTCACCTGATCACTAATGCCTGATCTACGTAAACAAGTCTGACTTATTCCATCTCTGTCTGTTGACACTGTGGCAAAAAAAGTTAGTTTCTATCTCAGGCTGGTCAACAGAGTTGGAAAGTAAAGATGGTTAGAAGAAAAATGAAGCAACACCCTGTCCTGCAATCTGTGCAACGATCTAGAGCTGATGAAATCATCCCTACGCTGCTAAAAACTAGAGCTACCACAATATCATATTCTTAGCTCATAGTTACAAATACCAAAAAGCATTAATGGTAACATCATCACAATAATTATGCAAATTTGGTATTAAGAAAACATAATCAAGGAAATTAGGGAGGATAAAAGTGAAGCAACATGCTAATTTTGGACTTCACCAATCAACGCAATTAGAAAGTAGATGAACTCACTGTATGATTATTTGTGATGCTTTTGTTTTATAATTTACTGTTTTGTTTTTTTTTTTTTTTGTTTGTTTGTATGTTTTAGGTATCACAATATTATACTTGTGTTTTGAAAGGAAGTACATGCCACATGTAAGGTAAGTTAGAGCTAGCATAAATGTATGCATGGCTTAAAGTTAACTTTTCAATTTTCACACCAAACTGGATTTTAATCAGAAACTAAAGATACGTTTTTAGCCCCTGGATAATTAGCTCACCTTAAACTTGAACCATGAGTCTATTGTAATGGAATAAAACCACATCACCTCCAGCGATCTGGTGGTCATAGCACATGCTCAGTTGCACAGATGAAGTAGAGCAACTTCAGCAAAATCCTTGTAGCTGGGCTGCCCAAACCTGTATGTCTTTTCACTCTCTTTAAGGGAACCAGATCTTTAGCTGTGCACAATGCCACTGCAGCAGTATTAGCTTCTCTTTGTGTCTCTTGTGCATCTCATAGAAAGATACATTTCTCCTGCTGAGCTGCAGACTTCTGTTGAAGAGGCTCTGACTTGCATAACAGCCTTATCACCACACCCATACATAAGTGATGCACATAGACTGTATATACTATAGACAACTTGGTTCCGCCTTCTGTCATTATACAAATTTGGAGCTGAATTGCTCTCGGTATTTCCGGGATTTTTTCCACTTCCTGGAACTGCCACTTGCGCAGTGGCGTTGTATGCATTCCGCGAGAGAGTCGCTGTGATGGTGCTTAGCTGAAACAGTGTCTTTGTATGCCCATAGGCTGTATCAAGTATCAATCATAGAAAACATGAACCACCTAATAACTTTTAAAAATGGAGCCGTACAGAAAAAAAGAGGACTTGAGCACAAACCAGTCTTACAATAACTACATGTCAACATTACAAGCAGGGGGAAGAAAAATGTATATTCTGTGTAATAAATTTCTAAAGTTTGTCCACAGCTCTATAGGGAATGCTGGGGGAGGTGTGATTTATGCTCTGTACTGCAGCCCGTCACCAGAGGGTGCTGTTCCCACAGTGGCTACACCTTGCGAGGAGGCAGACCGCATCAATTTTATATACAGTCTATGGTGATGCAACAAAACCAATGTTCATGGTACATGTAAAGCAACTTGTCCTGTCAGCCTTGATTTAATTAATGTAATTTATTTAATGTATCAATGAGCGTTAAAATAAAGCCAAAAACCCCAAATCTAAGTGATTTAAATAGGTGTAAGTTAGCTTCAAACTGTGCTCTTGAATCAACAACTCACTTTTATGCACCTGATTGCCTGGTTACCCAGAGTGCTTTTTACAGCAGGAGACCTTTTTAATGGCAGCCAATGCAATCAGACAGCAATTAAAAACACACATTGTCTGAAAGCAACATTAGCTATGTTCATCAGTCACTCTGCAGCCAATCACAGCGTAATGGGTGAACCTGCTGCGTGTGTGTGACGTTTGAGTCAGACCGCAGAGAGGGACGATTCATCAATATTCAATTATCCTCCAAGAGACAAATCAGGAGAAGAATATATGAGGCAAGGGCTACAATGCAAAGAATTTCTTTTATACTTTTGACACTCTGTAGTGTCATGAATAATGTTTTAATTTGGAAATACTGCAGTTAATAATAAATGAGGCTCAACTTCCCGGTTTATTTTTGCAAACAACAAGCATGTCTGGGCTCACTATCCCTTTAAGAAATCCTCCATCTTCCATTAAATTACTTAAAAATACAGGACAAATGCAGCTTTTTTTTATCAGTTAATACAGATGAAGCCATGTGTGACAGTTTCAAGTATTTAAGAGACCAGCAGGCGTCACAGCTCAGACAGATTTCTGATGGAAAAGCTCTCAAAAGACTAAAAATCAATGACCACACATGCTTTAATCACATCTCCACCACTCACGGAGAAGTATACTCATTTCTTATTTGCTCACACATGCAGAGAGCAGTCATTAACATCTCTAAACCTCTAAATCTGTGGACCCCTGTCTGCTTACCTGGCCCTGCCTGCATGGTTTAATTCTCCCTCCCTGCTGCAGAGGAAATCTGCAGCACTACATAAAGAAAATAATCTCCAGGCTGCAGCACTTGAAACACCTTGTGACTCTGACTTGTTAGTTTGACTGCAGGATGATCTGCAAGTGGTTTCGCACAGAGGCTTCACATTTTGTGCTGCACTTGACAGGACTTTCCTGACAAACTGCATTAAACAACACATGGAGGAGCTCAAAGCACGGCTGGTCACACACAACACACTGTGCATCCAGCTTTGGTCACACTCAGGGGTGGGGGATGTTGTGTTCATGGGGGCTGGAAACCTTCACATAAAAGAGACTTACTCACTAGTTTTGAAATTATAATCCTCAAAGTTTTTCATGTTTCTGTGTTTGTGTCGTCCTGTAGCACTTACCAAAGTTCACGTTGTAATCCCCTCCACGTTCACGGTACATTTGATAGACGAAGAAGCAGGACACTGGTTTGATTAGCAGGCTGAGGATGGCCATTCCCGCGCTGAAGCGAAACACACTGTTTCCTCTATCTATTGACAAGTCATTGGTCGGGTAATAGATGCTGAAGTGGATGATGTCAGTCAATATCGTTAGGAGCATTCCCATCAGGAACTGCCGGAAAAAACAAAACAGGAATACAAATTTAATTTACAGAGTCTGTTGGGCTTTTGAAAGGCTGTCAAATGATTTTTTTACCACGATTAATGGCATGATCGTCTATGGTTAACTCACAATTAATCGCAAATTCGTTTTAAATGTTGCAGATGACACTTTAAAGGATATGTGTCAAATTTTTAATGCTGATCAAAATAGGGCCAGACAAATACTGCAGACACTATCTGCAAATTCAACATTAATATTATCATTGCATTAATCCAAAACAAACACTGTTTGGAGAAATTCTCCAAAATTATCTTCATACTAACTATGGCATGCTCCAAAATATAGAGAGAGCTAATCAAGACAAAGTAAAGCCCAAAAACCAACAATAGATGGACACATCTGGATGCACAGCACGCTCCACAAGCCAAGTCATTGCCAACAATCTCACCGTATGAACAGTGTCATATCGGATTACCAAATTATTGATTTGATTAAGTTCAGAAGCAACGCAGTCATCTATCAGAAAGTTTTAGATCACCCAACGGCTCCATCTACTGATATACTTCTCCAGTAGGACTTGGCTCCTGCCCACAGTGCCAAAACTTCTGCCATACAGTTTGCTGACAATGGTATGACTGTGTTTCTTTCAATGCAACTAAGAGAAAAACCTGTTTATTTTTTCCTTTAAACAGCTGAATAGTCAAATCCAAATGTTGCCCTGAACTGAAGGAAATCAAGTAAATATTTGATGAGTATACAAACAGAAACCACTGTAAATACTTGAGATAGTGAAGTATCATAACATGAGGAAGAAGGACTATATGCCAGATCTATCCCACAGAAATAAAGCAGTGCATTAGACGCTCTAAAAAAATCCTTTTCCACCATTTTATGGCCACAAAGCTCCTTCCCTGAGCTCTGAGTGAGATTTTTACCCCGTGAAGTACGCAGAGTAAAAGGTCCTCCTGTGGTTTCCTCCCATGGCAGTGATTGACTGACTCTATAAATGTCAAAAATACCTTCAAAAATCACTAAGAAAAGGATTTTTTTTTTTTCTTGAGGTGTTTCTTACCTGTTATGTTTTCAGTCAGCCTGAGGCAGATTTCACAAAGATAAACTGTGACTCAGATTAAACTATAGGACTTTTGTGATGAATGATTGATTGGTTTGTGAAGTGGTCCAACTTTTGAAAGATGTCTACACTCATCCATGTCATTCTTGATTTTTTTAACAATTCAGAGTTTAGAAAGGGACGGGACTTTGGACATCAACTTCGTCAACAGCAGTCTTGTCTTCTTCAAGGTCTTCACAGTAATTTCTTTTCTTGCTTTTATTCTCATCTCTCCTGTGAACGGGAGCATTCAATCCTGTTCAAACAGTTTCTACAAACACAAATCCAGCTCATGGCTGGATGCTGTGATGGTGAGCCAGACACATGTCCCATTAAGAAATCTTGCTGCGATTAGCTTCAGAGTAAATCTCTGCTCACTACTCTCAGTGTTGGTCTATACTTAGAGCTGGGTTAATTTGGTGGATATTTTCAAGGTTTTCAGTGCAGATATCCAGCACTAATATCCTCTCTTAACTGTGTAAAGACCTTGAGACTTTCCCAGAAAATTTGGATGAGCTTGAATTAATCCAAAAACCTTCCAGTGACAAAGAATCTCAATGATGTGGAGACTTACAGCAGAGCTGAGAGGCTTTGGCAGGGTACAATGTTTGTTGTAAATCACCAGTTCGGCTCAGAGTGGCTCTTTTGGACAGACAACAGAAAAACTGTCAACATCCTCACTGTTGTTTATTTGCAACAGGACTCTCTTCACCCCTTCAGAAACCACGTATCAGTACTAATTTCAAAGCTTTGCTAAAATCAGAAGTATAACTGCTGTTTTTATCAGGAACTATTTACCTCATTAGCCAACATTGGTATAAACAATGTTATCTAGAAATAGCCACTTTTAAGCTACAATTGTACTTAAAGCTCCTGTGATAAATTTTTCTGACATTAACAAAACTGACTAAAATTGATATTGAAAAAAAAAAAGATTTTCAATCTTCACACTGTAATTTTCTGCCTAAAAGTGGTGTGAGGGGGTAGGTGTCAGCCGAGCAGCTGAGAAAAAAAGCCCAATTTCTACATAAAATACTCGCAACAAATAATATAATTTACAGTAAAATAGCAGCAGGATGAGAGTTTGTGCGAGAAGGATAGACAATAACTTTAATGGCATTAAGCAAATGCAATAGTTACATTACAGTTAGTATTTCAGCTAAATATTTACCAACACAGTTAGCTAGTGTAAATCAGCAGTTAAAACAATTTGACCACTTTCTTACAAAAGCTTTAACATGAAATAATAAAATTCTTTGGTTATAACACATTATGGCGATAGCAAAACGAAGAAGGAGTAAAAGAATGCTAGTGAGCTATCTGTAGCAGACTTGTGAGTAAATCATTACTTAAAAAAAAAAAAGACATTCAAACAGACTGTGGACAAATTTAAGGGCTTGTGTCTCTTTCCACTTTATAATCAACTGAAAATTTTTACTTTTAAACTGTATTTCTAACTGTTTTAATTCAGTTTTTTACAGTGAACAGGGAGAAGTTTACTTCAAAATAAAAACATAATTTGACAATGCAGGATTTAGTCACAGGGCTGATGATGTTAAAAAATCGTAAATTTAAGGTAGCTGTTATCAGCATTAAGCTAACATAGCTAACATAAGCATAACCAACAGTTATTGGTCACCTGACAAAACACTGCAACTTGAAAACTGAAACATGTAATGCAGAAAATATATTAGCTCAGTGATTTTCAACCTGTGTGGCCAGAGTTCATACTGAGTGAGTATAAATAGATTTAGAAACTATATTACGAACTATATTCTAGGGATGCACCTAAAATTAAGCCACCTTAAGTTTTCAGCCGAAAATGGCCCAAAAGTGCATTTTCAGTCTTGGCACTTTTCTCCAGTAAGGGCTTGTCTGGATTAAAGCCAACATGTCTGCCGTGTGGATGTATTTCAATGTATTGGTGAACTATGGATAACGTTTGGCATAGCGTGTAATGCTAAAATTTCAAGAGAGGGTGAAACTGCCAAAAGTTTCTTCACGTCTGCTTTAATTTATCACCTGATATCCAAACATACAGATCATCATTCTGAATATGAGAAGAACAGGAAAATCGCTCTGAGCCAATCTGTGGCGGATGTTGCAGCCAAATAGACGAGCAGATGCTGAAGGAACTTTCACTTCTTCTCACTTTTATTGATAGATTTAACAGAAATCAACTCTGTACTTTTCTTGTCGCGTCTCTACTGTTCGCAACAGTTCTTCTCTTAGAACTTTTGAGTTGTTTTTGCCCCTGACTCGTGGGCACTATCTAAAGGTGTAAACCACTCAGAGAATGCAGCAACATGCTGACTCAAAAACTCAAAACTCACATTGCAATTGCACAAATTAATATTAATTTAGTATTTAGAATTAATCAATATGGATTTATACAATTGCAATGCCTTGATTTTAGTGAGATTCGTACGCAGTCATACCCATAAATGCAATGGTACTAATAATTGGCATAGTAATTTCTTTCGGTTTTCGGCCTTGGTTTCCTCATTTTTGGTTTTGGCCAAGAATTTTCATTTTGGTGCATCCCTACATTATATACTGTGCTAGGCTATAGAGTGTCATTTTGGTTTGTGGTGTGCCCCAGGACTTTGTCAATGTAAAAACTGTGCCGTGGCTCAAAAAAGGTTGAAAATACCGTATTAGCCGGTAGCTTGCTCGCTGGCTTATGTTGGCAAACTTTCATAATTGTTAGATTGCTCTCCTTGGCTAGCTAACGGGGTAACTTCTGCCAAAAAGTTTCATGGTGCTGATGATGACTGTTGTTTTAGGTAAGCCAGATTTTCAAATATATGGTTTACATTAATATGAAGTGGATGTTTGTGATCTATAAAGTCAAAATGGTAATATGGTAATAATAAGCCATGTGAGGAAGTAAGTATTGTAAGACATTATTGAACACTCAGCATTTGGGCATAACTTTCCAGAGCACAGGGTCAAAGAAATATGGATGCTGGTCATTCACAAGATATTTTGGACTCACTTGAAAGAAAATTCTGTTTTTTGGAGTGAATGGTAAAAAGGTTTGGTCAGCTGCACAAAATGAGGAAATCACTATAAAGTTGACAGTAAAATTAGTAATAAGTGATTTCAGACTTGGCTACAGTGGGGATAGTCAGCTTACAGTGATTGTTAAAGATGTAATCTCTGAGTGAGGATAGAGTTTCTAACTTTCTGGGCTTGGAATAAGTCACTCTCAATTCCAGTGAAACCAAATAAGGCTAATCCAAAATCAGCATGGGCCAAAACTGTGAAACCCCCCTGCTGCTGTAAGCTAATACACTGTGAAAGCCACTGTTACTGTACTCTTTACCAAATTAAGAGACGGCTATCTCTCTCAAAGGGATGCTCACAGATTGTCCCAGATTCCACACACAAATAGGTTAGCATGGACACGCATTACTGTGCCTAAAGTTAGACCCTGTACCTGTCACATGATATTAAGTTTGCAGTGTGCGTGAAGAAACCAAAGCAAAATAATCCAAGACTCACCATGAGCACAGCGTCGATTGAGTCCCTCTGCGCGATGGCCCAAACCCCGATGGCTAAAACACTGAAGTTCCCCCAGGAATAGGAGTAGGGAAGCCACGCCATGCAACCCCTGCAACAAACAACCCATGAAAGACAGCGTCACATTTCAGCATGAGGTAGACAGGTCTAGGAGAGGGCCTGAAACAAAATAGTGAGTCTCTGTGAGGGGATGAGTGAGCGCCAAAGGAGGAGAGAAATTCCTCAGGTTTGTGGAAAAAAGGCTGCGGGACTTACCATATCGAAAGCAGCCAATGCACCAGAACGATGGCCTGAGACAGAACACAAAGAGTTAGACAGAATAACTGGACTTTTTTAAAGACTATCCCTAAAAACTAAAATTAAGTATAGTGTTAAAAGCGCTGAGAGGGGTTTTTAAGAAGTTGAAAACATACTGAAACTGATACTAGTGCTTTTTTATGTCCTTCAGAAGCAAACAAGACCATCAACCACAAGCCTAATAAATTCACTGTAGTAATTTTAAAAGTTTAAACACAGTGTGTGTGTGTGTGTGTGGGGGGGGGGGGATGTCAAACTTCTCTAAACTTTTTGCACAGGCAATACTCACAGTGACTGATTTGTTTCATTTTTACAAGACAACTGGAGGAAGTTTTTGTCTGAAAATGCTACTTGGACAGGTTTAGGAAAAGTTAGAAGAGGGATTACTTTGTCCACAGGGGGCACCAAAATCAACACAAAGCATAAGTTTCTCATTGTAGCTTTAACTTCTAACTCATCTGTCAGTTATTAAAAAATAAACTCCCCCAAATATACTGCTGCTCTATTTTTTTTCCTCTTTATTCTTGTGTCAAAGCTCTTTAAAGAGAGTTTGTATCAATTTTGGCACCCCCCTGTGGACAAAAGCAGTTTTTTTCTGCAGATCTCATCCTGCTGACTTTTGGTGATGAAATATATCAGTGAATGCAAATATTTTGTGCAGGCAGTGTATAACTGTGCGTTTTACTAACACCAAAAATTGTCACAGGATCTTTTAACAAACCTCAAGCTGGAACCAGTAATTTAAGCTAAATACAATTTCTGACAATCTGAACAAGAAGGACCAAAAAACAAATAAATAAACCCAAAGGAGGACATGTCAGATGTCCTATGATCTTATATTCATCCGGTGAGTAAAGTAGGGGCCCTAAATGAACTTTGGGGCCCAGGATTTCCAGTGAATTGGTTCTAAAACTTGATTTCTAAATGCACCCAGTCCAAACCATGTGAGCAGAAAAGACAAGAAACTGCAGAGCTAAATGTAAAACATGTGATCTGTTTGCAGATGCAACATGTGAAGTAGCATCAGGTTTATTTGATTTCACAAATCCTTGTACTTCTTAACACCAATTTCTGACTTAAACATTATTCTCAGAAAATCCCTCCTTAATCTGCTTTAGTATTATTTTTATTACGTTTTCCTGCAGAGGTTTAATTCAAAGTTTTAAAGCCTTGAATAAAAGTTGCTCAACCTGCATTAGAGCGAATCAGCCTCAGAGAAAAAGCACAAAAAATGAATTTCATGGTTCTCCATTTTCAGAGGCTGTGGTGCATCATTCAGGAATTAGTTCACTTGCTTTCTTTTACATATTTTCTCACAAATACATCTTTCAGAAACAATTTCACCACTATGTTTAGCTCTCTAGCATCTTGTAAGGTTTCTAAATCTAGGAATAAACTCCTGGTCCTCATCTATGGAAAGATACCTGCCAAGTTTTGGATCTTTTTGAAAAGCACTCTTAACAAACTTTGACAGCATTTCACCAACAGATCTGTGTCACAACCTAAAGCAGGTAGTTGCAACAAAGAGGAACAACCTCTGAAAACTGAGCCACAAAGTTTGCAACATCATCGGCCTTTGCTTAAAATGCAACACACACACTCCTAACTCTAAAAACAAGTTCAGCAAACACTCACCTTTAGATTAATCGCAGGAATTTCCATAATATTCAATAAAACTTTGGATCAATTGGCTCCGCTACTTGTTGAAGGGGCTACATGAAAGAAAAGAGCAGGTTTTACACCAACTTCAGAGCTAAACTCCTCCTTCGCTCAGCTCAGCCTGCAAACAAAAACCATGTGACAGCAGCCTGACTGCTGCCCATGTGACTCCCACCTTCCCCACCTCTCCTTCCCTCCTCCTCCTCCTCCTCTCTCTCTGTTCAGCTCTGGCTTTCTGCCTCTTAAAAGGGGAGAAACCACATGGAGACAAACTTTGGTCACAGTTACTGTCAGATTCACAACTTTCTACAAGTTTTCTCTAAATGATGAGGAATGAAGTGTGTCTGTTTTCAGTCTTTAAAAGTCTAACAAAACTTTCTGCTCTAAGTGTCAGTTCAGCTGACAAACACCCAAATATATCTTATATCTGCACAGATTTAAAAGGATTTATCCCACTTATCCTGATATCAGGGTGACAAATTGACACGGCATGCAGCAGACCACATGTAGCAGTGATATGCTTGTAAAAGCGCTTAAGAGACTGTAGAGGCTTTTCACACATGCACCAGAATGTTAAATTGAAGGTTTAGTGTAAATATTTTTGCATTCAATCAATCAATTAATCATGTTAATCTGATTTTAAAGATGCAAGTTGAAAATTACAAAGCATTAAAAAGACAATGAAGTTTTAACCTTAAAAGTGTGAATTTAATTTAATTAAAAATTAATGATGCATGATGGTGGCATTAGTACTAATGTTGGTGTGCTGGCAAACATGATGAGGTATTTATCAGGTACAGTGTACAGGTACACTATAAACAAATGGGTGTAACTAAATACAACACTGCAGACAGCTCTGCACGCACAAATCTGGGGTGGACCTCACAAAGCCTGAAAAACAGCCAAGAGGTTATGAACAGTCATGGTTACCCATCACCTGACCCCCACCAATAGCAGAGCGCCTGTTCAAATTGTGTGAGTTCAGCTGCTGAATCACTAACTTCTTCCTCTGTAAAAAAAGAAAAAAAAGGGGGATTTTAATTCATAATGACATACTTTAAAGACCCACTCAGATGAAAATCATGAAAATCATGCGAAATTTCTTTTCTGAGTATTTCCTCATCCAAATAACTGTAAATCTCTGGCAGACCCAAATGGCAGGTTCAGAAACAGTGAGATTTCATATGTAATCAATCCAAGCTCCGCCCCTGGAGCTCTGCTATGCAGGCCGCACTCTGCATATAGAGGAGAAATACAGAGGACGATCACCGAGCAAGCGTGTGCATTAGCAGATTGCAATGCTCGTGAGAAAGCTTTTTATGATATTGACATTCATTATGTCCCTAAAGACATTTGTGTCCGAGAGCTGAATAGCTCCTATGTTACCTGCCACTTCCACTTCACTGTTAATATTAGGCTGCAAGCTAACGTGAAGACGAGTGTGCAGAGCAGCGCTGTCTCCGCCCACGACTCAGAGATGAAATGCTAATGAGCTACTGGAACTCTGCAGAAAAAAAGCTCTTGAAAAAATAGACTGTATGAAGAATGGATAGTGTCTGCCTCCTTGCTGGGTAAAGCCACTCCGACAACAGCACCCTCTGTTGATGGGCTGCAGTATAGGTCATAAATCCCGCCTCATCCAGCGAAGCTTTTGGGGCTGTGGACAAACTTTAGAAATTTGTTACACAGAACATAAATGTTTTTCCCCCCTGCTTGTGATGTTGACATGTAGTTACAGTAAGACTGGTTTGTGCTCAAGTCCTTTTTTAGGGGGTTCATGTTTTTTTCATGTTTTCTATGATTGACACCTGATACAGCCTTTCAGGGATTGAGGAGCTCTCCCGGGGGATACGCTGTTTGAGCCGAGCGTCATCACAGCTACTCTCGGCGACTGCGCGCCCAAATGCACGCATCACTACTGCACAGCACTGGTTTCAGGAAATGAGGAAAAATCCCGGAAATACCGAGAGCTTTTTGGCTTCAAATCTGTATACAGGAGGGAGGCAGAACCAAGTTGTCCATAGTATATACAGTCTATGGTAGAAAATGACACAGCTAATGCGCTTTTGGCTAAAAACCTCGTAATCACAATTTAAAGACCACTGAGAACACTTTAAGTAAAAAGAAAAAAAAAATTGGAGTGGGACTTTAAACATTTGACTCTACAGCTTTTGCAGCTCATGGTTTACCTTATGTATTATTACATAGCCTGTTAATAGCTACCCAGAGCAGCTTTTGAGAGCTTATATGTAGGACTAGCTCTGAATGTTCTTTAAGTGCTAAGCTGATGACACAGTTTGAGAGTTTTGAACTCAAATAACTTTCTTAACTTGTAAAACAACCATTCAAATTTGCATATGAATACTTAATATTAGAAAGACTTTTTATTCTCATTACTATTTAAATTGTAGATTCTCACTGAGGGCATCAAAACTATGAATGAACAGATGGAATCATGTGCTTCAGAAAAAAGTGTGAAATAACTGAAAACATGTTTTATATTTTAGATTCCTCAAAGTAGCCACCCTTTGCTTTTTTGATAGCGCTGCAAACTTTTGCTGTTTTCTCAATGAGCTTCACCTGAAATGGTTTTTACTTCACAGGTGTGCCTTGTCAGGGTTACTTCGTGACTGACAGAGTTAGTCACTAAGTACTTCTGTGATCAAGAGCAAAGGGTGGCTACTTTAAAGGAACTAGAACATAAATCTACATAATAATCTACAATGGTAATCTACAATGTAAATAGTCATTTATATCTATCTATATATATATATATATATATATATATATATATTTATATATATATATATATATATATATATATATATATATATATATATATATTTATATACAACCTTGACTCTTCAACCTCATTGTGGAGCAACAGGAAAACTTAAGCAACTCTGCTCAACTTTGATTCTGCAAATTTGTCATACAGAAACCAGATCATACCAAAGATTTCTTCACACTACTCTCCTTAGAAATAGAGCAACACTTTAAGCAGCCATAAACCAGGAAAATTTGGATTTTCTCTGAGAACTTTTAAAGATTAACGCTGAACTTTGTTTCACGCTACAGTTCCTCCTTCAGGCTGCGGGCGAGAAAATCTGCGAACTCTGTCGACAAAGTCATCGACCCCCATTCGCTGTGCACCATCCCTAACACAGAGGACGCTTATTTATTCCTCTGTCTGTCCTCTTATGCATTAGCTGATCTATTGTGTATGGCAGATGGCCCCTGACAGCGTGAACTCTAACCTCCTGATGACCTCTGACCCCAATGAGGAAGCACGTTCAGAGTTTCGGTGCTTTAATTGAGGGGCTCTAAAAGGCTTGGCTGAGTGTTTTTACATTTGTGTGAGTCAAAATTATATCAGAGTTACACAAATGTGAGGCAGGTTGTTTGAATTTTGGTGTGATTCTTACAGAAAGTCATGAGTGAGGAGCATCTTTGTCTTTCCTTGCTGGCTTTGATGGACACAGTGTGCTTGTGTCAGAATCTGCTCTACAATAATCTCCTGCTCCACTTCTCTGTTTGATTAGTCATCTGTTTATCATCACTGCAGCGGCAGAATTGTGTTTACTTGCATTTAAATGATTCCCACTCTTGAACCTTTGTCCCTGATCTCCAAAAGTTTTGTTAAGATAGTAACCTTTGTAATTAATTACTGGAGGAAAGCCTTAAGAAAGATGGAAGTGCCTTTGTGTTGCTGGTGATGTGAAGCTGCAGCTCTGCCGGGATGTGGCCACGTGTAATCTATCACTCGGCTGGCTGTCAGCCAGGTTTGAACAGGGCTCTCCACCCGAGCACTCTGTCAGAGGTAAGTATTAAAAATACATTACCACTGCTTTTATTCCCCGGCCGTAAATCAGGATGGCACAATCACGGTCCGGCTGAGCCGCTGGTTTAGGGAAGAAAAATGAGTCTCACTTTCTCCATCTAATCAAATATTGATACGGATGGATTTTCACAGGCCCTGTGTGTTCTAACAGAGACGTGCCGACTGTTATTGCTTGTACTTGCTCTAATGTGTCGTAAGCTTTGCGTTAAAAGGATCTGACACAGTTCAGGGTGGTTGGGAGATAATGAGCTTCTGAGATTGCAGCGTTCAGTTTAATACATGGAGATATATTGGGACTGATTACTGACTCAGAAATGCTCATTTAAAAGCAAAGAGTGAAAAAACTCTAGATGAAATCAGTTTAAGGAAATGGGATAATTTAATTTCTTCAAAAGCTTCAAAAAGAGGGATTTCCTTATTGAACTCAGGACTTTATCTGCATTTGAAGAGATTATTGGTGGGAAACAACATTACACGTATTAGAAATGTGCATTTAAGCAATAAGTGGTTCAATAATGGGGGTTTCTGCTATTTTTTATACATATTTTTTTTTTATTAAACTTCTTAAATTTGACATAAAATGACTAGGTTACACAGCAGCAGGCATAATTAATATGTTGATTAATATAAGGTCAAAAAACTAAAAGAAAGACAGTATCTAAGTGGAAATACTCCCATTAAAGCTGCAGTGTGACGTGTTCTGTGGCCTTTTGCAGAGCAGTGGAATCAAATATCCATAAATATTTTTAAATTAGTGTAGAAACCATCTGAATGTTACAAATATGTTAATTGTTTAGACTTCTATGTCTACATTAGACACGGTACCCTTCATCAGATACCACTATCATGCACCACCATGTTTCTACAAAAATGCAGAACAAACAAAATATAAACATAGGTGTTTTTATATTCAGTGACAGACCATGCAAAGTGCACAAGTTAGATAAAGAAGAGAGTGGTTATTATTATACAGTGACAGTGTAGAGCATTGACACAGATGAGTTTCTAGCCCACGATGGTAGCTGCTATATTGGAAAGGTCATCTTTTTGACTGAGCTGCAAATTTTGCTGTAAAACCTGGAATTTTAATGTAAGTAATATTGGGGATTCTTTGGAGTTTTGCAGACACTTTAACACTGGTTTAATTTCCAACATCAAAAGGTTGCCACTTGGGGATAACATGCAGTAAAGGATCGTGTTTAAGAGACCCCTGCAGCAGAGACTGTAGCCTGTGCTCACAGAGGGGGGTTTAAACTGCTTGGCAAACAAGCAACTGATCAATTTCTTCTAGAGAGTCTTAATAATTTGGTCATCCTCAAGCCTGAGAAGGTGGACACAAAAAGTCCACACGATGTGGTCTGAATTTGCTCCTGTGGTGATGTAACGATGGAAATGATATACGTAAACATATATGCAAAATCTTTAGCTTCCACCCACACTGTTGTGGTTTGATTTTGGTGTCACATAGGCAGTATTTTAAAGGTTAGTGTCAGATGAGCAAACGTCTCTGCAAAAACCATTAAAAATGGTTTGTTGTGTCAACCACTTGCTTCAACATCAAGGATCGGTGAAAAACAAGTTTTGCCTCTACAATGACCCTCACGGAGGATCTTGCAAATAAGGAAGTTTGTGACTCAGGACGTTTATCCTAAGTGTTTATTCATCAAAACAACGACAAAAAAAAAAGAAAGGAAAAGAAAAACACAGTATAAGGACAAACATGTTTATGTACGGTATAAATAATCATCATCGGGACATGTTATCATTCTACCATTGAAGTACATTTGAAGAGAAGTCAAGTCAAAGAATAAAAAGTTCAAACACATTTATATTTACAGTACAGGACAGCAGACTGGCTTCAAACAGATTTCAGACGTAATGTTCAAGGAACAAACATCCCAAACAAAAAAAGGTTTAAAGAAATTCAGCTTCATGTCTGGTAGCTTCCTCGGAAATAAAAAGTTCCTAAAGTGGTCAAAGACCCCTGATAACAGTAACACAATACTAAAAATCCTTTGTAAACATTATTCGACTTATATAAGCAGGACGGAGACGATCAGATATGACGGACATTTGAAAGGTCTTGTCATGTGAATCTTTCATGCCAGTTTAAATCAAATAAAAACTTTTTCCTAAACATGTCCTTGTTGACTGAGTGGGTTTTAAAATGCCCCCTTCGTCAGCTCATATTAATGACCTGTATGTTTAAGGGACTAAAGGAACCAAAGTAAGTTTAAACCTGATGAGTGGATTTCAACAGAGCTTGTAAAACATGATTATCTGGATTAAATGTTGTGACTGAAACATCCAAACAGTGTTTCCACTCATGTAAACTTTCAATCTAACTGCACATGAGATTACTTTTAAATGCTTCACAATGTGGGATCAATTAGAAGTAACAGCAGGCTGTCATCATGTGATGTCTTGGCTGAATCATCAAATGTCATGGGGTCCATTTTTCCAGTTTTTCTTCCTTCTTCAGACTCCTCCTCCTCCTCCTCTTCAGATGGTGATGAAGCCTCCTTGGTCACTGCTGACTGACTCTGGCACCACACAGCGGCCCCTCCGCCTGGTCACACGCCGCTTCCGGTGGAATTTGGCGTAACAGCGAAAGCCTGAGGGTCACAAAGAACCAGTTATCTGACGCACCCTCATTTCAGCAACAAAGGCCAAGTCCTTTTACTACTCAGCCTTCACTGCTAAACTCTTCGCAGCTAACAGCAATTTCCAAGATTATTTGTTGGTTGCCTGGCAACTGTTCAGACAGTTCAGTGGCTGAAGTTTCATATTAACAGTTCAGATATTTAAGTTATATCAGTGTTTTTATCAAACTCTCTGCCAGAGAGCAACTGTCTTCCAATCACATCTCTCCTTGTGAACTTGTGATAAATCATCCAAATGTACAGAGCACTGTTTGACCGTGGGTTTCTTGACTCACCTTCCTCACACATGCAGTCATCATAGCATTTGTTATTGAGTCCTCTGTTGTGAGGTTTACACTCATGTTGTCGTAGGTCACAACAGGAACCTGAACAGAAAAAGAAAGCAAAACTTTGTTAGCCCAACCAGCCTGATCTCACCATTTGAATGATGGAAACACAGAAAAATGAATACACATGACAAGCCTGCTGTAGTTCTATCTATCTACTGTCAGCCCTTCACTCTGAGCAACCGGGGCCTACAAGATGATGAACCAATTCACGGGGTCCATTTTTCTTAGCTTATTTTATTTTATTTCATCTTTGTATCTCTCACTGTGGTTTTCATTATTATAAAAAGGAGGGGGGATCAGTTTGAAATCAGTGATGGTACATAGGACGCCTAAATTGGCACAAAATGAAAGTCCCTCCCAGGCGATTTAGTGCCGATGTCCACTACAGGCAATTTTAGAGCTCAGTGTTACCAGCATATAATAATGCTTTTGGGCTGCTGTTTTTTGTCACTATGCTCACAGCACTTTGAGTTGCAAGCTCGTCTTATCCTTTACTGACTAATCAAAATTAGGAAGAAGCAGGGGACACAAGTCAAGCTTAGTGATTTAAGAGAGTACCCCATGCATGTAAGCTGTAGTCCTTGTGTAGTGGTCACAGGCCCTGACTATTTGCTGCACGTCAGCCCTCTACTCCCCACATGTTCTGCCTCTAATCAGACGGCAAAAACATACCCAAATATTTGTTTTAAAATTTAATTAATTTAAAAATAAAAAGGGCACAACCTCTGATATCCATTCAGACATAAATAATGATGGAGGGGCCTGACTCATTTGTCCAAGGTATAGTTCCCTAGTCTAGACCTCCTGCTGACTTTGAGTCATGACTCCATGTTTCTTGACAAAATTTCCCAGAATAAAAACAAACATGAAGCACATGGACCAGTTTAAATCAAACCTGAAGAAGCTAACTGAATCTGAGGTGTCCAATGCAAAAACACTGTTAGTGTGCACAGGCCCTAGAGGCTTGTGTGGCGATGCAGTCCTCTTTTGATTCATAAGATCTTTCTGGATGTATTTCGAAACACTGAGAAGCTGTTATATGGGTCCTTAAACTATGTCTTGGAAGTTTTGTTCTGTGCAGCACGACACGCTGTGGTCCAGATAAAGCCGTGTGATGTTGACTGACCTGGCAGACAGTCGAGGTGATGATCACAGGGCTCAATGGCATCGGCGTCTACAGTCACATTTCCACTGCTCAGGTTCTTACTCCGCCTTTTATCTGCAGCATCAAACAGAGGAAGAGGCCAGACATGGGTTAGGTGCAAGTAAGTCCCCAAACCCAGTGGAGAGAACAGGAATCCGGCTTCTGTGTTGATGCATGGGTTGCAGTGCATTACTATTTAACAGCAGTAATCTTGTATTGAAGGAAACAACTTTTATCAGGGACTTTACCCAACACTGGCTGTGACAATTAGGTGATCACAGAGCCGTGATCATGACCAACGTGATGATGTTGGAGGGAAGAGTAAGAGGGCTAGATGACTCCAAATCACTAAAGAGATTGTGAGGCCTTGATTCACCAATCGATACAGTGCGTCTGCTGGATCTGGCTTTAATCTTGCTGGGATCATGTCCTCAGTCCTCAACATCACAAACACCATCATTGTTCTCAGATTATGAGCTGATTACTGACCTTTCTTCCTGGATGATGGCCAGGTGTCTGCAGGTTTCATGTCCTCGTAGTCAGTCCAATCAAAGAGCGCCATGTCCAATGTTGGCATCACCTCTCCTTGTCCCTTCCCTCGTCCAGATCTCTGAAATAGACAAACAACTTAAGCCTGGTTTTACTTTTAATGACTGTGTGATCTATATTTCAGCAAGAACATTTGCATACCATCTTAACTCACATCTTATATAAGAAATCCAAACCAGGGGACTCAAACATGCTGATATGCAGATTTGTAAACACCTTATCCCATCTCAGATTAGTTTCATCCCGCTGTGAGAGTCCCACCTGTCTTCTTTATTTACGTTTCCAAACAAAAATGTGATAAGAATATGAAGATGTGTATTAAAAAGTAATCCTGAATTTCACACAATCCCGAGAATCCATCAGAGAGATCAATCCTGTCTCCTCTGATTAATGTTCAGTTATGGCAATTAAACCGCAGCAGCAGCAGACGACTGAGGTTTGATTTGTTGACTCTGTTTTCTATCTGTGTTGCAGGTAAACACATTCAGGGTGTTCTTAATGAAACACATCGGCCTTGTGTTGAGGCGAGCAGCGGTAATGCTTCATTGATTCATAAAACGCCCGCACAGAGAGCAAGCAGCGGCAGAGCTTTAAAAACCAATCGATTGGTAACAGAGAGCTCTGCTGCACACAGCCTGGAATACAAATAGAGTTTGTCAAAGCATTATTATTCCTAATAAATAAACAACATACAGAGATATAGATTGAAACATACAGCTCATTACACACAGCCGCGGGATTTATTGCTCACCAGTGAAGTCAGCTGCAGCTACTGCTGCCGGCATCAACCAGAGAAGATTGTTTTTCATTTCTGAACTGTATGTGGAGTATTTGTTGTGCCAGATGTTCAGATTTGTCAATAAAATCAACCAATTACTTTCTTTCTTTGAATAAGCTTCATAACAGTTTGAGGAAACAAAAATATGTGAGGTACTTTATTTTAAAAAGTACTGGAAGTGTTTTTGCTTCTATTTAAGCAGAGTTGTTTATGCTGCCCCTGGCTTTGATTAATGGACATACAGGGCTGTTTCATATTTTTGAGGCAGGGTTGTACGAGTTTAATATCACTAGTAAGTGTGTTAGTACAAATATATGCTGGTCACCTCTGCCAACTAAAGGAGAAACTGCCTAGAAAGCCGGCACAAAAGCTAGGCAGCAGTTTTTTAATAAAATCAGAAATTTAGAGAATCAGAATCAAATTATTTGCATAACAACACAAGTCATGGTCCACACAGTATGTTTATGTAATCAAGATACACTGTTTTAGCTGCTGAAGGGGGAGACTGAGCTAAATGACAAACTTTATGGCCAGTACTGTGTTCAACAGGTAGTCTTAGGCATTTGGTGTTTAACATTACGCAAAACTGGTGCAAAAATAACAAAAATAAAAATATTCAGGTGATTTGTAGAACAAATTAGCTTAACAAGATAAGATAAGATCCCCTTTATTCATTCCACAAGGGGAAATTCTCAAATAGGTTTTCTGATGACTGAGTTAAGTCATTGTGGCTTTAAAACTATCTGGTAAAATGTAACTCATTCAACCCCTCTTCAGAAATACAGAATTATCCTTTTGATGCAGAATTGCAAGGAAAAAAAAACTGTAGGTCCTTTGGTGTCCACTTGAGGCAGACTCCACAGCTAAGAAAGCCCCTTTAACGCCTCATTTGACATGTATTTGATTCAAAATAAGGACAAAACTGACAAAAACTCTGATGCACTGAGAATGATTGTCCTCAATGCGAATCCCTCCTCTGACTAAAAAGTGGTCCGGAATGGCTCCACTCCGCTTCGCTCCAAACCGACAAGCCAATCAGATCCGCAAGCCTACAGCACATACCGGATCCGATCCGCTGCAGCCGTCGGTGGAGAAGCGCTCACAAGATCACTGATATTTCTCGCAAGACTGGATGAGATCTCACGATCTCACAAGCTCTTGCGTGTTTCCCCGGGAGTCATAGAATGAGATCCGCCGATCGGTGTATATAAACAGTGGTGTATATAAACAACCTCATCCCACAACCCTGGCCTTTTCTATTATCAAGTTAAGAACAGTTCAATGTATTGACTTCATTTTATTTTGAAAATTAACTGGGTACTTTACTCTGTAACCACATACAACTTCTGCTGCTGCCCGTGCTGCGCTGCACTGAATTGATGCACCGTGCTCCAGCATCCGGCAAAAATAGAAGCCCTGCGTATTTGATCCAGCCGCCGGAGCCGATCCGCAGCGGAGCCAGACACCGGACAGATTCTGTGGAATGACACACATTGACTACAGAGCGGAGCCGTTCCAGACCCTGTGGGTTTTGCCCATAGACTGTATATAGAATGGACAGAGTCTGCCTCCTTGCTGGGTGAAGCCCCCCTGCTTGTGATGTTGACATGTAGTTATTGTAAGACTGGTTTGTGCTCAAGTCCTCTTTTTTCTGTGCAGCTTTGGGGGTTCACGTTTTCTATGATTCACACCTGATACAGCCTATGGGCGTTCAGGGATTGCGTAGCTCACCCGGAGGGATACGCTGTTTGAGCCGAGCGTCATCACAGTGACTCTCAGCAACTGCGTGGCCGAATGCGCACATCGCTACTGCGCAGCGCTGGTTTCAGGAAATGAAGAAAAATCCCGGAAATACCGAGAGCTTTTTGGCTTCAAATCCGTATACAGGCGGTAGGCGGAACCAAGTTGTCCATAGTATATACAGTCTATGGTTTTGCCCGTAAGGCCTCATTTTAGAAAGTGGTGTCGCCCTCATCTGGGCATAAGTAAGAATGCAGGTTTGAGGTATTATTGCACTGGCCACCACTATTTTTTGCAAACAGTTTATGCCTTTCTAGTTGTTGCTTTACTTCGTCTTTGTTTTATTTTTTGTAGAGGTTTTAGCTTAACCCAAAGAATTTCATTTTGGTCAATCAAAGATCTTGATTTTGCTTGAAAGACTTTGGGCCTGATCTACTAAAGGTTCCAGTGTGCAAAAACACGTGCATAATGATAGCGCAAGCAAACCTGATCTACTAACCAGGGGCCTATTTTACGAAGCAGGATTACTGCTTAGCGAGGTAATTTCGAGGGCAAGTTTGGGGTTTCCTGTTCTACGACATGGGTTTACTTCTTAGCGAGGCGAGTCTCCATGGCAATGTACACTGGGCGGCTAACCTGCTCCGGGGCAGGTTAGGTTCCAGATATAACTCCCCGAGTATAAAAACCCCACCCACTGACCAATGAGCTCTATCGAAATATGGCTTGTCCGTTCTTGGAGGATCCTATAGACCTCGGTGCTCACATTGTCCGAGGAGCACTCCAGCGCGCAAGAGTTTACAAAGGACTGCACGGACCCACTTACTTTTCCGGATGACCACCTTTATGAAAGGCTCATATGGCCGACATATCAAATAAAAAATGTAAACATGATAGGAATGAACAAATGAATGAACTCATCTTGGAAATGAATTAGACATGTCTGGTGCATGTTAAAAGCGCATGTTGAACAGTGCTATTTCAGGGTGATAATGGCATCAAAGATGTTTTGCGCACTTTACTTGAGACTGTCGGCAATTTTCTGCCAGCATTCCTTACTTTCTTTTGCAGCGGCGACGGTGTTGCTTTTGAGGTTTATGATAGATTTGAATTCTTTATACTTTCTCATGATCGTCTCCTGCTCCTCGTTTGTAAAGTATGCGGTCCTTCTCTCTCCGGCCTGCTGTGAGGCTCCAGACTGGTCCATGTTCGCAGTCAGTCAGATGCGGCAGGCTCCGCCTTACATGCGTGCACGTGCTCATAGCAAAGCTGGATCCACTTATGAGGTTAATAACCAGCGTCGTACGACCGTCTAGCGAGACCACTGGCTACCGCAAGGTAGTTGAGCGAGGTAGCTCCAAGGCTACCTTGCTAGGTTGAACTTGCTTCGTAGAATGGCCCCCAGGTGCACCAAGGATTGCGTATGTCAAATGAGGAAAACAGTGCATGCAATCGTTTAAGCGTGTTTGCCTTTAATGAATATGCCGATTGTGTGTTGATCATCAGAAAACACAAAATTTGGAGAGGAGCAGATGTAAATGAAATCATTTAGCACCCCAAATGTGATTTATCAAATCCAGAAACCGATTGCGGTCGTTGTTTTGCATCTGTATTTAGCACGTTTGAAAGGTTTTAAATCGATTTCATATTACTTAAACAATGAAAACTGTTTTAATCTCTTTTTTGATCTCTAAAATATTTTCTTGTATTTTTAAAGCACTTTGAGTTGCCTTGTGTATGAATGGTGCTATACAAGTAAACTTGCCTTGCTTGCCTTTTATGCAGTTCCCCAGAATGGTATATGCAATTCCATGACTTCAATCTTCATTTTTCATCTATGATCACTGCTCTCACAAACTCTCCATGGTCACAGCCGTTGGCGCATGCAAAATCCTCATTTTAAGAGGGTGGTCTGCTTCACTTTTGCACCTGTTATCAATTGCGCCCACAATGATAGTAGATCACCCGCAACACACCCACTGATAGCACATGCAATTTTCTAGTTTGCACATGCAATTTAGCATTCACTATTAGGGATCTTAGTAGATCAGGTCCATAGTTTCTTTATTTTACATGTACGGAAAAGAGAAAAATCTGGAATCTACAATCATACAAAAATACATTTTTTTCTGACTTTTGTGGACTCTCTGACCTTCAGTCAACTCTTACCTTTCATTTAAACAGATACAAGACCATCAAAACTGGAATGGAAAACCCAATCAGATAAACTCTGCTCTCAAAAGCTGGTTTATAAGAAAATAAAATTGATAATAAACCATTCAAAAGTTTGATTTCCGCTAAAAGTACTCAGAGACCTTTAGGCAGATCCATAAACTTTTTATAAAGCTCTACCTGTGATATGATCCAATCACATTATCCTGCCTCAGTAAAAACTGTTATTCAGTTGAGTCTTTTATGGCATTGCTATAAACAAAGCTCTCAGCTGTATCACTGAGGTATAATTTTCTGCTATAAAAGCCATAAAATGTGACTTGTCATTTTCCACACATTGAGTAAACAAAAGCAAAACATGAGACAAAATAATTAAATCAGCAGGACTCTGAAATATCTCCTGAGGAAAGACATTGATCAAAATACAACAACCAACATCTTCATGAGAACAGATCCATACTAGTTTCCTTTTGCCCTCAGGAAATAAGCCTTTATGGAAATATCAATTAGATTAATTGCAGGGGTCTACCTACATGTGCTCGGCTGCTCATTAAACCATCAGCGCAGGATCGAATATTAATTATGAAACCCTCACCACTCGCCTGAGCCACTAAACCAGGTTCAGGAAAGGTTTTTTTTTTTTTGTCTGTGGTCAATTAATATTTGACTGCTGAGAAAGCACAGACTCCTGGAGGCTCAGACATCCTGTAAATAGCATATAAAGTAGATTAATCTCCAGACATCAAATAAAGAGACTGACCACTTAGGTCACATAAAGCCACTATGACTTCATTGTAAACCTCAAACAGGAAATATGGATCAAATGCCTTTTTTGGTGTATGCTGAAATGTAAATGTTAATCTCTTCAGTATAAAATTTTAAATGTTTATCTCTTCAGTATAAAGACAGAACTTGTTTGAAAAAAAAATATTTTTTTTCTTTTGCACAGCAATATAAAGGCAGCTGTGTCTAGGAATCAAGGATGGGATACCAGTAGCAACTAAAAATACAATATGGTATGAGACCTGATAAAACAATATATTACAATATGTCATGATATGTTAAATGTGTAAGGATATTTCATATGTTAGGACACATCAGGCTATTTCATGATATCTAAAATATGTTAGGATACATCATGATATGTCAGCAGAGATATTAGAATTAAGTAGAATAAAACATATGTATGGATATGTCATGATGTGTCATAATAGATTCGAAATCGTCATCAGATATTAGGATACATTAGAATACATCATGATATGTTAAGGTATGTAAGAATATGTCATGATGTATTAAAAAACATTAGGATACATTGTAGTGTGTTATCTCATGATATCTCAGGATACGTTCAGCTATGTCATGATATGGGAGATGTTGGGATATTTCATAATATGTCAGGAAAGATACTGGGATCTATAAGAATACATAACGATATGTACGAAGATTATGTAATGTTATATTAAAAAACATTAGGGATACATCATTATGTGTTAGGATATGTCATGATATCTTAGAATACCTCAGATTGAGATGATATGATAACTTGCGTTGCGATATGGTTCCCTGCACCACAAATATGATACCATCCGATCCGCTACACATCCGCAGCTGCTTGTAGTCGGATTGACGAATTCACACTAACCGTTCAATCCTCAAGCAGCAGCAGCAGCATGGCGTAAAACAGCTGAATCCGCACCTGCTGCATCAAGTGATGATTACACAAATAAAGAGAACCCCTCAAGAGAGAATGACAAACATCCATGGCTTCACCTCCACTCTTTGTGTAGCTATGCTGAGGTTAAGGAGGATTAATTCAGAATGAAATGTCTGCTGTGCGCCCCAAGGCAGGTGGAAATCCTTTCATACAAAAATTCCCCCTCCAACCTCAGAAAACATGTCAAGGTAAGACCACCATGCCGTTTGGTTAGCTAACGCTTACTAACTTAAACATTAACTGTTAGCCTTATTTTCCCTGGAAAATGTTTTTTTTAGCTAACATTAGTTAGCTAGCTTACACACTTGCAAAAAATAAAAAATATATCTATTTATTTTTACTATGACTTTGACTTTTTACTTGTAGTACATTTACTTGAGTACTTTTGATACTTAAGTAGAGAGAATGTGATATACTTTAAGACTTCAACTTGAGTAGAATTCTCATGGGAGATTTTCACTTTGACTTGAGTCATTTTCTGGTAAGGTAACTATACTTCAACTCAAGTATATCTGTTTAGTACTTCATACAACACTGGCTGTAAGTGACCAAAAGCAGACATACTGTAAACAAGGTGCAACAGGTGTCTTGCTGTCAGTCATTGGCTTTCAAAACAGGCCAAAAAAACCCACCAAAAACAGCAGAAGTTTGTGTTTTTTGTGATAAATCAGAACTGCAAATGTTAAATAGTCTAAAGATACAATAAAAGCACAGAGTACTTTTTGTTTAAGTACCTTAGAAAGGTAGTAAAATATCCAAACAGGGGGCAGATGTTCATCACGGGTATTCTTAACTCTAATTGTGACTGTAAAAACAGAGTCCGTATGAGTACCCTGACTTGGTGAGCTGCTGGTGAGGCCACATATGGATCAATAAGTGTAGATAAAGAGTTCTTTCTGAAGACTGTAATCAATAGAAACTCTTTAAAAAGAATTTTAATGAGATTTTCTTCTTTATTTTTTTTGTTCCAGCAGCATCTGTGTTGTGTTGTTTAGACCGGTCCTCCTCTACAAAACAACTGTCAATCAAATCAGTGTGGTCGATCCTGTCAGGCTGATATTTCCCTCTGACGCCCTACAAGCTGTTGTGTTTCAGTTACAGCAGCTGTGATGAATGTTAAAGCTTTCATGAAGTTGGCACCGGTTCAATATCTGCTGACATCAGGTACCATCTTGTCTTACATTTGTAACGCTTCCAGGATTAAAGGCGGCCTGGGAAAACACGTGTGTTATTTTCCTGCTGCTTATGAATGCTGTTTATGCACACTGTGGGAGCATCACGCTGGCTGTATGTGACAGGTGGCGAGCAGAGCCTCGTGCACTCCTGCAGGTTTTTCTTTTTTCACTTGAACTGACAAAAAGGACTCTCTGTGGTCACATTGGTTTTGTTCTACTGTGGTTTCTAATAAAGGAACAGGAACATGGTTATTGGAAACGTATCATGGACCCTGTGCACTTTAGATCCCAGAGGCTTAGTTTCATTACACAGAACATGGTCTTATTCATCATACAAACTACGACCGGGAGCGTGTGAACTCGGCCTGCTGGAGGATATTTTTCACCAGCCGCACAATCAGGCTCACGCCGTCATTTCCGAGATGAGCTATGAGGTTTGTGGTGGCGGCGTAACGGCAGTAATGGGGCCCATTTTCGCTCTATTTCCCTTGCACACTGGCATCACACCGAGGCACAACAGACGCACAGCCCTTTATTAAAGCACTCGGGCTTCCCTGGGGTTACCTGGGGTTTGGTGGAGGCCGGGGGCAGTGTTGGGGGATGCTCGTTCATCACCGTGGTAACCATGGAGGAGCCAGAGCCAAAGACAGCGCTGATGGGGGAAGGGGTGTCGCTAGGTGGGGTCACGATAAAGGAGGGGGAGGCAGCAGAGGAAGAGGAGGAGGAGGGAGGATCATCGAGCAGATCTCTGTCCCTGAAGGCAGAGCTCAGCTCGGGATCAGGAAGAAACACTGGACAGAGAGAAAGAGGAGATATAACACCTTTAATGATGGGTCATAATATCATTTCATCATCTCTGAACTTTCATATATAAAGACCAGAAAATGTAAAAGGAGGGTTCTGATTTGTCATGCCCACAAACTACATTCACCCTCAGGTCTGTTTAGTTTTTTATCAAACACTTTCAGTTCTATCAAACCATCTTCCTCAGCCAGACTGTCTCTCCTGGTATTTGTTTTTTTCATTGATGTTCATATTTATCATTTTTAAGCTTTTCTCATCAGTCCAGGAGTCCTAATCCTGCTCTCAAACTCTCAGACTTTTAGACTCCTTCCCTTGAGTCTACCAGCTCAAGGCTGTCAGTGCTGCCAAGTTATAAAATGCACAAGAGTGGTGATGCCGTTTTTTAACGCTCATTGCTCTTTACTTTTATAACTGTGAGCTACAAGTGGATGAAATCAGTTACATTTTATATCCTGGTACTTACTTCCTGAAGTGGCTGTTTTAGAATAAAGGTAATTTAACAACAAATCAATTAGTGGCTTTTATTTTGGAGGGTTTTGCAGGAGTGAAATGTGTTTTTTATTGAATTAACTGAGATTTAGTAAAGCTTTGATTTAGCTGTGGTTGTCAGGAGTTACAGTTGCCATTTTGACTTTATAGTATTTATCGTAAACACTTCCCTCTTGAACGTGTCCTTGAACTGATTCGTAGTCAAACTTTGTGAGGGTCTGTCAGCATCTCACCTTTTCCGTGCCGCCCCTTCTCACGCCGGCTTCCTTGTCTGTGGTGCTCATAATGATGCCCGTGTCCGTGTCCATTCCCATTCCCATGTCCTCGACCTTTGCGAGTCCCCAGCAGGTCGTTTTCCCGAGCCTGGCTCTGACTCTTCACGCCCATTCGAACTCTATCTCTGTCTCTGTCTCTGCTCGGGCCCATCTCCAGCCTCACCGGACTCAAACTCTCCAGACCCATCCCGTCATCCTCTGGTCTCGCCAGCGGGTGAGGGGGTCTGTGGGAAAGCAGCCCTGCCCCTTTGGCAGCTCGGGCCCCCTGACCCCCTCGTTCCCTGCTGTAGCGGTGTCCCTGCAGAGAGTGCAGAGGGTGCTGCAGGGTGTTGCTTCCTCCTGCTGAGATCTGAGTCTGTCTCCTCTTGCTGTGGGGGGGTCCAGTTTCAGAGCTGTGTGAGAGGACCAGGGTGGACACCAGGAATGCCAGGAAGAGACTCCAGGAGAGCGCCATTGCCTATCGAGACCAACACCACCTGCTGGAGGAGAGCAAACATCTAAGTAATGCTAACAGGGCAACAAACGAGTCTGGATTATATTGTCAACATAGAGGTTGACTTTGTACATATTTAAGGAACTGGACTAAAGCACTGTCCCTGGTAACAACTGAATACAAAGCTGCATGCCTGGATGTGGATTTCTTTAGTACAGCATGTTTGTGGACTTGATTGTACAAAATCAGTTGCTTTTTTAACTTCAGAAACTGCTGTAATGACTGCAAACTCAGAGCTCAGAAAATCAAATTTTTGCTGCAGAACCTCCAAAAAAAGACTGTAAACTAACAAATTTCTGGTTTAAAAGAATAATTTAGCTCCAAAAGATATCTGACACAGTTGTAGAAACCACCGCTCTGCTCTATTCATTCATCCAGCCACCATGGAGCTCAGCCGACATCACTCTCACCTCTTCAGTGGACTCATTTATCTGCACTCTGTGGGTTTGAAGAGGCGATAAAGAGACGGACAGACACTTAGGCTCCGTTTTCTGAAATGACTCTCCTGTACCTTCATGCCTGACTCAGTATGAGATACAGCTTTGCACACATCCGTCATCACCAGGCCTCAAGAGCCCTCCAACCCTACCTTTCATTACAAAAGTCAACATATCTATGAGTGCGAGTTAACTGGAATATGGTTCTGTGTGTGTGTGAGAGAGAGAGAGTGTGTCTGCATTAAAAGATCAGTACACAGTAAAAAATGTAATAAAATGACAGAGATGAGTCTGCAAACAACAAACCTGGAGCAGAAAGATTTTCACTTCTTCACTTTGTCTTTAGGATTGTCTCATGTTATATAAGTATTACAGCTTCATGGCATCACAGTATTTTAGTTTCGGCTCTAAAATGTGTTAGAATAATCTTAATTGCGTTAAATAACTTTTGTTATTACAAAAATGGTCTTATGTATCACTGTGATGGTCATCTTACAAGCATTTGTTTACCCAGTTACCAAGGTGACAAGTCTTACCCCATCTAGTTTGTGATAGGTTAGCTGAAGCCGCAGCACTTGCACCATCTCAACCACTTTCCTGTGTTTGCCCGTGCTGTTTGTTCACTTAATCTTAAAGGCATGGTTGACGATTGGAGAGATTGGTAATTATTATGAACCTCGTTTATATGGCGATCATGGTCCTATAGTGTGATCTCCACAAAGTGAAGGGGGAAAAAAAATGAAAAAAATACGATTACCCTAGCAGGTGCAGGGTTGCAAAAACATTAACGGCTCCCATTGGTCAATCTCCTGCTCCGCCTCTCCATCCAATCACCTCGTTGTATTCGACACACCCCTCTCCAGTAGTTCTGACTCATCCCCTCCCACTCTCCCGGCCCTCCTCGGAGCTCTGAGCGGCTAAAAGTAGCGTAGCAGCTCAACTATAGGAGCTGTGATGGAGAAGGACACAAAAAACCCCACTTCTGTTTGCCCCACTGCCAAAAGGGCTAAGAAAACACAAGCCGACAGAAGAAAAGGTGGAGTCGGCGAGGAAATGTGACAAAGCAAGGAATCTAACTTGAATAAACATCAGGTCATCCTTCGAGTGGTGGAGAAAGCTCCGCCAGGATTTAGGCCTGAAGACAGATGCGGAGACAGCAGAGTTTTTGTTTAACAGGTAATTTTAGCCTTTTATTGTGGCACATGTTACATAAATTACTCTTATTAGTCTCTACAATGTCAACACGTTAGCTGTCCAGGCAGCTGCAGACAGTGCTCGCTAGCAGAGCTGGCGTTTACTGCTGCTAGTCACTAGCAATCCGACATGGTGAATCCTATTTGAAGCTAGCATAGGATCTTCTACTGGCTGGCTTCTTGCTCTGCCAGCGGGGGTGTGGTGTGGGGAGGGCGATACAGGTCTGGGGGAGAGTTATCATGGAGCACAGAGGGAAGAGGTTTGTGTGTGTGGGGGTGCAATGTTTTTTTCAAATCTGCCTCAACTGCTCAGATTTTTTCAACTGCTTCTTTGAGCGTCAACCATGCCTTTAATTCAGCCATGCAGGCAGCTATGCTATCTTAGCTTGTTATGATGCGTAAACACTGCATGTGCTTTCACTGAGCACGCCCAGTAGAGTGGAGCAAAAGTGCATCTGGAAGCAACTGGACAGAACCAAACTGTCCAGTGGTGGGAGCAGCCATCTTGGTTGTTTACCAGTGTTTACAGAAAACGAGGGGCAGCCAGGATGCTGAAAGACGCACACCCACTGAGACAGCTGCTCTTGAAAGCTTCACTTTAGGATAATAAAACTAACACTTCACAGTATTAATCTGTTTCATAACTTATATTGTCTGCTTTAAATGCATGGTTTTAACAAACAGTCGTATATTCATCCAGATTTGGTTTGTTTTATCTTTTACTTTAGAACGATGAGACAATCCATCGTCACTGACACAAACAACGGCAGTATGTTGCTGAAGCAGGCGGCTCCTTTGTGTTAAAAGACAAACGGCAGAGCTGGGCCTACAGAAAATCAATAAGCAAGGAGTATTGAGCTGCTGTGTGTGTGTGTGTGTGTGTGTGTGTGTGTGTGTGTGTGTGTGTGTGTGTGTGTGTGTGTGTGTGTGTGTGTGTGTGTGTGTGTGTGTGTGTGTCCAGAGTTTGAGAGGGGGGCGTGATGAGGTCTCTGTTCTGTCATCACACTGACACACATGTCCAGTTTAAAGCACCCCTGGGTTTACAGTGGGTTATTTAGTTGTGTCTAAAAACAGTGTGGGACAGTAGGTCCTCTGTGTGTGTGTGTGTGTGTGTGTGTGTGCGTGCGTGTGTTTGTGTTTTATGAATGAGGAGGAAGCCGGTGATGTCAGGGGAAATTTGCAGCACGGGTGCAGGCAGCGTCTCGGGGGGATTTGAAGGCAGAGCGCGTTTAGCCGGCCTCTGGCAGTTCGACCAGCTGTGCAGTTTGCAAACAAGAGAGTGAGGAGGCTGCTGAGGTGAGACCTTTATCTCTGCACAGGCCGTCACCGACTGTGTGTGTGTGTGTGTGTGTGTGTGTGTGTGTGTGCCACCAGCTATGTCATGCACAAACTGCTTATCCGGGATTACGCTCTGTCTGTTTGACACATGAGGTGCTGATGCTGTCGGGAGTCTGGACTGTGTTCCACCAAAAGGGTCGTTCAGTAAGAAAACAAAACATCCACTCTGAGCTGTGGGCTGATGCTCAGGAAATAGAGCGATGTCTAACAAATGTAATCACATCGACTCTGTTACACACTGTAGATCTATCAGAAGAACAGCTTTAGGAGCTCCAGATTAGCCCTGTGGTTTTATTGTGCGTCTCATGTACAGGGTCAGTCATCCTTAAGGTTGGACTGGTTCAAATCAGACCCAGTTACCCACTCGATCCACTGTCCTGTCCCCTGAGAAACAACATGCAATAATCAGAGAAATGTTTCATTTTGTCAGTTTGGGACTCACACAGCAGCTTTGCATCATTTGCACCTGTAGAAAACTTATTTATCTCATTCTGGTGTCTACAGCATCCCTCATTTCAGCACATGGCAGCTGCTGCATTGAACTCTTCGTATTGACTGCCTCTCCATTCATAGAAGCTGGACACAGCTTGGGGGTGTTACTTTTTACACAGTCTTGTGGTCATGAAACAAGTGCAAATTTATGCCCTTACAGATGAGTCGGAGGATCGCTGTTTGTGTTACTGTTAAACGATAACAAATGTCACACTGGCTGCTGTTGAGACATTTCCTCTAGCTTGTGGCTTCAGGCCTTTGTTTACAGAGGAGTCATCAGTGAAGTGGGGATGTTATTTTAATTCCCTTTTAATTTTGTTATCAGTTATATCAAGCAAAAGTTTAATGCACTGAACCAAATCAAACTGTATCATATCAAACTGAACCATGATCTCCAAAAATCTGATCGCAGCCACCCTGGATTAGAATAAATATTCTTCTCAGGAAAGGAGAGTGGTCAACAGACTAGAGAAAGCACTTTATAAAGACAGTCTTTTACCATTTAATTGATGGGAAAATCAGCCTGAGCTCACCAGGAGGACATCCAGCTGAGAAAGAGCCAAAGCAACACCCCCAACCCCCCAAATCTCTGCAGTGTCAACAAGAGCTATGAGATGAGGAGCACAGCTTAACACTAAGTTTCTATTACAGATGCACTGATTCAGAAAATTAAGCGCCAATACCATTTAAAGAACAACATTTTATCGATGCATGACACATTATTTTCAGATACCGATGTTTCACTGATACACTGGTGCATCTACTCATTATCCTGAAGGACTATGCACACGTGCAATAAGTGCACCTGGAGAGTCTGCACAGACAGGCTGCAGGAATATGAGCCATTTGAAATCTGGTCAGACACACTGACATCCTGCTGCATTCATAAATATTTCTGTTTTCTTCATTTGTCAGAATATTTCTGCAGATGCCTTCCAGGAGAAACAGTCTAATAAAGCACAGAGTTTGCATCCATATTACTTCTAGTCCCCTAGTCCTGTACCCTCCTTTTTGGTTTATCTGTTTGTATTTTCAATTTCGCCAAACAACACCTCTAGCTGTGACATTTGTGTTGCAAAGATTTAATGTTTTTACTGCCTGACATAAAAAAATAAGTTTCTTACAAACACCCTTCAAAGCCAATGCAGCCAAATGTTGCTTTCAATGTTTTGATTTTTATACACAGCAAAGGAAGAACAAGTGTTGAGATAATTATTTTGAGCTTTGTGAGATTTTTTTTCCTTGGCCTCTTGAACCCCCAAAAAATCAGAAGCAGGTCCATGAATGTTTTATCTCCTCTCACATTAAAACTCAAAATGTTTGCAAAAAAACAGAAACACATGGAATCAAATAAGATGGAGTGGTTAAATTTTTTAGCAGAAGCTAAAAAATTGAACAACGTCAATCTTCAGAAAACCAAATTTGCAGTTATAGGAAATCAGCGTGAAACCTCCACAGAGGCAGAAGTCATCAAGCATCAACCTCATCAAATGTTCCTGAATAGACCCGTCAGGAGAGAGAGAAAGAGAAAGAGAGAGGAAGAATATCAGAGCTCAGCGGCGGTCTGTCGCCCCCCCCCACACACACTGTCATGTGCCGCTAACAGGTGGTCCTTTGAGGAGACGAAGGATGGGGATGATAATGGAGCACGCTGGGTGGCATTCCCGGGTTTTAAGCCCCATAGTCTCTCGTGTGTGATAAACAATCTCCGGGAACAACACAGAGCCTGTTTTCTACATGTCTGTGTGATGTCGGCGGGGCACAGCAGGGCGAGCATCTGCTGCCGAGGCGAGGGGAGGCCAAACGAGCGGCCTGGAACTGACGAGCTTCAATCCCGGAGGAGATTACCCACCGTTTTAACAGGGACCGAAACTGGGAGGAAAAGAGGGGGAAATGGCTGTAATAGCTGCAGTGGTGCTAGAATTTAAATGTTTATGAGCCTTTTAAACCCCTGAATAAATCATCTCCAGCTAATTATACACAACAGGTTCTTGCAAACTGAATAAGAAGTCTATACTGCAACTGTGACTTCTGGTCTACATCAAGACTGGCTTTGCTGAGTGAGACATTATGTGAGCATCTCAATGTGCTCGTACCTTCACAAGACAATGTCAGCACATTTTAATGCATTACCTTACTAACTTTACTTTTGATGTTGCTTATTTGGCACAGCATACAAACTCTTGCTGCAAATTATCAAAGGTTTCAAGGTCTTCAACAAGACTGACCTGGATTTGATATCTACATAACAAGTGAAGACATTGTTTTTACTTGAAAATCGATTATAAAACCGCCTCAGTGGCAGTATACATTAGACCCTCTTTGAATTAAATTAGTAGAAAAGCGGTTTTAACATTTTCTTCCACCCAGGATGAATGTGGAGCCCATTCAGTTAAGAATGTTTGATTTTGAAAAATATGATTTGCTCTGATAGCCAAGGCTGAGGACTGTTCCAGGGGATGCTCTGAGGAATAAAAGGCTGTCAATCAAGTAAGTTCAAGTTTGGATGTCAGACTGCAGCTTCAGCTCTGCACTGCATCTGTTTATCTCACACCTAAGCATCAACACCCTGAGGTGAATGCCACCTCATCTACAGATCCACAGGTCCTCATGCACAAAATAGCCGAGGGTGTCCAAAAGAGGCATGACTGATTAGATCAGGTTTTTGAGGATAAAACTAAACAAAATATTTATGAAATCTTACATTTATGTCTGTGATGTTTGTGCACCAGAGAAGTGAAGTTTTCCATGTCTTCACAGTTTTATATTCGGACAGAAACACAGTTAATGCATGTGTAAGAAGCTTTTATAATCAAAGAGTCAGTGTGTGAAACGGCCAGCAGGGACACATGAATCAGAGCCGAGAGGAATAAGTATAAAGTGAAAGGTAATCTTGCAGAAATTGCAAAGGTGGTGGTGATGGGGGTTGGGGGTATTGGAGGGCTGGATTATTAAACAGTGATGAGATCAGAGACCTCTCTCCACTCTGTGATCAATCGTTCTGTCCCTAAAGCAAGCCGGCACTCCTGTTATGAAAATGTATTTAACAGAGCGAGGACCCTGATCTGTGGATGGAGGAAACAGAGCAGGAGGCGACCCTGGTATCACACTGCAGCATGTGTGCATCCTTCAGCTTCACCTGCTGTGACACCAAACCTCCAGGAGCCATCTGCTCCCGTTGTTTTATCTCTCACAGCAACCGGCAGGGCCAGAAGGATCCCGCAGACAAAGACTCCCCGAACAGGCTGTCACATCAGGCAGAGGCCACCTTCAGGAGGGTTTCTCTCTGTCTTTCTCTCAGCCACATGCTGAGATTAAAGGGTCCAGAGAATAGTTAGGTTTAACAGCGAGGAGAAACTGTCACTGCATGATGATGAAGTCTGATCTCTTTACTTATCTGCTCTAGAACCGTCATACTCAGTACTTTTTAACAAACATTTCTCCATTTGTCTTCTACTCACTGTGACATTATTCTCGTGACAATGCTAACAACCTGCTGCTAGTTTAAAGGGTATCGGTTGGTAAAACAAATAAAAAAAACAAACAAACAAATGTATTACTCGATGTAGCATATGAATTATCTCTTATGTGTGCGTTCATTGCAAATTGAAAGGTAAGTTCATTAAGAGGCTGTTCAGCTGTTCAAAACATGTCTGTGCATAGTTCGCCCCTTCTGTTGGCTAAAGGTTTGATTCACAAAGCAAATATCATCAAATCAAATTTTATTTATATAGCGCCAATTCACAACAGTCGTCATCCCAAGATGCTTTTCAAAGAACAAGAGCAGGTCTAGACCACGCTCATTGTTTGATGATTAAGAACCAACCTAAGATGGGTTTTGGCCCATCTCATCTAACATGAGTAGCAGTGGCAAGAAAAAACTTCCTTTTAACAGGCAGAAACCTTGAGCAGGACCCGACTCATGCCAGACAGCCACCATGCCGCTGCTGGGTTGGGGAGGAATGTAGAGAGATAGGGGGAGAGAGGGAGAGAGAGAGAGGGGAGAGGGCAGGGAGAGAGAGAGAGAGAGAGAACAAGATAAGGGGAAGGGAAGAGAGAGAATGAGTAAGGAGAGGGAGGGAAAGAGAGTAGAGAATGAGGGTGAGAGAGAGACAGGGGACAGCAGTAAAAACAACAACAACAACAACAAATAACGATTGTCAAGCTAAAACTGCAACTAAAGTTCTGCAGCTCCATGCAGTTTGACCCAGTTTTGATTCAGATGAGCTGCAGGTGTCTCAGCTCTCTGCTGCTCAGAGCTGCACTGTGCACTCTAATCCTGACAGTTCTGAATCTTTTCCATGTGAGCTGACCAGAAAAAGATGCATATACAGGTTCTGTAGTGCAGAGGTGGGTGAGGTGCTGTTAAGCTAGCTCTTGGTATTGCTCTTTGTCTACAAAGCTAAAAGAGATGCAGTAACGGAGCATTGCATGACATTTTTTACATGCAAAGTTAAAGTTGAGCATTGAGGTAACCCTTAAAAGCCTGATTTCATATCACAGCCAATGTTTAAGGATGTATAACAGTCAATAACAGCTGACTAGTGAACATACAAAACTCTCAGCCAATATCAAGATCCCATTTTGCCAGTTACATAGACCTTTACCCCTCCACATCAGCAGTACCAGAGAGATTTTCCCCACTGTTAAGGATTATATGACAGCTCAGCAGAGAAGCCTGCATGCAGCCTCATTTTCTGCAAATGAATCTGGAAACTATTACTGATAGACAGTTGTCTCTGACAAGTCAAAGTTCAGTGAAGCATGATCATGTAATTGTCCAAAAATCAGAGAAGTCATGTTTCTGTTTTTCAGATATGTGCAAACTTTACTAGTGTGGACACTTTTGACCAGTCTGTCAGCCTAGCATCCAAAAGGTGGGGCAATGTCCTGGTAAAAAGTTCCCATTTGTTGTGTACTATCACCGCCTAACGCCTTATTGCTTGTCATCACAACTCATCCTCAGAAAAGCACCACTCAGTAGCAAGAGTTAAAACAGAATCAAGAGATATTTAAAGATTAACTTTGAAGAAGTTTAGTGTCTTCTTTTGTTGGATTCATTCCCAAGTGCATTTCCATGCAGAGTCAAATTCCTTGTTTGTGTACTCACACTTGTTAATAAATCTCCAAAATGGCTTTATTTTCCTCCACACAGAGCCACTTCTCCCTGTCTCAGAGTGATAAATCTAAGTATGTGATGCATAAACACACGTTTATATCTCTCATTTTGGGTAAGATGGGTCTTCTTTGTGCCACCAAATTATCATAAATATCAGCTCAATAACAAGCACCCAAATTACAGCTCACACTTAATGTCTCTGCATAATAAACACGTCCGCTGAGCCGCAGTTAGCGCCATAAAACTTCATTTCCTCCGGGGCCACTAGCAGCGACTTCAGCAATATAAAAGTGCTTTGTCTAACAAAACAATATAGGTGGGATTCACACATCGACTGGGAGGGTTTAGGTGTGTGTTGGATGGCAAAAGGCCCCTGGAAGCAACACAGGGTGATAAAAAAAGGAGCCATAAGGAAGGTCCATCTGTCAGCAAGTGAGCCGCAGCAGAGAGCCGGGAGACGAGGAGGGATTCAGAGGTAATTTGGTCGCAGGTACAACAGATGTGGGGCGACACCAGAACATTGTCACTGATGCATGGAAACATCAGCGACATCCTGCGATTGAGTGCACCATGGTAAACACACGCACTTACACACACACACACACACACACATTTGGAGACTTTCCTCAATCAGCGCATGCACACTCACAGCAGGGAAACCTCCTCCAGACACCCACACAGACGCAAGCTCCAAAAACGCTGAGAGACACAGAAGCTGCAGCAAGAGGCGTCCCACAGAGAGGAGCGAGAATGAGAGACACAAAGAGGAGGAGGAAGAGGGGGGAAGAAAGGGGGAGGAAGTGTGAGGAGAGGAGGAATAAGATGTAATTCAAAGAGAGAAGGAGAGAGAGGAGGGGAATCAAAGCAGGGAGCGGATATTTTCACGTCTTAATTAGAACAAAGTGCTGTGGCATCGAAGGACAGATGAGGACACCAGCTGAATCTAACACACAAACGCCGCTTTGGCAAACAAAACCAGCAACAAAACTGCTTCTTTTCCAGCACTGTGTGGACACCTGGGTCTGTTATCTCCGCCTGGGAACAGTTTGACCGGTCAGCGGGGGGGAAACACTTCTGTGTAGAGCCGATCAAGTGAAGCATGTAAATGCATTATATGAACCCAAAGTTTCCCTCCTCCTCTTCTGGTGGAAGCGAGCGGCATTGACCGGCTGCCAATGTTGAAAGAGTTGTCTCGATCAAACAGATGCAGCCACACTTGGCAAAGAGTGGTGTTCAAGAAGAGGAGGCCGGATGGATGTTTAGCAACAGAAATGTTGCTTTTGTGGGGGAAAAAAAGAAAGATTACTAGTGCAGTCAATTAAGACAAACTGTGATTTATCGATGTTGGAGGGGAGGCTCTGAATCTTTTCCATCAAACTCTTGTTTTTGACCTTGTATGAATGTGTACCTAAAATGAACCAAATACAGCCAATCCCCCTTTATGACCTAAGTAATGTCACTTGAGGGCAGCATCCATGACAGCAGTGAGGAAATAACACAGTTCAACCCAAAAGTTGAACTATAGTCAACTGAGAGTGCAATGGCAAAAAATGCAAAGGGTCAACTGTTTTTGATTTTTTCTTTTTACCAAAAATATAATAAAAAATGTCAAAGAAATGACTGTACAGGCTGTAGTTTGGAAGTGAACCAGGGTGGGGGTACAGGGCACAAGCTACAGGAGCTGAGGGGGATACTGCATACTCAAGTGTTTTCTGTTGTTTATGTAGATCCTTGAACATTCAGATTGTTTTACAGCGTTGTTATAGGAAAGCAGGATTTTCTCACACTTTCTTTGTTAAAGTGACTGTTCGCATCTTACCAAGGCATTACAACAGGCAAAAATATGACCTAAAGGCTTTTAACCTTTTCGCAAACAGCCACAAAACCACCACCTGTCTGTTCAGTCAGCAGCAACCAAATATTGTAAACCCTTTATATTATCTGAACTGATGCTTAAGATCAAACTTTAACCGGTTAAATTTGGGGTGCACATGCCCACAACTGTTCTCATATCAGACTGTAAACATGTTTATTTCTAAAGACTAAAATTAGCATTTTAACATTAGATTCAGTGGGGTTTCGTTGGCTTTTGGGGCCAACCTCTAGTGGACACTCCAGGAACAGCAGCTTTTTTTGCATTGCACCATTAGCTTCTATTTTAGGGTCATAAAGAGACATCAGTAATAGTTCCTTCTCTTCTTCTAGACAGTGTGTAACCAAAGTTAAAGCAGATAGACTTAAAGAGACCTCTCCTTTGATGATAGCAGTACAGTGCTGAAAGAATGAGGAGCCTTTTCTTGTAATATCAGGAATGACTGCAACCCTTGATCCGTATCTTTACAGTAACATGAAAATGACATAATAGTTTTATTTTATTACATTTTTTATCTGTTGAAATACAGTACGAACCAAATAAAATGAACATTGATATCTAATTTTGTCTAATTTTAGTCATTTTCCAAGCAAACATGTCAACCATTTGCAATCTCAACCTCCTTCAATTTTAAGATTTTTCTTTTTTTTTCCAACTTCAGAGATTAAAGCTGAGTGTTCAAGTCATACCACCAGTGATAAAACTAGTGATTTGTTTCCAAAATGGACACATTTAGGAGAAAATTTAACATCAACTTCCACTTAAGATTCAGATGATAAAGCCTCAGAGTATCTTCAGGTTATTTTTTTGTTGTCATCAAATTAATTAAAGACTAAATCTTCTTTTGTTTTGGCCTCAGGTCAGCTCACTGTTTCCTCACTCCCTGTGATCACTGCTGATACTTTCCTGCTGATTTACTCACAATCAGCGTAATTAAAATCAACTTGTTAATGAGAGCCCACCAATAAAGCTCAATTACAGGGTGTTTTACCTGAAATAGCTGCTTTATCGGTGAGATTTCAAACTTTACTCTCTCTTTCCTACCCTCGTTTATCTCTCCCTCTGTCTCCTTCTGTCACAGACGCACAGTTTCACAGTGTCTTTGGTGTGCAGAGCAACAATGAGCTGTCAAGAAGAGATAATCGCTGCTATCATTTCTCATTCTCCTCACCATTCATCCAATAAACTCCTCTGTGATCTGATTTTCAAGTATGACAGCAGGAAACACCGCCACTGCTAAAGTTAAATTGATTATCGCCTCAACATGACTGTTATTTTCCGCTGTCAAACCATATCCATTTGTTGTTTGTAAACACATTTTCTGGTAATCTGTTTTGATCTGCAATCTTCTTTCTGCAAGTCAGGTTATCTTTGTATCGGTAAAACCAGGAGGGAGACATCTGCATTCAATAAGTTTTGCACCTTTTGTAGCGTCAGTGAGAGGTGAGGTGGATGCGTTTTTACGCGCAGATGGAAACCGAGACAAATAGTCCTTACAGTAGATTGTGTGATAAGGACACAAGTCAATTGAAGCTGCAGATTAAGAAACTACAGGTTTGATAAACATTTACGTAAAAATCCCCCATCACTGACTGTAAAATGATTAAAAGATATTGTTTAGTCAACGCAAACTAATGTAAGATTTAAAGAAAAACCACGAGAGACACGAGGACAAACGATGCTGGACGGTTTCCGATCCTTCAAAACGCTTACATCCAACCGCAGGCGTCTATACTGGAAATAAAGCATAACAAGAGAGATCCTTACCTTCGTGTGTTGTATTTGTTTTTGTTGTTTTCCTTTATTGTTGTTTACGGTTCAGACAGCAGCTCAGTCATACGGCGGACACGATGGAAACACGGCAGCAGCTGCACCTCTGTAGACCGCTCTCCGTGCACCCCGGGATGTGCCGAGTACCGGACTCACTCCTGCTTCTTATGAGGAGGAGAGACATCACCGGCCCCGAGTGCGCGCGCCCGAGTGCGCGTCCGCTGCAGGGCTGATGGGTATCGTGAAAGAGCTTGTCCTGGGAAGTGTCATAGCATTGCAATTGTTTTTTAAAGGATATTATAAAGTGTGATATCAGGTGCAACTTTTCCCAGTTATTTCATAGGCAGTGCATCCGGAAAGTATTCATACCACTTCACTTTTTCCACATTTTGTTATGTTACAGCCGTATTCTAAAATGGATTAAATTCCCTTTTTCCCTCAAAAATTCTACACAAAATACCCCATAATGACAAAGTGAAAAACTTTTTTTTAGAACATTTTGCAAATTTATTAAAATTAAGAACACCTAATTGCCTATACATAAGTATTTACACCCTTTACTCAAAGCACCTTTGGCAGCAATTGCAGCTTTCAGTCTTCTTGTGTATGATGAAACAAGCTTGGCACACCTGGATTTGGGGAGTTTCTCCCATTCTTCCTTGCACATCCTCTCAAGCTCAGTGAGGTTGGATGGGCAGTGTCGGTGCACAGCTACATTCAGGTCTTTCCAAAGATGTTCAATCAGGTTCAAGTCTGGGCTCTCGCTGGGCCACTCAAGGACATTTAGAGACTTTTCCTGAAGCCACTCCTTTGTCTTCTTGGCCGTGTGCTTAGGGTCATTGTCATCATGCTGGTCTCGAGCGTTCTGGAGCAGGTTTTCATCAAGGATTTCGATGTACTTAGCTGCATTCATTTTTCCATCGATCCTGACAAGTCTCCCAGTTCCTGCCTCTGAAAACATCCCCACAGCATGATGCTGCCACCACCATGCTTCACTGTAGGGATGGCGAGGTGGTGAGCGGTTCCTGGTTTCTTCCAGACATGACGCTTGGCATTCAGGCCAAAGAGTTTCATCTTTGTTTCATCAGACCAGAGAATTTTGTTTCTCCTGGTCTGTGAGTCCTTCAGGTGCCTTCTCGCAAAGTCCAAGCGGGCTGTCATGTGCTTTTTACTGAGGAGTGGCTTCTGTCTGGCCACTCTACCGTACATGCCTTACTGGTGGAGTGCTGCAGAGATGGTGGTCCTTCTGTAGGGTTCTCCCATCTCCTCAGAGGAACTCTGGAGCTATGTCAGAGTGACCATCGGGTTCTTGGTCACCTCCCTGACCAAGGCCCTTCTCCCCCGCTTGCTCATTTTGGCTGGGCGGCCAGCTCTAGGAAGAGTCCTGGTGGTTCCAAACGTCTTCCATTTCTTAATGATGGAGACCACTGTGCTTTTTGGGATCTTCAATGCAGCAGATATTTTTCTGTAACCTTCCCTAGATCTGTGTGCCGATACAACCCTGTTTTGGAGGTCTACAGACAATTCTTTCGACTTAATGGCTTGGTTTGTGCTCTGACGTGCTCTGTCAGCTGTGGGATCTTATATAGACAGGTGTGGCTTTCCAAATCATGTCCAATCAGCTGAATTTGCCACAGGTGGACTGCAATCAAGTTGGAGGAATATTTCAAGGCTGATCATTGGAAACAGGATGCACCTAAGCTCAATTTTGAGTTTTATAGCAAAGGATGTGAATACTTATGTATATGCAACATTTGAGTGTTTTAATTTTAATAAATTTGCAAAATGTTCTAAAAAAAGTTTTTATAGTACTTTACCAACCCTAGCCAGCAGACAAATGCTTTTATGCTAACCACAGCTAACAGTTGAGTTGCTAATCAAAGATCAGTGTTAAATTATGCTAACTTAGTGGTTAATGGGCAAGTACACTACTATACACTTAGTTTTTTTCTTCTTCTTGCCTTCTACTTAGCTAATTTATGCCAACAACTGCTTATGAATGAATACTAGTAGTTGTTGAGAGAGTATTGCTCGGTATTATTGTTGTGTTGCTAGCGCTTGTTAACAATGGAGATTTGCTTAGTTGACCAATGGGTTAGGCTCATGTTAGTTTAGTAAGATTTACTAGCAGTAAGTCTCAGCTAATGCTACTTGAAGCTAATGGCTAAGCTAAAAAGCACAATGGGTTAAGCTAATATCAAGCTAGCAATTGAGTCCCAATGGCTAGCTTTTGTAATACTTATTGCAGTGCAATAGGAAGTGAAGTGAGATGTGTCTAAAGGAGTTGTGGCTGGTAGCAGCTTTTGACTTGTGTTTACTGAAGGTCTTGGAAAAGTGGTGGTTTTAAGTGTTATGAGTGGGCTATGGTCTAGCTGTAGTCTTGATAGTTATGGAGTAGAGTTATGTTGGCAACAGCGAACTGTTAAGCAATGTTAGCAGCAGCTTCTGTGATTTTGGTCCTAGTTAATAAGATAAGAGGTAGCAAAAATGTATTTATTTCCTTTAGTTGGGGGAAGGTGAGTTATGTAATTTCTGGCTTATAGCTATAAATGCTAAGTTCAAAGTTGCTACAGAGTAAGTTATGCTAGCTAATGAGTGAGTTATGCTAGCTGCAGAGCGTAACCTGCTTTATTACCAACTCAGTTCAAACAAGGAAGAAAGCAAGTTATAGTGGCAATGACTTATGACTGTGATTTAGTCACTTAGAAGAGTTTTGACTGTGACTTAGTCAAGGGCGAAGAAGGTTAGGGTTAGGGTTAGAAGGTAATGAGTTTGATAACTGCATGGTGACGAACCACATTTAGCTAGTTTCAGTAAATTTAGGGTTGTGTGTGATTAATGAGTTACACAAGAAGCAGCTAAGGAATGAATAGAGTAGCTGCCAATGATTCAGTTAGTGCTATTTAAGGTGTCTAACCTTGGTTTTTCTTTGTGGTTCTAAGTGGCTGGTGGGCATGTCATTAGCTTTGAGTGGGTTATGTGTCCAAATAATATGGTTAGATTTAATGCTAAACTGTCAAGCAAAAGAGAGGAGCAAGAAAGATCTCCGGCTTCTTCATTTCTACCACTGAATTTGTGTATTTACCAACCATTTTCAACTATACAGTATTTATAACGTATCAGATTTCATGCAGGTCTTCTCGGAGAAATATTAGATTTAAATTGACCTGTGAAATTTGCAGGGTTGGTGTTCCTCAGACATTGTGGCAGCAGTTTAAGACCTCTAACCTTTTTTTAAACATGACCCTGCCACATGCAGGAATCCCTGTCCTAAAAAAGCTTTTCTTTTGTTATGGGAAAATCCTAAAATTAGAGTTAGATCTCACTAAAGATATCTCAGCTGAATAGGATCAAATTTGTGTGGGTTAGTCGCCAAAACTGGTGGACTTGCCCAAAGGAGAGGATGTCATAATAGTGTTGGATTGATGCCTGCAATTCTGGAATGTTCTGCAGTCATGTTGAGCTGTAATAATTGAATGTCTGCACACTTTCGGCTCTGGATTGTAAGGCTTTGGTCTGAGCTTCTACATTTAGGGAAAAAGATGAAGCACCCTTGTGTCAATGTTAACACAACAAAGAATTGCTTCTGCATAAAGCATAATTTTACATACTATATTCTGCTGTAACACCTGCAGTAACTCTGAGTAGTGAGTTTGGTTAGGAGGATATCCTCTGCAGTAAGTGCATTGTTCATGCTGGTGTTCCTTCTTGATTTTACAAAGTCAATTGACTGCACAGAGCCGGCAGGACTTATTCTGAATCTTCACTATGAGCCTGTTGAGTGTCGGCAGATTTAAATTGTCTATATTTGCAGAATGATTGTGCAGAAATCACTTGGGGGAATTGGGTGACATTTAGATTTTTAGTCCCTCATCTGGTCTTGTTTTTTGTGTGTCCGCCCTGAAGAAAAATGGCTTGTTGGTGTTATTGAAACCAATGAAAAAGCTTTATACTCATTTGGTTTGAATGCAAACAATGCTGACAAGCCACTTAGTGAAGTGCGGGAGTAACACAGAGGGACTGAGTCTGCTGAAAGAAGATAACAGGCTAAAACGCCCTCAGAAATGTGTTTCAAACATGGTATAGTAAAAAGGCTCCATTGTTGGCAGTATAAAACATCCATACTGTTGGATTGTTGAAATTTTTTAACAGAATAATAATGCTTTTCCCTCATGTGCATATATGCTGTTTATTGTGTACGGGACTCCTAATGAGAATAAGTTGCGAGTTCTCCTGGTACTTAAAAACACAAAGTACTTTTTTGACTTTCATCTCAAGATTTTCACTTTCTGCTTCACACTATTGTCTGGAAAAATGTGAGCGTGTTGTCAGGCGTTTTGTGAAGAACGAGATAGCATCTGAGTGAGACCCCCTGCAGAGTCTTTGCGCCTCCTGAGAGACTGAGAAAGCTCCTTTTAGTGATCATGATGGGTGTCAGTGACAGGCACTCACAAAACTGAATCAAAACTCTTCAGTGAACAGATCTATTGTCACAGGTCTGGATTCTGCAACTTCGTCAGGTAGCATCACTAGGAATGCAGCTTGGCAGAGTTTCTAGCAATTTATCAGTAATTCCTATGCAGAGCAGCATAGATGTGTTGGTGAGCAGCTTGACCAATTTAAAAACTTTGACATGGGAAGAAAAAAAATGTAGGTTTTGGAGCTCAAGCGGCGAAATCCTGAAGATAAACACAAAACATTACATAAGGAAATGAATTAGCTGGTGTAAAAGTTAGCTTTAGTAGCAGTTCTAAATTTTAAAATGTAATTTTTACCAAATCCAACGGTTAGATCCTACTTTTACATTAATCTGTGGACAATAATAAACAGATAACATAGTACTCTTTGTAATATTGAAACAATTAAGCAATTTGTACTTTTGTCCTTTTTTCTCAATATGATTTCAAACATATTGTTGCCTTTTTCTGATAAACAGAAGTGAACAAGACTGCAGCCACAAAATTAACATGTTTATGATGTAATAATAAAGTTCTTCTTCTTCTTAAGAGAAAAGGTGTTAGCATAGCAGCGGAAGATACAACCTTGGTTTTAAAATATTCAGAGGAAACGAAACATTTGATTTTAATAGTCAGCAGGATGAGTTTATTTTGTCAAGACTCTACTGAACTGTGCAGAGGACAAGATAAGCAGAGACTGCTTCATCCACAGGGAGCACCAAAACTTACTCAAAATCAAATATCATTATCATAGCTGCTGGCCTGTTTTTTATTTTAGATGGCTGGAGAATGATCCCATTATCAGAGTAAAACAAGCTTTTGTACTCAAAGATAATGAGAAAAGTTAGTTGAGATCTCAAGAGAACAACTGGAGTTAATTCATCATCTCTGGAAAACCAGCAATGACATCAAGATAATGGAATAAAGAGGTCAGGATCTTGTGAGAACAACATTTAGTAAGAAAAACAGAGTAAATGATGTCTGGATGCATGTCTGTTTCGGACTCTTGTAGCCGAGTAACATCAGACACTAAGAGTCCAATTTGGTAATTTATGGCTCTGATTGTTTGCTTGTCCCAGAGCAGTGAACTCCACCCGTCTATCACATGAAGTCGAGCGAATCACCTACAAAAACAGAAAAGATCTGTAGGGAAAAAAAGACAAATTACAGAGGAGACAAAAGATAAACTTTCTGAATATACCTGAGTCCACATACACAAAGCAGCTCATTGTGCACTTAAGGTCACGTGGCCAATCAAATTGCTGTTATTGTTTCTCTAAATCCACAAAAGGTTCAGCTGCAATGTGCTGAATTCAAAGCTGGAAAAAAAAAATCTTTAGAAATCAGTGTTTACTGTAACTCCGGTAATTAGTGTTGTGCAAACAGTGGCAGTCAATGCTGCTCTGTTTTCTCAGGGCCTGAGCTATCACTGTGCTATGAGCCCTGCCTGTAATTAGAAAGTTACACAGTGAAAAGCCACACTGTGAATACTTTATCTGGCTGCAGCTGCAGAAACGAGGCTGGGACTTTTTGTTTGGTCAAATATGAGCATTCTGAGCAGAGTGGCTAATGTTGGTTAAAAGTAAAATAACACACTGAAGAAAAACAGCCTCAAATACAAGAAATAGATGATGGTCCACAAATCGCTCAGTATTCCCTCACTGAAGGGAGGGGTGAGCAAGGGAGCTAAATGTCATTTAATATTCCCATTTGTTCACACTGCACCTCTAATTTAACATTTTTCTTTTTTTAGGGGACATGAAATCCACTATTTATGTTGTTTAAACTGTTGTATTTCTCTTTGAATTTTGCAACTCTCTGCTCTACATTCATACAATTATTCATGTCCCCCATGCTCCAAGTTCACCAAGTGAACCATACCTGTGAGGTACCAAGTATGCCATACCTGTGAGGTGGATGGATTATCTTAGCAAATGAAAAGTGTTCACTACACAGATTTAGACAAATTTGTCTACAATATTTGAGAAATAGAAAAAATTGAGAAATAGTTTTTCTTTTGTGTACATCGAATAAGTAAGATCTTTGAGTTTAGCTCATGAAAAATGGTAGCAAAAACACAAGTGTTTCGTTTATATTTTTGTTCAGCATACAAAGACTGTTAAACATACCTGCATCATTTTTGCTCAATGGATCCAGGAGATGTTGATCTTCATAACAGCAAAAAAAAGTGTTTATGTCAGAGGACATGGTCAGTATGGTGTAGCAAAGTTCAATTTTGACATGATGTCTTTGCAGTAGAATTTCATACTGAACACATCCAACTTTAATAATAGTACTCTTCAGGGTACATCCTAAGACCCCACCACACACACTGTATTTCCTCTGAAACAGGAAGTAGTATTATGAGGGGGTTGAAATGCTTGGAGAGTCACTCAACACTGCAAACGGGAACATAGTGGGACAATGCCACATTTAATACACGTCAAGTTTGTGGGCTTGGCATTAATGTTACAATGGGCCACACCCACAGTTTTGTCAAATTCAGCCCTTCTATCTGCACAGATGTGTTTCTGTTTCTTAGCTGGACCAAACCTTGACATTTGACAAACCCTGACAAATGCATGTGAAGGTGTGAGGGCCCGCTCAGTGCTGCCCACAGCCCTGAATCAAAATGAGTCCTCACATTAGTGTGGGTGTTGTGCTCTTCAAAAGCTGTAGTCTGGGTCCATTAATGTGCTGTTGCAGCAAGGCAGCAAATATAGAAGATCTTAAAAACCAGGGCAAATATTACACAGTCATACATGGATGTCACTAAATCTATGAGGGCGTGCTTTAGAGCTGATCTGTGAGTGTGTATGTGTGAAAGTGTGTGTGTATGTGCGCTCGCTTTGGCAGTCAGAGTGATGAACGAGAGGAAAAGCAGGGGGACCCCCTGCCAGGCATCCTCATGCATTATCAACCCGCAGCTCCCCAGCAGGCGTCAACCAGCACATACCAGGGTGTCGAGCTTTTATGCCGCTAAGGGCAGGTTCGCTTTTTTTTAATATGGGACAACTTTCAACTCTGCATATTCCTCTGCACAGCTGCAAACTTCCCTGAAACACACACTTACACTCTCTCACTCTCTCTCTCTCTCAAAGAGGAACAAACACAGATTGACACATGAAAGGAGTAAAATAACGGTTTGCACCATTTAATTAAAACTGATTGTCAGGAGAATAATACACAAAATTGTGCTTGGTGTGCTTAACTCAAGTGATGCATATGAATTTATAGATGTGTATAAATATATACATATACACACAAATTTTGCTATATCACATTTATGTACAAATGGCAATTAAGTATTGCAGTGAAATTCCACATTTCAAGAAAGTGTAAATTCAGAGAACATTTTCACGCCGAGGCAGGATTTTAAATCAGATCACAACTTAAATTCCTGTTTTTCAGTTTGTTTTTCTGAGATGCTGCGAGATTATTGCATTCCAAGAGTTGCAGTTTTGATGCAGGGATGGATTTCAGCTTATACTAGCGCTGTTACCCGCAGACTCATGCCACAGTCTGCTATGAGACAGAGAAATGTTTGAAGAGATGCTTTGATCGGACTCAGTTGGAATATTTGACCTGAAATATGCAGTGTTGATTTGACACCAAGCACCTTGGGAAGGATTTGAGAAATCATCAGAATTCAAAAAAATCTACCCATAGTCGAACACTGCCACCTTGTGGAGGAACAAAATCTCTTTGATAAAGCACTGCTTCCCCTCCTGATCACAAGTTTTCCCTGATGCCACATTAACAGCTACACAGTGACTACAAAATTAATCTCAATTATCTCAGCGGCAGTGACAAAAACTAAAACACAACACTAATGTTTGTTGTGATATCTGGGAAACAAAAGCTGATATTTTTGATGTTTTTTTGTCGTCTACAACAAGAATTAAAAGCTTGGAAATCTGTGTGAATGATGCTTCAATCACATCAACCTCAAGGCACGTTAAAACACTTCAACTGGGAAGAGTTACCTCTGCAGCTCTTTTTCTAAAACACAAACCGGTGAAAGAAAGTCGTCTGCTGCAAACTGCTGCTTGGTTATGTGTGCTCAGCTCACAGACTGGTGCAAAAAAGTTCAAAGTTTGTTTTTCTGTCATTTCTCCAGCACACTGTCCAACTTGTAAGAGATGTTTCAATGTTTTTGGACAGTGTGTCAAAGTTAGCTTGCTGTCTTTGCTTGACTAATTTTTCCACCAAGTTCCGTAGAAATGAACCTGACACAGCCTGCAGTGGGCGCACATATGAAAGCAAACTCCAGATGTTGAAAACAACGATAAAAAACTAAGTGATTGTGCAGAGTATTCAAGACAAATCCTCCATGAAGCCACCTTTTTTTAAACACAAAGTAAAAACCTTCCTGCTGATGCTCACCTCTAAAACACTTAATAATCAGCTTTGCAATCAGTCACTCCCTCAGTGGTAGTATACACTCGTCCTCCATACATTCAGAGCTCCTGCTGCTCTACTTTGACATTCTGTCCTTCTCAGACATGAACCCTGTCTGGCTCACGATGGCATCCCAGCTACGGAGTTCTGGCTCGGTTTGCCAGGCGGTACCTCGTATTTGAAGACCACGCTGAATAGCTTTCCTCCCAGTCGGTCGGCCAGCCACGAGTTCTTGATGACGGCCATCTTGAGGCTCTCGCAGCTGAGCATGGCGTAGTAGTTGGTGTGGATGGCTCGGCCCATCCCCTCGATGATCACTAGGTCGGTTTTACGCTCCCTGACCACATTTGCCAAAACTTTGTCTAGACGGCTGGGGACAGAAAGATAGAGGCAGGTAACATTAGAGAGAACAGAGCTTAAACACCTTCCCAAGTGAATGCTAGTAAAGGTAGAATGCTCTCTAGTTAGCGATAGTTTACTTGTTTGCTTTGATGCATTTCTGTTTTTCCAGTATGAATGCATTAATACCACTTTAGGTATGGTGATGTTGCAGAAACAAACACAGCAGTGCAGTAAAGACCAAGGCAGGAAATTTTTACTCAATATCAACAATATGATCACTCTGCCCTCTTGCTCAGATTCTCCTAATTTTTACCTGCCAGCAGAGGGAGCTCTGAATCCTTTGGCTGAACTTCAAGTTTGCACTCATGGGCCCTCATTTATCAATCTTGCGTAGAACTGAGCACAGGATTTATAGTACGATAGGACACACGTGAGATTCATGAAAGGGTTCGTATCTGACCAATCCCCGCGTAGGTATGATCAGGTCTTGATAAATGCAGCGGCTGAAATTGATCGTAATTAAATGACGTCATTAAAATGTCACGCCCTTAAATATTTGTTGTTCAGAAGCCTCGCCCACTGAGGTCAAACATGAAAGAGGAGAAATATTAGAAAGATTTGAAACTTTTCCGAGCTGAAAGTGGATATCCTCGCGTCTGTGGTGGAAACTAACAAGGATTTTCTCTTTGGAAGCATCAAAACTGGTATAAAGCAGTCATGAAAACTCCTGTCTGGAGCAGGATTATGGTGGCTGAAGTTTGAATAAATCATTAGTCAATAAGTTGCTCATGATGATAAATCAATATCTCATACATGCCTCATATGTTTTTATTGCCATGACGCAGGGTACGTTGCTCCTGTTATTAAAAGTATTTAATTTTAATTTGTTGCGTCTTTGTAATGTAGAGCAGACTGGAGAGTCTGACAGAGGCTGAACAAAAATAATTAGCGTCACCAAACGGTGTGTTGCTGCCCCTGAGGCACATTTTCACGGATTTCTATTTGATTTTTATCACTGATTAAATAGCAAGAGCACTTTCTAAACTTATACTTTACATGTCAGAATCCATTGATAAGGTGGAGTCTCTCCTCGTTATTGTTCTCAGGGCATTGGGTCCTCACATTGCACCGGCACAGCCAACGGCACTCTATTTGCCAGTGCAACATTGTGCAAAACTGTGCTGGCCCAACTGATGTCCCACACCCTTTCAGGGGTGTACGACAACGTCCCCGCTGCTGGGCCAAGACAGTTAGCTGCCTTTTAGGATTCAAACGCAGCGCTCCGCAGTGGGGCGTGTGTGTGTGTGTGTGCAATGTTAAAACAGCGCTCCTGCTCTGTGGCAGTGTTTCTGGGCAGAGTTATCATATACACTACAGGCCAAAAGTTTGAAAGCAAGGCCATTACAGGCCAAACAGTTGGTAGTAACTTCAAGTTTTTGTTCACAATGCTTTTTTAAAATCCAGCATGAGTTTTATGTATTTTGGGATGTATTTACTCCATGATCAGATGTTGCTTTCATGGAAATGCTCCATTTACCTTTAGATATACATTGACGTTAACAGACCATTGCTAAATATATGTCAGGAAAAGATAATAAGGGCTTAGTTGCAGGGTCGAAAACATTTGCAAGAGTCACAACTTCAGTGCAAAAGCAAAAAAACAAATCACAGTTGGATTATTCACTTTAAATTTTTGGCTTTTGAGAGTCTGCATACAAAAATCCTAATAAATCTCAACTGCATTCAAAATACTGCAGAAATGGCTAGAAAGAAGCAACTGAGTAAAGAAACAAAAGTACAGATTTGTGCATTGAGGAAAGAAGGATACACAGAAAGAGAAAATTGCAAAACGCCTAAAGGTGTTTAACAAAGGAGTCCACTACACTCTGAAGAGACTAGAGGAACCTGGAAGTTATGATGATAGAAAAAGGCCTGGACAAAGGGAGTTAATACAAAAGCAGAGGATAAACATAGCATTGTCACCAGTAAGAGAGATGGGCAAAAGACAGCACCAAAAATAAGGGAGGAAATCAAAATGACAAGGTCGTAACCCATATCTCTGACAACTGTGAAAAGACGTTTGAGAACCACTACTTCGTCCACAGAACAAGAAAAAAAGATATGAGTGGGCAAAAGCTCACAAAAATTGGACTTATGATGACTAGAAACAAGTTTGCACTGTTTGGTTCAAAACGCAGAGTCTATGTCCTCAGACAAACTGGTGAACGTCTGAAAGCATCATGTGTTACACCCACAATTCAGCATGGAGGTGGTAGTTCCGTGGTATGGGGATGTTTTGCAGGTGATGGAGTAGGAGATTTGTTTGAAGTAAAGAGTATCATGAAGAAGGAACAGTACCACTCCATCCTCCAGCACCATGCTGTTCCATCTGGACTCAGACTTGTGGCTCATAAGTTTGTTTTGCAGCAAGACAATGACCCTAAGCATTCTGCCAAGCTCTGTCAAGGTTAGCTAGACAAAAAAGAAGAGGAAGGTGTTCTTCAAAAGATGGTTTGGCCCCCTCAGTCTCCAGATCTTTCTCCAGTTGAGCTTGTGCGGGATGAATTGGAGCGATCGGTCAGTAAGGCGCGTTCCACAAATCAGCAGTCTCTTTTTAATGAACTTAAGAAAGCTTGGAATGCAATCCCTGGAACATACCTTAAAAAACTTGTGGAACGAATGCCTGGTATGTGCCAAGCTGTTGTTAAAGCCAGAGGAGGTTACTTTAAAGAAAGCAAAGTCTAAGCAACAATAAGTCAAATACCTAATAATTATAATCAAAATGTCTTCTGATAAGTTACTTCTTACACAACAGTCATGTTTATTGTGTTGCAAATTATATATATGAAACTATGATCTTTTTTTTGTATGTCAAATCTGATCTTGCGTCCAAACTTTTGGCCTATAGTGTAGGCCTATTCACTAAGGACATAACAAATTTATTTTATTTTATTTACATCTTAATCTTTAATGATATCTAGCTGATTGTGCTTAATGACAGATTTGAGGTTTGTTTATCAATTAGTTTGAGACAGACATTTTCTGCACCGCAGATCCACGCTGACTCAAACTTGCGTACACGATGTCAGACCTGTCTTGAGATTTGGTCGTAGCGTACGTACACGTGCAGATTGGGAAATGCCTCACATCACATTTTACGTACACAAGGTGTACGCAAGCTTGATAAATGAGGGCCATGGTGTCTATCCTGTGCTCTCATTCATGAACAAACTCTGACTTGTTGGAAACTTTGGCAGGCAGGGAAAACTAGCCGATGGCTGAGCATTGTAATAGAACTACTCTGCTTCAAGTCTTTGAGGATAGAATTTTTTACATTAATATTATTTAAAATCGATTAAATTTTTTCAGCAGATGTTCAGATTTCTGTTTTTCATAGGTTTCACACCCTCAGTCCAAGCTGGACAAATCCAGGAGAAATCAAGCAAAAAAAAAACTCACCTGAGATCCAGGCAGGGTGAACTGGAACCACTCTGGACTAACGTCAGCCGGTCCTCTCTCAGACCAGCTCTGCACAAAAAAACACACCACAGTTCACCAGAGACCTTCATCAAGTCTTTGAAAATAGATGAAAGATGGACTGACATCTATGAGCTGCCTGTTTTTTGACACACTCACTGAATCACTGAATCCATGGCAGCGATTCTCTCTGTCAGGATCTGCAGTTCACCGTTTGTCACGTCATTTAAAGCTGGACCAGAGTTGCTTGCCAACACAACCTGACAGAGGACAGAGGAGCTGAGTCAGCACTTGTTTAAAGACTTGATCCATGAGATGTTGCTGTTATTGATCCTCACCTCTGTTCCTCGAGAGAGAAGCTCTCGGACAAAAGGCATCACGCCTAGAATGATGTCTACTCCACTATTATCTACGAAAAACAAGGCACACTTATGAGGAGGACCCTGCAAGAGAAAAACCAGGATGGATGTTTTCAAGCACTAATCATCAAAACGTCCACAGAAACACTTCACAAGCTCATGAGAGATGAACAATGAGGGTTTAAGAGCTGTTATCTGAGTTTTTAAATGCATGGGTGATTAAAAAAACAGTAGTTTTAGGTGTGAAGAGGGGAGTGGGAGAGCTTTTCACGCATGGTTGGATGAAAAGGTTTATAGTTCAGGTATGTTGGTCTAAACACTCATTCTCACTGCGGCTGTAAAAACAAGCTTCAGGCTGCTGGTCAGAGGATTTTGAAACAAACAAGCCTGTCGATGTCTTTTTGTCCTGTCTTTTGTCAGCTTGGTTCCAAATCTGAACTCAGGTACATCAACCTCTACCCCCCCAAGGTTCGCAACTTGAGGGGGTGGTGTTCGTCTTTGTTGAGCTCTGGGGTTACCAAACATAACATGCAGATGTTAACTTAACTTTCCCCGCTAGCAGTTTTGACCAAATTTTGTCCACTTTCATGCCCCTTATTAACATTTCTCTGATGAGCATATAATTAAAAATGTATCAAAACAAACTACAATGCTTCAATTTTCATCAATAAAGCTCATTTAACTCTAAAATGTTAGTCATTTTTAAATCTGTTTTAAAAAATTTTTGTTTAAAAAAAATATATTTATAGATAGATTAAATAGATTAATTACCGAGAAATGTATTACAATGAAAACAGAGATTGATGGACAATCTTGTCATCGGCGGGGAGAGTTAGAAAATTCATAATAACAAGCTTCTTAGGTAGTTTGGATGGATAAAACAGTGTATTATGTGCTTTTCTTCTCTTCTTTTGGTCAGATCATGAAATTTTAAGCATTTCCTGAAAGAACATAACCATTGTTCTGAATAAAGGCATGAAAACCCCCAGAAATTGATCTTTGCCAGGAACTGCAAGTTTAAAAGAAAAACAAGGATCCTGACCTTTAGTCTCTCAAACCACTGATCGTACGAATCGATGAGCCACGGTCGCTCTGAGGAGGAAAAAAAAAAAGATTAAAAGGTAAAATTAGTCAATGAACAAGAAGTATCATACCCACTAACTTCACACTGTTCTTATCAGAGACTTTAAAAGATGCAGTAAAAACCACATCAGTCTGATGCCAAGTGTGTGAAAACTACACAGAGAAATGAAACTCAAAAAGGAGAGAAATACTCGCTTACCTTCTAACTGTCGTTTCGCCTGCTCAAACCCAAACTCTGGATCAGATTCAAGGACACTGCAGGACAACAAAAAGGCCAAACACAGCAGTGAAAAAAACTCTTCAAGACAAAGCAGACGGAGCAATCCACCACTCTGCTCACAAGAAATCAAAACCACTCACTCTGACACGGCCTTGGCTCCCCAGTCGAACACGTTCCCGGCCAGGACGCCCCTGACGAGGGCGAACTGTCTCTCCTCCCAGCTCAGCTCATCAAGGGACTTCACCGCCTTCTGGTAGTATTTCAAAGCCCCGTCGTTCTCCCTCTGTTTGATCTGTGAGAGCACAAAAAGGAGGGACAGAAGGATGAAACACAACAGGAGATAAACGACCCACATGCTGCAATCAGAGAAGTAATGACTTTAAACCATAGGGTTGACATAAAACATGATCATACACCAACGCTCGAAATACTGCACTGCAAAATAACTGAAATCTTACCGAGAGTATTTGTCTGATCACTACTCATAATATCTCTGTACACATCTATAATCAAGATATTAAAGGCAAAAACTAAGACGTGTTGCTTGTAATGCACTTATTACACTTATTAGTATTCTTTCATGAGAAATTACATCAAAGGATTCATTTTTCGCTTAAAAAACTTTGTTTTATCTGGACTTTTCAGGTGAATGTAGCTGACATTGAGGTGAATTAGATACAGTAGAGGAATACTTTTGGTAAGATCTGATTTTTTGCATTGTGATTCAGTCTGAAGGATTAGTGACGGACAGTTAACTGACCAACTCCACATCAGAATTTATTGCTGCTCCCTTTACGTCCACAGAGATCATTTCTATAATCCTGCTCCAGGTGTTGATATTCAGCATGTTTAACAATCTCTGTGCTTTTAAAGGCTCTGTAGATTTGAATACAGTCAGTTAAACCCATTATGCTGCTGTGAGAAATGTAGGATTTAGGGAGGAAAACAACTGTGGTCGTGTTTTTGTCATTTTCCTTTTTTAGGATCGTTGTTACTACAGATGGAATCTGCATCTCTAGTCTGAGACATGCTGATCTCTGCCGAGACACCCTGGTTAAGAGAGACTTCAGCCTGACTGAGGCTTTCCTGGTTAAACAGATTTGAAAGATTGAAAATCAACACTTGCATTTTGCATCAGCAGCCATTTTTACTCATACAGACGATTAAATCCAGAGTGTTGTTCATAAATATGTGGACATGGTTTGTTTGGTTGACTTGGTACAAAGAGGCTGAAGTGGAACACGATCTTTTAACAAGTAATGAGACAAACAGTCTCTGTATGATGAGTTTGTCTGTAGTGCTGTGAGCTGAGGAGCTGGTTAGTTCTTAAAGAAGAACACTTGTTGGTCCTGAACCAGAACTTAGAACCACTACAGAACAGTATCAGTGGTATAAAGGAATTGAAATAAAGATATAAAGATACTTTTTTTTTTTTTTTTTATCCCACTCATGTTTGAGGAGGACTCGATGGTAAAAAAAATAAAAATGAGTAAATAAATAAGTAAACCATAAAAGCTGTCTGGGGCTGGTAATTCAGACATACAAACGAAAAGACAGTATGTAGATATAGATGTGAGTCAGACCTTGGAGTAGGGATCAGGAAAGTTGAACTCGTTTAAACAGTGTTCCCTCGTGTCTAACAGACTTCTGACAGTGAGGGATCCGTAAGCACTAGGTGAGAAGAGAAGCACTCTACATTAGCAAGAGAGAAAACACAAACACACACAAACACACACACAGCAGGGTAGACTTCCTGTTGAAGCGCCAGGCTAGTTTCAGGCATTTTGGAGGGTTTTTGCTCAAGTTGCAATATCGACTCACATTGAAATACTGTGTCTGACTCTAAGATCACATCAGCAGATAAACAGTTTCACCCTCCGAGCGCATCATTAGATACAGAAGGTCAGAAAACGTGAAACTACAGCAGAAGTTAAAGAAAAGACTCGAGGTTTAGTTCACTAAAAGCAGCAAAGAAGAAAAGAGATCCGTTCTTACAAAGGCTGGTGGCGAAGGGTCTGGAGTTTGTGTCTGTATTTGTGTCGGAACTTCTCGGCTCGCTCTGCCGCCTCGGGCATGTCGGGCTGACTCGCCACAGCTCTCTTTACCACCTGCTCAGAAAACATGGAGAACAGTTACCAGCTGGTTAGGAGAAGATTTTTGACTTCTTTATCTCGTTATTCTATCACCAGCTTTCTACTTCTCTCCTGCTCGTCCTGCAGAACTGTGAGTGACATGTTTCTACTTAGCTGCTCTGACTGCAGAAGATCAGCAGTCTCATTTATAAAACAGTGCATGAAATCCATACTGAGTGTGCATACGCCAGAAGCACAAGAATTGCCTGCACAATTCAGATGAATAATACAGTGAGTACACACTTGCACACTACGATCCACCTGAGAGTATGTGCACATGGATCAGCCTTGGATTAAGCCTTCTACACAGCCTCTAGAATGGTCAGTGTAAAACACCTTATGAATAAAAAAGCACCAAAATGAGCAATCAGATCAAAGGTTCTTCCACTAGGGTGCTGCTGGCTTGGCGGTCTACACGCCTCTTTTTCAGAGGTTATAGTCCTCAAGGCCGAAGATCAAGTTAGACCTGCATCTTCTTTCCCAGCTCTCCCCTCGTGTTTTCTGCTCTATCCACTGTCCTAGCCTCTCAAAATTAATTATAAAAAAATTAAAAACAAACCTCCTGAAAAACAACAACAGAGACAAAGGTGAAGAAATCAAAGTTTCTGACACTGAAATGGAGGCTCTCCTGAAGGAAGCGAAGGTCAGAGAGCAGACCGTGAGTTCAAATCCATCCAAAAGTGTTTTCTTCTGGTCTTTGAAGGGATGTGAAGGTGAGACAAAGCTGGTTCAATGTTTTCTGGTCTTAAAGAAATGCATTCATATCCTCAGTGTATCCTCTTGGAAACAGCCAGCCATGTTTGTGTTAAAGAAAATAAACAGATTTTTGAGGTTATGATGACACGAGTCAGTCAGCGTCAGGATAGTTAATGAGGGACAGTTTCCCTGCATCTGAATGAGTCAGAGTTCACCAACCAGTGTGCACATTTTCCCATCAATTTTGTTTGCACTGATCACAAACTTAACATTAAAGGGATGTTCCACACTTACAATCCTGTTTGGTACATACGCAATATTAAAACAGGAATCATGAGGATACATTCGATGCCTTTTAAGACCTTTTGAAGACTTTATCAACATAATTAAAGGCCTGACTGACATCCCACCTGTGAATTGATAGCTTTTATTAGTTACATACAATAGATTTTTAATAGATCACAAAACTAGACAATCTTGAGCTTGTGATATATCCTGCAGAACATCATCATTGAAACAAAAACTGTTCAGCTGTCACTATTACTTTGATTTCCTGCTGCCTTTCTGTCTCTGTTTCTGTGTTTCTTTGTTTACAGTAGGTTGTTTTCCAATACCCAATATACATCAGGGCTTGACAATAACTTTTTTCAGAGGGAGCACATGTGCTCCTACGTTGAAAAAGTAAGGAGCACACAAAGAACTTAAGGGGCATGATAAAAATTGATCAAATAATGTGTGTTTTATTGGTCGACATAAGTACTATTATTTGAAATCAATTTTAGGTCTGTTGGTCACAACAGAGACGTCTCCATCTGAAGTATTATTGTTTTTTAAAAAGTGTGCTATTGCTACTGTACCCCGTCTAGAGCGTCTTCAAAGCAGTAGAGCCAGTACTCGCGGGCGAGAGCATCCTCTGTGAGATCCACAGTGTCGGGGATGTATGATGACGCGTCCTGAAGCAGCGGGAGATTCACCAGCTGCCTCTCTAGGCGGTCCATCTCCAGCATGTCAAACTAGACACAACAAAGAAACATGATTTACGTGTTTTATGCATTCAGACTCACAGTTTTAAAACTATTCTGGCCCATTCCAGCAGGCCATTATTCCAGGATTTTAACCCAAATATTTCCCTTTGAACTAGCAACACTTCATTGTCTTTTCACTCATGTTAGTTTTCTTTCACTGCAACAACTTCAAAAGCAGAGAAGATGTATTAAGGAGGAAAAAGAGGAAAAGTTCATGAGCGGTTAAAGAGAAAATCAATAGTCCATTAGAGGAAAGTGGTTGTTGTCAAAGAAAACACCAAATCTGGTGGACAAGCACCAAAGATGAGCCAATACTTCATCTGCAGGCGAGTATCACACTGCTGATGAAAACCACCTAATGAAAGCTGAAGGGAAGCAGGAACTATTAGTGAGAGTTAACAGAGGTTCGAAGCTCCTGATGGTTTAAGGAAGCCGGAAAAGTCCCCAAGGAGCCAAAGCAGCAGTCTAAACACACTAAACACTCTAATTTTCCACCTTCACAGCAAATTATATGAGCTTAGAGGGATTTCATAAGGAACAAATGCTGAAGCAACAGTTTCCATCAGATCTAGGCATCGCTAAAAATACCAAACCGTCATCCTGCAGCAAGTAAACAAAGCAAACATCTGACATGACTAGATACTCAAGTGGAGTGTCAACAGCTGCACAAGAGCAAAATGCCGTCAAACCAGAGCACAGGCAGACAGAGGTACTTACAGAAAACTGAAGGAGTGAATGAAAAAGAAGGAAGGATGTGTGGAGAGGGAAAGAGATTATTCACAATTAATGAGTGACTCTGAATGATGAGAGAAGGTGGTCGGAAATACACAGATGAATATTAATATGAGGTTTACGTTGGGTGTAATAAGATAACAACTGACTGATGAAAGAGTGAAAAATTCAGGTCTTTATCAGACTCACCGTTCCACTCCGAGCTCTCTGCATGGGATTCATATCTGGAGAAACGCTCATCAGGCCGGAGCTTCCAGCATAATTCTCCCCCCAGCTGTACTGGTTTGGATCTACGCGAGAGCATTAAGTGTTTTATTACATTTGATATGATCAGAATTTCACATTTCTGTTGTTTGGCATCAGAACCTTAGGCAGCTTTTCTTGACTCTGTCTTGGCTCTTAGTTGAATGTCTTTAAGCTAATGACAGGAACAGGAAGGTTGAGTGGTTTTACAGCTGATGTGCAGGGATTTTATTCATTCCTGTCACCGCTGAAAACATGCAAGAATCTGCTTCCTGTAAGACAACAACTTTCCAGTCAGGTCGGCTCTGACTCTGAGAAAGAGGACTTTCATGTTGTGTGAGAGGACTACAGTAGAGAATCAGAAACCGTGTTTCACAGGTTAATACGAAGGGTGAGTCGGTGGTTTCACACTGACATTTTTAAGGTTTTTCTGAATTAAAACGATTTTGAATACCCTGCCAAATCCCAAATAATAATAAAATCCTTGGATGAACACAAGTCCTCTCTTCGTCCTGGACCCCTTGTTACAGCTGGGATCACATCCTTTGTTGGTGAGCAAAAGGCAGTTTCTGATTATTTGCAAGGTTGTGCACTCACTTCTGACAGCACTTCATTTCATCTATTTTCCTGTTATTTCACTAAACAGACTTTGAACACGTCTTTATGTAACCATATGTCAGCTCTTCTGGTTAGCTAACCAGCTGTTCCTGCAGGTTTAAAGACTGATGTTGACATTGGTTCCCTGTTTTTGAGTTTGGATGTGATCACAGAAGCTGCTTTGAGTGGAAGAGGAGGAGGAGGAGGAGGATGTGACTTTCTTCTCGCGACTGAAAGCTGGCAGACTTAATTCAGCTCAAAGCCAGTGTTGTTGTTGTTGTTCATTCATCACCTTTTCTCCTATCTGATTTCTCGACACAGTGGAGCCAAAATGCTCCCACAGGTCTGACTGAAAAGCTGCTGGAGTAATCACAACTTCTCAACCCTCTCTCTGCTCTCTCGGCTCTGATATACTTTTCAACTATTTTTGCAGTGAGCTTTGGAATCAGATGAGGACTTCTTGGTTTATCGTGAGCACAAGCCAGCAACTTCACTCTTCAGACAGAGAGAGTTTGATATGAAAGCCTCAAATACAAGCCTGGTACCTCAGGCAGTAATGACAAATAATTTCTCTGTCTTTATTTGTTTTTCCATAACATAAAACTCCAATTAAATCAGCTTGAATTTGTACACATCAATAACAATGAATGGAAGAGGATGATACTGAGGAGAGACACCAAAGAGAGGACAGTGATGTGAATCTTAAGTTTTTTTTCCTTACTGTCCTCCTCTGCTCCTTTAAGAAATGCTCCAATTGCTCCCAGGTAACCTTCATGTCTCAGGAACAAGGCCTGAACTTCACCCTACAGCAACAGAGGAGGAGGAGGAGGAGGAGGAGGGGGGGGGGGGGGGTTAGATCATAAAAATCTGGGTTAGAGGGGAAACTCTGCAAAGTTCAGCTGATAACAAACCGAGTCCAAGACTCAAGGAGCACATTAAGAGCTCAGAGTCCCTCGTGCTCAGTGTGTAATTTAATACAGCAGTCATGCTTTAAGAGGCAGGATTGGAGGCGCAGGGTAGAGAACGAGTCCTTACCTTGGTGAAGAAGTTGATGCTGTAGGTGATGGTGTGCATGGTGACCGGATGTCCACGGATGAAGAAGCCTCCAAAATAAACTCTGGACAGGTTGTGCAGCTTCGCGTACAGACAGGCCAGCTGCCCGATGTCGTTACTGATCATGTGGAGTAAACTCTTTGCCATGTCTTCTTTAGAAAACTCTATGAGGATAAAGAGAAATGCAACAATATGAAATAAATGCACAACAAAGAATGAAGAGAACTTTGACAAACTTAAAGGCATAATGAGGAGTTTGCTGCTCATGCGGTGTTGATTCTTGTGAGCATTTGGAGAAACCCTGCTGCTGTTCTGTAGGTTTAAGACTGAATTGAAGATAAAATGTTCCCAGTGTCACAATAAGGTTTCTTATTTCGACACTGAAACCGTGTCCATCGCTCAATATTTGCTTGACTGCAGCAGATGGATGGACAGCAGCAGGATCTGCCAGAAAAAGTTGTGACTTTCTGTTTAGTGCTGCCATCATCACATTTCATAACAGCAACAGGAACATACAAAGAACAAAGCTGTATCCAAACTGGGTGAGAGGTCATCAGTGTGCTTCACTGAGGGTTTTGCCATGCTAAAACTGAACCATTTTAAGTTCCTGTCACACGTGTGACAGATTGTGACATCCTCTAAAGAGCTAAAATCTCCCTTTATTTGTAAAGTTTTCAGCTGAAGTAGTTTGAGTCAGGTTGGAGTCACAGAGGTGATAATAAGCTGTAACAGTGATGAATGAGGATTAATATAAAGGTAGTTCATTTATAGGTGCTTCATTAACTCAGTGTCTCATAAATGAAATTTTTGCATAAATGTCAGTAAATGTTTTGAATTGTGTCACCTTTATCAGCAGTCGCAGACTTGCCAAAACTGCTCGCAATCAGATCTCCGGTCAAGCCAAGCGACCCATAAGACCCTCCATAGATATCTTTCACCAGCATGTCGACATTTGTGTGCTGCCCCCTAGAGGCCAACTGGAGCAGCTCATCAAATCTCTGCAGAAGAGATAAAGGGGATAAAGGTGATAAGGCTTGAGGAAGCACACCTTCTGAAAACAAACCTTCAGTGCCAAAGCTTTGCCAGTCCAGCAGAGAAGCCGTTTAGACTGACCTTTGTTTTAGTGAGTAAAGCTCCAAGGCCCCAGAACGTCCCTCCGCCTATCGAACTTCCTCCTATTCGCTCGAATTTGTCCTCTGATTCAACCTGTTGAAGAGGAAAGCAGGAAGATGTGATCCCACTGAGTAAACATAAAAAGAGCAGAAACACTTATATAAATGTTTGTTAGTCATCCGGAGTCAGTCCTGTCATTGATGATCTCATTTGTTTTTTTACTTCATAGAGATGTAACACTGTTCATTTCAGTCTGCTTCATAACCTACTAAAAACCCTCATAGGAGCTTTAAAGTAGGGCTGGGCGATATGACCTCTAATCAACATCACGATATATTGAGCAGTTCACCTCGATAACGATAAATGGACGATAACTACTCCACAAGCTGCTCACCCCCTCCCACATTAACTTTGTCTACTTCAGCTGCCGCTCCAGCCGCTACAACTTTTGGACGGTCCTCCATCTCCTAACCTGTCTTTCCCTCTTTGTTACAGACTGGATGGGGTGGAGTCAGGTCTCCCACGTAGGACAGCGTCTTAAAGGGGCATGAGATCATAGCATGCCTACACACATCCAAAACCAACTTTTATTTATTTATTTTTTTGACACTAAATGTATTGACATAGGCGAAATGACGTTGGTTATTGTTGTAAATTTTCAGTTTGTCGCCAAGCTCTACTTTAATGCCTTAAAAGCTGCTATTAAGGATTATCAGCTTTGACACTGGTTGTCTTGTTTGCTTCTGAAGGTCATGTAGAAGCAGCTGTTTGTTTAATAACCAGCAAAAAACTCCTCACATGAGCTTCAAACAGCATAAGTAATCCACTGCCACTCTGGAAATGGAGGAATAATCTGTTATTTTCTTAAAGTTGATGTATTGTCAAAAAGAACCACTGATAAATTGTCTGACTCACTGAGTTGTGTTAGTTAAACTTTGAACTGCCCGCTTCCCAGAGAGATGTTTGGGTCATTTTTTACCTTGACTATGGACACGCCGGAGCCAATGTTTACGAGCAGGTAGGGGAAAATCTCTGGATATGTTGTCTGAAATCGAAACTCAGAGTCGGCGTGCTTGGCATAAACGAAAGCCTCATGAGGAATGTTCTTCAGCACAAAGTTACAGCCCTTAATGAGGCAGGTCATCTCGTCCTCTTTGTCCACACTGAAAAGAGACAGCACATGAAGAGTTAATCAGCTCCATTCATCATCATCACAAAACTGACAGCAGAGGCTTGACTATTTCGAGTTCAACTGGGGGAAAAAAAACACATTAAAATTTACATACAGAACAAGAAGAGCTACAGGGCTGTCTTCAGGGACTCTACCTCGAGCCAAAGGCGTGATTTTGAACATGGCATTAACAGTAAAAACTCTGACGCTGATAAAGGCCTGTCTATGAAGACGCAGACCTGTTATCAGTGATTTTATGAACCAAACCCTCTTAGAATAACACAGACATTTGTTCTAGCAGGGGTGTCCAGAGACAGCCCTCTCCTTCTGTTAGTTTGATTTCACTGAAACTTCAATAGGGCGCTCTACTTTCTGCAGAATTCACAATATCGGCTAAAGTAGCCATGTGTCAGAGTGATGACAGCTGTATACTCAGTGAAGTTGTTAGAGGCTGAAGTGGCAGCCTTGCTTTGATTTAAAAATAAGAAACGACTTGTCACTGCCGTGTTTAGACATCTTATTGAATATGGTGACGTTTTATACATGCATTGACCTTCTCTTTGCCTCCACACTGTGTATACTGTTTATCATGAAGCAGTGGGGTTCATTACAACAACCAGGGCCCTAACTCATTGCTGCTCCCCATGTGTCCACCCTATGGACTACTGTAAATCACTGTCATGTCCTGGTTAATAAAGCAATTCTGAAGTTGTTGCCCTCTCATTTATGTAATCATATTCATTTGAAAATTACTGGAAGCTACAATCTTTGCTTTGCGACTAATTCTCATGGCTTATTTTTTCCCTCTTTTCCCAGAACATGTCTAGAAATCAAAAAAAGCATCTAAAGAATGCTGCTGCAGTAGTTCTGAATCAGCTGCAGGAGGATTCAGGCCTGAGAGTGCTGGTGCCTATGGATGTTTTTAAAAGCATTGCTGGAGGATGCATCAGGCTGCAGATGCTTTAACTGATGACTTTATGTTATTTGACCCAAAACATGCTGACCTGAGTGTTCAGGGAAACTCTGTGGAAGACATTTAGATTTCAATGAGGCTTTCCTGGTTACATAAATTTGAAATAGCCTTTGTGGGATCAGCTGAACAATTATATGTGACCCCTGAATCAATCTGGTTTAAAGGAATAGGACAGGATGTTGCTTTGTGTATGAACACATACAATAAGGGCCCTTCCTGTTTTTGTTGCTACATACAGAACTGAACAGCATCAGACAAACACAGGGTGACACAGCACAGATAATGACTCAGTGTTTCTGTTTCTTGTTTACTCACTTGAGTCCAAGTTTCCGCTCGATGAGCTCTTTAAACTTGTGCGCTCCTCCGCCTGTGGCTTTGATGACTTTGGTGTCTGTGTTGACCAGGTGGTCTTTGATAAAGTCCAAACACGTTTCGATATAAGCATTTTCAAACTTGATAAAGTGCAGGCGTGCAGTGACTTCCTCCTGCACTGATATTTCATACAGCTTGTCACTGGCAGCCTCCTGGAGGGACGGAAACACAGAGGAGACAGGAAGGCTGTTGATTATGTCCTGGTATTGAAATGATTTCGGGAACAGTAAATTGGTGTGAAGAAGTAGAAGATTTAACTGCAGACAGTAGTGGACAGTAACAAAATGAATTCACTTGAGCATCTTTTCTATACTTTTGTGTATAATTTACACAAATAAACATTACACATTTAACTCTGAATTTTGACAAATGTCATCATTACTCACTTTTGCATTAAAGTCAGCTGTTAAATTTTCTTTTCTTTCCAAAAATCTGATGTAAAAGACATGTTATTCTAAGTGTGATCTATCCAAGCAAAAATACAACATTCTGAGATTCTTTAAAATACTTTGAATACTTCAGTATTTCAAGTAAGTGTTCTTGTGTGTTTTACTGAGCAACATTCGCATATCTCAACTTCTGTTTAAGAAATGAATTTGTGTACTTCGTCCAGAACTGGAGGCAAATTTAGCTGCAGGTAATAATCTTAAATGATACCCGGGATAGTGTCGTTTTAACATGAGACTGAAGTAGATAGGTTACCTTGGTATTGTGGTCGAAAGATCGTACTTTGGCCACTTTGTGTTGCACAGTGGAGTAGTAGGCAAGTTTCGTGAGGGACCCACCTGTTAAATCAAAACAGCACTAATAAATCCTCTGAGAAAACAATTTATGACCAGCTACATATTAATGATTAATAACGTGACATTAAAAAGGTATTTCATGAACTGAGAGCCCGTAGTGTAAGCTAACAGAGACACTGAAACCTTGACTCAGGCTTGCTAACTGATAACGCTGCTGTACTTGTTGAAGTTGTGCAGGTTGTTACAGACACATTTACCTCACTGCATAAAGATAATTCTGAATCAAAGACGTTCAGTTCCGAGATAAAGACGCTTTCTAATGATTAACTTTGATTTATAACCGACTTTGAGCGGCTAACATTAGCTGTGTCTTGTTTACTTTCTCTTCAAGTCATGTGTTATAGTATCAGGCTGCGGAGAAGCTTCTCCATAAACACGGAGATAAGAGCCGTTAGAGCAATAACTGCTGATTAAAAGGAGAAAACTTTCAAATACACACGTACCTATGTCAATTGCGAACCGTTTTGCATTTTCCAGATTGCGGAATATCTCGTCGGGCGGCAGAGTAATGCTTTTATCCATGGTATGACTACTTGTGCTGCTGTCAAGTCGAACACATTCCGCCATGGTCGACAATGATTTGACGCCGCGTGCGCGGTTGCGTAAGTACGTGTTCTCGTTGACCAATCAGAATTCACGCACAGTTCGAGGTGAGGGGGGGCGAGGGGGCGTCGTCCTGTAAACATTTATTTCAGCACTGTTGTCAACAAGGACCGTCCAGGCTACGGAGGAAAAACAGTAGAATAATGAGCTCACTTTACGGAGACGATTATTGTGGTTTATGCAAATATTTTTAAAGAAACCGAAAGACACGTTTATGGTACTTAAATAAGCAAAAGTAACGAATGATTTATCGGTGTTTTCTTCAAAAGTTAAGGCAGCAGTCATGGTATTGCAATAGGTGAAGGAAGTCAGTTTGTCCGCAGACTCTTTCGGCATTGGACCGAAGTTTACAAAGCAGAAACTAAACCATCAAGAAATCAGGAATGTTGGGCATAAACGGTAGTGTAATGGGAATAAATTAATAAATAAAGATACCTGTAAATAGGTTTCTTTTATTGTTTCTGCTTCAGCCCCATAGACATGTTTCTTGGTAAGTTCACGACTCACTTAATGTTAGTGATCAAAGTTTGTTTTTGTCATTGGATTTGTCATCTGTTTTTGTCACTTAACTCCATAGCTGAATACTTTTGCATGTACGTTGTTATCCAGAGGCACCAGTCATTTAAAATTAATGTTAGGGATTGCAAAGTGATGCTGCTAAATGTAATGCTTTTCAAACCATTTAAACGTTATCACCTTTCTAACTGAAAATAAAGCAAATACAACTTATCAAATGCTGAAAGGGGAAATGTCATTGTTTTATAAAAACTGCATGTTCTCCCAGCCAGTTAGAATGATTTGCAACAGGTATTATGTATAAAAAAGGCATTCAGAGGCTAAGTCTCTGAGAAGTAAAGATGGGAGGAGGTTCACAAATCTGAGAGACTGCATGAGCAAGTAGTTCAACAACTTCAGCATAAAATTACAAAGAATTTGGAGACTTCGTTATCCACAGTATAATATTTAAATATTCAGAGTATCTGGAGAAATTTCTGCACAAAAGGGACAAGGCACAAAGACATAACTGAATAGCTGTACACTGCATTGACATGGCTCTGCAGTGGAAATTACTGCATGAGCTCTGAATCACTGTCTGGGAATACAGTTTGTTTCAAGTATAAAATGTTCTGTTTAAATGCTACATGATTCAGAATCACTATTTCTTTTCTGAGCTTTTCTTTCCTGTACCAGAATTTCTTTTTCTTAAAGCATTAGACTCAGAGAGGTTCTTATGTTTGACTTCCAACTGAGCAACCCACTCAGATTTTCCTTTGGAACAGAACTGAGTGCTAACTGAGGTAAAGGCTCCATCTTCTCTGAAATGAAAGCTTTTCACGGTAACTGCATTAAAAAAAGGTTTGGATCATTAAATATTAACTTTCTGCTTGTCATAAGTCCTGAACAAACTGCTGCATTTCGGCGCAAACTCATGTTGTGTAACAACTCTTTGTCCAAGCCAAAGAAACTTTTCAGGCCTGTCAGGTTGAATTTCAGGTGAATGCATGTAAAACACAAGCTATTGCTATGATATTGTATACGTATTATAAGTGTATGGGTTTTTTTTCTTTTTAAATATGATGGAGTTGTGCTGCCAAAAAATTATATTTTAGTTTAAATCTTTCACTCAGTAAAGACATCTTTAAACCACAACATGGAGATTTTATTCTGAGAGTAAAATTAGGTGGTTTTACTAGAGAGAAAAAGGGTGAAGAGTATTTAAAGCTACACAATTTATTACAGATATTCATGATGTTTTGTGTCTAAGCTTGTGTGTTTTATAACCAGTAGAGGGTAGTGCTCAGTCACAGTAGAAACTTCATTAGTCCTTAAAGGACTGACACAATCAGAAGCTGTGAACACTCATGCCATTCATGATGATTTCTGTCATTTAAAGGAAGACTGACACGGTTGCAGATTCAGTTCACGTTTTTTATTCACAGGAATAAATGTGTCTCATCATGGAGACATTGATAGTGGTGATACACCACAGTAAGAACATGTATTACAAGATGGTTTACTCACACAGGGTAAAGTTTGTTTCTTTATACATCACAGAATATGTTTCAGTACAAAGTAAACAGACTCTCCGACACAGAGAGGAATGACTTTCAGATTAACATTTTTACTGCTGATGCAATAAAACATAACGAAAGACCTTCAGGACCCAACACAGGCCAATAATCTTTTACAAAGTAAAATAAAAAGTGCTACTTAAACGTAGCTGCATTTTGCCATTTTCTGTCATTGCTTCAATCTTCACAGAGACAACTTACAGAATATGAAGGCAGGTGTGATCATACAGGCCAGTATCAGCCAAATACTTTGAATCTATTGATAAATCAATAATAGGGAATTAAGTATTCACAGAATACAACTTTGTGCTTTTTCCCAAAAAAGGAAGAAAATGTTCTAAAACACATTCACAAGACGTGAAAGAAAATTTTTGTCCAATGTGAACGTAAAACGTTTTAAGACTCTGATGACGTCAGAAAAAATCTTTGACCAATGTGGTCATCTCAGGTTTCTGGTAAAAAGTCCAGTCTTCGGGTGTTTACCATGGCCTCCAGAGGGCGCTGTTGACTGGACTCCTCTCTTTGGTCATGCTGGTCTGGACTGTGGAGCTCTGAGGACACAAGTCAGCTTCTCTCAGGTTCTTCTCAGGGGAAGACTGCAGCTTGTTGAAGTGGTTCAGCACTCTCATCTGGGACTTCATGTTGACCTGCTCTCTGGACAGGAAGTGTGTCACCTCTCGGACACACCTGGAGTAGCCCTGATTGACAGCTGCTGAGTCCAGAGCTTGGTTCTTCTGCTTGAGTCGTCTGAGGACACAAACTGTCATCTCCAGGATGTCTGCTTTCTCCAGCTTGGAGTCTGGCTGCTGTTTGAGGAACTCTGGACCCAGGAGAGACTTGAGCTGCTCAATGCTGCTGTTGATTCGCTCTCTGCGAAGCTTCTCCACCAGAGGCTTTCTCAGCTGAAAAAACAAGAGGAAACAAGATTAATACATTTGTTCTGAAAATGATGTTTTGGCACTCATGAAGATAAATGGTCATTAAGAAAATTGAAATTTTGTTGAGTCTTGAATTTACCTTGTGAGTCAGAGTGAGATGCTCTTGAGAGTTGGTCATTGCTGCAGTGATTGTAGGCGCCATGTCTGGTCTCAGTGTGCTGTAGAGGTCTCTGTAGAGAGAATCTGATCTCTGCTGGCTTTATCCCTCCTATTTATAGTCCTGCATCTCCATATGAATGTGTGGGTTTGGGTCTGACTGGAGTTTCTCACAGTCTCGGCCAATCAGAGAGCTTGTTCAGACAATGAGGCATGTGGAGCAGCAACACGCTGAATGCTGTTAATGCCTTTGGGACAATGGTTAGATCTCAGGGGAACAGGTGGAGGACTGGGGGGGTGATGTGAAGACCCTCACAGAGCTGTGAGTGGATCTGGGAAAGTGCTGACCCTGTAGAGAGATCAGATCTGCCTCCTGATGCTGGGATCAATGACTTTGACTGAGCACACGCTCATCAACCTGCACACACTTAAGAGACCGACAGAGAGATTACCTTTGAGACACACTTACTCCTTTCTTACACACTTCCATATGACAAATACAAACACTTGAACTTTTCTGTATTTATTATATATTTATTTTGAATAGCCCCTCTAGTTTTGTCAAGTTAGTATTTGACTTGTCCTCAATATTTGTATCCTGTTCAAACAGTTCAGATTCAGTTTTTCTGTTTGATGAGCTCAATTTCTGGTCAGAGTTTCAGGATAGTTTCAGGTGTGATACCATAAAGAGTAAATTCTGCTTTTATTAAAGCTGGGCCTTCACTTTTTGCTTGTGATTTCTTGAAAGAAATATTAATCTGAACTTTTGAGATTGATAATAAGATGTATTCATCTTATTATTGTTAGTATTTCTTTAAACAATGAGCTTCATCTTAACAAGTAAATATTGCCCCTTGTACTCACCACCATGCATATAAGGCATTATACTTTGTCATAAAATATCCAAGATAGAAAAAAATGTTTTGATTAAACTTGACAGATGAATACAGCCTTTGCATAATCTAATGAGATAATCAAAAATAATATTAGACTATAATCAGATTTTTAAAAAGTGCATTGATGCAAAATTTTCCTACAAATTGAAAAATCACTCATTATCTGTAATCAATATTCTGATTTGTTGTGAAGCTGTACCTTCTTTGATAAACGTATCTTACAAATATGACCTTTTTTGCAAGGATTTTTAAAGACTTTTAAAAACTTTTTAGATGAAATCTGATTTATTTACATCTAAACATGACAAAAGCTCAAATCTTATTGAATAAATATTATCCAAAATTTCTCATTATACTCAATAGAAGTCATGATTACCTGAGAAGTCCAGATTTAAGATGAAAATGAGGACTAACTTGATTGTAATAAGTGAAAACTTTTTGGGGTTTCCTGGAATAAGATGTTAAATCTGGACTAATCATGCAAACGTATATCCTGTAACGAGTGGTGTGATCAGGAATGAGACAAACACACTCAGCAGGATCTGATTAAATGTGGAAAAGTTCTGATGGAAGTCTCAATTTTATGGCCCAAGATAAAAGTTCCAGCAGACAGATGTGTCCTCTGTCTTGAGACGAGTTGTCTCAGTGAGTAAAGTGCTGGGGAGGGTTTCCCACACTGCATGCTGGGAGCTGGTATCAATACAACACAAAGGTAGTTTGTACGCTTCAGTGGTCGTTGTTAGCCCTGAGTTACAGCCTGACTAACAGTGTGCTAACCATCTGGAGGAGCTCTGTGATGGCACTTCAATGTTCAAAAGTAACAGAGGGGTTTTAAAAAGTTGGTTACAGGTAGTTGACCATGAAAAGAGAAAAAAAAAACTTCATTTGGATTATCTGAAATACAACTTTGTTAAAAGGTCCAGTTTTGCCTCATTTTTGGTCAGCTTTGGTGCATTGATTAAAAGTTTGAATTAAGACAAAGGTGTGTGCCAAAACATGGGGCAAAATAAAAGATCTGCTGTAAGGCAACATTTCTCTGGCAATTTGGCATCCATCAAAAGAATAATTAAAAAGACTGAGACTAAAATAATGATCTGGTAAATGAGCGGGAAATGAAGTTGGCAGAAGTTTGAGAGTTTGGGACCACAGATGGAGACAGACTGAAAGAAATGCAGAAAAAAAGGAGAATAAGGAGGAGGAAAACTGTTGCTGTGAAGTGTGCCAGCTCCCCTCAGAGATCTGTCAGGTGCTGTCGTCTCTGAGGACGTTAATCAGCCTGAACTGTGACTCTGCCGCTCTCAGCTTTCCCACACTCCGTCCATTCACTCAACAATAGACATGTGCCTTGTTAAATGCAAATTCAGCCCCACACAGGCAGCGCTGCCCAGCCCTGAGGGGACAGATAGCTGCTCAGACACCCTTCAGTTAGGAGGAGGGAGTAGGAGAAACAAACACAAATATTTGGAGTCATTAACAAACACTTACTATGTGGGTTTGGATGCAAATTTCATATTTACAGCAAGCTTAAAACTTCATTATCAATAAGACACATCACTCCTTTCTCTCATTGGCTCTGCAAGTTTTTCTTATGCAGTTTTTTGACTTTAGAGACTAAAATGTTTAGTTCTGATGCTTTGAATAAATATTAACAGTTAAAAATCCATTCAAATCCTAAATTTCACATTTATTTTCACCATAATAACATAAAATCAATGATTTTAAACATACTGTATTGCAATTGTCGGCAGAAATAAAGGTATCAAAATGTATTTATTGGTGTATACAGCATCTTTCTTTAACAGTTTATTTTGTTATAAAAGTGTAATTTTATCTTTGAGACCACTTTGTTTAACTCTAAAAAAAGAGAATACATATATATATATATACATATTTATATATATACACACACACACAACCATCAAGATTCTGATTTTAATCAACATTTTACACAGTGACACAACTTTTGGGGAGTTGTGGTTGAATTTTTATTATAAGACCCACAACTGAATGTGTCCAGACAGGCTTAGTTTTATTCTTTAATGTATATGGTTATGGAAAAGCCTGATCTAAATATAGTTTTTGTCAGGTTTGCTGAGAAAAAACATAAACTTTGAAGATGTAGAGGTAAACAATTCCTGTCCCTCAGACGTCTTTGTCGTCTCCTCTTTTGTCCCTGTGTCCTCTCTGTGTGAGTGTGAGTGAGTTTTCTCCTCTTTCCCACACTCTTTCCATTCAGTGCCCGCAGGAACAAAAGAAGTGTGTCTGGTTGCACATCACATTAATTATGGAGTCAGTTTACGAGGTTTGGTCTCGCTGCCTGTGAATGGAGATTCCTGTCATCATGGCTCGTCATTACCAGGATTTTTTTTAACGTCTATGAGGAATGCAGACATGTTTGGGATTAATGAACATTCAAAGAGACTTTTTTAACCCCCTCCTTTATTTTCAGATTGTTCCTCTGCATTCCTCACTATTTGTTATGATTGGGGTGAAAAGGAGGCCATTCCTGAATTCCCAAGAAACTGGTGATGTTGCAAAAAGATGCTGAATTTGACATTAAAGCTCAATTGTAACAACTTTTATCAAACAAATCTTAAGAAAAAAATGTTTGTTTTCAATATTCCAATTTATCAACAGAATTCAGGAGAGTCTAAGTCTGCTAAAAGTTCTTATTAATTCAGTATGGCTAACACGTGAAGAGCAGAATTTGCAACTTATTCAATTACCTATCAGGATCAAATTCAGGGTGTCTGTTTTCATAAGGAATAGAAATAAGGTAAAAACCAAGTGAATATAAAAACTCAACTTGCATCAGTGATCAATTCATTGATGGCATCATTTTAAAAGTGCCAAATCATATCAAAGTATAATAACTCTGACAACAAATGCATGAAAGGTATTAAAATTATAATCTGTATATAAATCGGTATTACAAGTTTATAGTTAGAATTTCTGCAATTCAAGTCGAAATTCCAGAAGAAAAGCCAGACTTCCCAGATTTAAAGTCAGACTTGAAAGGTTATAGTCAGAATTCCAAGATTCAAGTCAGAATTACATTGTTACAGTAAGTATTTAAAGGTCACAGTCAGTAATCTGGATCATAGTCAGGATTCCAAAATTAATGTCAAAATTTAAAGATTTAAGTCAGAATTCCAAAATAAGAGTTAGAATTCAAAGATTTTTAGAATTCCAAGATCAGTCAAATCTCCATGATAAGAGTTGGAATTTAAAGGTCAAAGGTAGAAATCTGAGATAATGGCTAGAATTTCTAGATAAAAGTCAGAATTCTAGGACAAAAGGCGAATATTTGAGGGACAAAAAATATTATTTTATTAAACAGAATTCTGATTATCTACTTAGAGTTACTAATTTAATCTGTGAATTCAGACCATAAAATTGGATCTTAGATAAAAAGTCTGAATTAATAAAACATTTTTAGACCTCAGTCATTTTTTTCAGAGCCCTTATACCTCTTAGGTGTTTTTGCACATTTTTGTAAGTATCCAGAGAAGCTGTTTCTTCTGCTGATTTACAACTACTTTGATTTCTGTGATTATTAAAGGCATGTTTAAATTACATTTGAATTGAAAAAAAAAAGTTTAAATTCACAGGGGGGAAAAAAGTAATTACGTAATTCAGGGTCTTGGAGTACAAAACTAGAAGGAATTTGGGAGCAGTTTTGGCCCAAAGTGTATGCAGGTTGATGAGCGTGTGCTCAGTCAAAGTCATTGATCCCAGCATCAGGAGGCAGATCTGATCTCTCTACAGGGTCAACACTTTCCCAGATCCACTCACAGCTCTGTGAGGGTCTTCACATCACCCCCCAGTCCTCCACCTGTTCCCCTGAGACCTAACCATTGTCCCCCAGGCATTAACTGCATTCACAAAGCTGCATCCATTATTGTCTGAACAAGCTCTCTGATTGGCCGAGACTGTGAGAAACTCCAGTCAGACCCAAACCCACACATTCATATGGAGATGCAGGACTATAAATAGGAGGGATGAAGCCAGCAGAGATCAGATTCTCTCTACAGAGACCTCGACAGCACACTGAGACCAGACATGGCGCCTACAATCACTGCAGCAATGACCAACTCTCAAGAGCATCTCACTCTGACTCACAAGGTAAATTCAAGACTCAACAAAATTTCAATTTTCTTAATGACCATTTATCTTCATGAGTGCCAAAACATCATTTTCAGAACAAATGTATTAATCTTGTTTCCTCTTGTTTTTCAGCTGAGAAAGCCTCTGGTGGAGAAGCTTCGCAGAGAGCGAATCAACAGCAGCATTGAGCAGCTCAAGTCTCTCCTGGGTCCAGAGTTCCTCAAACAGCAGCCAGACTCCAAGCTGGAGAAAGCAGACATCCTGGAGATGACAGTTTGTGTCCTCAGACGACTCAAGCAGAAGAACCAAGCTCTGGACTCAGCAGCTGTCAATCAGGGCTACTCCAGGTGTGTCCGAGAGGTGACACACTTCCTGTCCAGAGAGCAGGTCAACATGAAGTCCCAGATGAGAGTGCTGAACCACTTCAACAAGCTGCAGTCTTCCCCTGAGAAGAACCTGAAAGAGGCTAACTTGTGTCCTCTGAGCTCCACAGTCCAGACCAGCATGACTAAAAAGAGTAGTCTCATTAACAGCGCCCTCTGGAGGCCGTGGTAACCAACAAGCTGATGGACTTTCGAACCCTTTCTCACACGCTGGTTGTCTTATTTGAGAAGTTACTGCATATTTTATGCAATTTTCACCCTGATTTCCTTTGGTAAAGGCTGATTCTGTGTTTCTGTGATATTTGCAGACTGTTGAATTATTATTTTCCTTTATTTGAAAAGTTTTGATCTCTTTCTGAATCAGATGTTACTCTGTGAAGTAATCGTTCAAGTTCCCAGTGGGAATAACTTAATACAGTCAGTGACTGATTATTCCTCCATGTAGGACTCTTCTAATTTAACATGTCAAACATGTGTCTGATTTATATGTGATGTTCACATCCTCTGTCTATCTTCTGATATGTCTTTGGATCTCTCTGCATTTTTAGCAGATGATGTTTTTGTATGAAAATGTTCATGAAGACAAACGTGCAGTTTTATCACTCTGTGAGTGTCAGCACTCTTTCCTTCGGTGAAGGTTTCTGTTTGGAAAAAAATAACATGAATGTATCTCTTCAAGCCAAGTGATGCGAAATAAAACAATCAGAAAAAACAAAAAAATTGAAGCTTCCTCTGATTATTTTACTCTCACACATTAAAAGGCTTAAATTTTACAGATAGATTCTGGTTTAAACATCTTGCAAGACATTTGACTTACAAGTCCAGAAGTAAAACTTATCAGGAACCTTTACAGGCCTTTACACATGAGTCTGTACATAAAGAAACAAGTAAGAGACATGAATAAATACATATATAATTTGAGCAATTAGTTCAATAGAACTGGTTCTGGGTATTGCATAGGTATAATAAAACACAAGTGGAGCATTATTGCACATTTCTCTGAAGTACTGCACATGACATACTTGCATAATCTGAAGTAATTGGCTTCAATGAGTCTCCTGAATGGACTCTTCATAACTTTATACTGTTTTGGACATACACAGTTATTTTAGGAGATGGTGTTTTCACCATGAAAAAGGGAGGAAACTGTCTAATGTGTTGGTCTCTTGTTGGTATTAAAGAGTAATAACATGGGGGGGGGGGGGGGGGGGCGACATGGAGGGAGCGGGAGCTCTTTGACAATGATAGGAGGATGTGCTTGCATTTTTCAAGTTTGATATTTGTCCTCAAGGGTTAACTCTGTCTGCAACAGCATGCAGACTCGTGCAGTTAGAGACGTTTTCCACCTTACTCAAATTTTTCTGATTCGAGAACTGAATCATACATTTACACTTACGTACTTAACAGTAAATTCATATCATACAGAGAGCAACTGTGTGGTGCCTCTGTAAAATGACCTGGGATCTGGATCTGAGATCACATAAGGCAAAAGTAGGCAAGAGCTTTTGGTCCCTGAACTGCAGAGGACTCATATAACAGCTAAAATTCATCTATAACTCGTGCACCCCTCCCCAGTCTGCACACTAATGGATGCAGAGACGCCCAAATAACCTTGGGTCCTCCTCTGTGCACTCAGGGACATCAGACTCTGGGAGAAAAGGTACTAAGCATGCAGGGCCCCTGTGTTGAAGGGGCCCACTAGGATAAAATAATGAATGGCTGTCAATGTCCTTTGTAAAGGGCCCATAAATTTGTGGAACACCCCTGTGTGTGCTGAAAATCCAAAGAAAGTTGTTTCTGATTTTCTGTTCAGATTTTGACCAAAATTTGTCTGTCCTGAACATGTATGTTGATTTTATCTCCCCAAATACAATAACATGTCAGGATTTGTTAAAGCTTCTGTAAGGAGTTATTAGCTGGTTATAAAACAGACTAAAATGGATATGCAGCCTACAAAAGTAAACAAACCATGTGTAGTTGTGTTAACGTCTTTCTAGACCAAGTGATGAGCTGCAGCCTTTGTTACAGGTTCAGCAGCAAAGACACTTCAATGGTGATACATTTGAGGATTAAAGAGAGCCTTTTTGTACCTCAGTTTTTTCACAAGTGGTGCCAAAATCATCAGAGACAGAGAGTTTCTTACAGAGGGAAAAAAATTTTGACAGGTTTTTCAACACAAGTCAAAATAAGACAACATGAGAGCGTATAAATCTCTGACATATTTATTTTCTTGAAATCCAAAAAAACTCCAAAACAATTTTCAATCCACTTTGGATGAATAAAATAAAAACAGGATGAATAAAACAAAATATGCATACATGGCATACACAAAACAATAAAAAAAATCCCTTTCTAGAAGAAAGGTTTGTTTTTAAAAATGTGCTAAAGTATACCTTGAAACAAGGCAGTATGCAAACTGTAGGATGAGCAAATACAGCATCTGAAGCAGGAAGAATAGCTTATTAATCTCTGTTTGGCTGAAAGAAAATAACAGGTTTTCCTGCAGTAAATCAATAAACTTTAAAACATTTTGGTCCTGAAGATTTTAACAAGTAAAGAATAAAATCCTGCAAATTTTAAAGACCAGTTTTGTCTATTGTGGTCTCATTTAATCAAAATAATTAAAGGGAAAAAAAATCTCACATATAGCAGCAAAACATGTTTTTAAAAGTTAAATACTGACTTTTCTTTTCAGTCAGCCCATAAAATGTTCTTCCTTGTGCTCAGCTTCAATTCAAAATGACACAACATCATATAAAACTTTATCATTTCTGTAGATCTCCCAATGCAACAAATGCATTTCTCTTTAAATGACCGATTTTCTGCACACACACCAGCATCAGCAGCTGGTATCACAGAAACCTTTACTCCCAAATCATTCAAGCTGCAGAGCTCAAAGTGATTTTTAAAGTCCATTCCTGTTGTTTCCTCAGCAGCAGAGGGGAGCCAGGTCCTCCTCTGCATCTGGAAACAGCTGTAAAATGTCTCTGGAGTATTTGGAGTAGCCGTTGTGCGTCAGCAGAGCTTTCCTCAGGGTGAGCAGAGACTTGGTTTTCTCCATGAGGTCTGACACCGGGATCCCGTTTTGCAGGTGTTCCCCGATCAGAGCCTTCAGCTTCTCCAACGCAGTGCTGCATTTCTTCTCCAGCATGCTGAGTTTACACCTGCAAAGACAAAAGCATGAACATTTACTCACATGAAACTTTCTAGAGCAGGAACTTTTACAGGGTTTAAAAAGAAAGATCATGTTTCTAATCTGGGGTGATCCTCACCTGAAGAGCTGCTCCTTCACACTGTCCTGAAAGGTGAGGTCTGCGTACAGAGACATGTTCGAGTCTTGTGGTTTTAGATCCTTAGTCGTCTGTGGAGGTTCAGAGGGTATCTGTGTTGACATCTGCGTCTCTGGTCTGCTTTTATGCTCCTCGTCTGGCGTTCTTTCTGCTCTTCAGCCAATCAGGAGGCTCAGATCCCGGGACAATGGTGAGGATTTAATGCCTGTCACAGAGAACAGGTGGGATGCTTTATCTGTGCGCCATACATCCCAGAGGTCAGTGGGAAAATGTTCCTCCTGAGATGGACACGGGAAAATTTTCCCACCATAAGCTGACACTTTGATGACACAGTCTGAGATGGAAATAAAACTTTATGACTATTTTTCATTAAACTTTTTAAGTCTAAATTAATAAGTGCTCCTTATTTTCCTTCATTCTGTTTCAGCGAGATCACACAGACCCACATCTTTACTTTGAATTTTCTGGATGTACACTTTAAATAAGAAAGCCTTTTGTTTTTATAAATTTGTCTGTATTTCTAAAATTTAATTAAACATCTATCTTTAAATTGAATCAGCACTGTCTTATAACTTCTGATATGTGCAAATTTGTAAATGTTTGCTTAAAGTACCTCTCTGAGATACATTTAGTTATATTTTTGCAGATTATGTGGAAAAATTTTTGTTACCCATTCATCATTGTTTGTAAATTTTCTCGTTTATTGTTGTTTATTGTTTAATTTATTTTTTATTTGTTGTTTAATTTATTTGGTGTCATTTTGTTAGTCATGCAACAGCAATACAATACAATACGATACAATACATTATGATGTGATAAGATATGACATGATGCAAATCAATGCAATGAGATACGAAATTACATGTTGCATTTGATTGAAATAAAATTGAAATTGGAAAATCTGTTTTGTTTAGAAAGCATTCAAAAACAACAGACTGTGAAAATCTTATTAATAACCGACATCTTTCAAAAAATTAAGAAGCATTACAAAATTTCCTCTTCACGTTTTTTATTCGTAAGGAATCTTTTAAATTATATACTGAACAGCTAACACATAACTAAACCTCTCTGTGATAAAAACACAGTTTTGAAGTTGTATATTTTCTGTCTGTGTGTCAGCAGCTGAACCAGATGGCCTGTCTGTGCCGTGTCTTCCTGCCTGAGAACCATCCTGAGGCTTTGTGGGAGCAGACACACTTCTATTGTGTTCCCGGCTGAGTGGGCTGCATACAGAAGTGTGGGAAGCCGTGTGTCCTAGCGGCTCCCAGCTCCACACACAGGGAGGAGGGCGTGTGACCGGGGCACGTTCAGCCCTGTGCAGGGAGCTGAGAGGGAAACCTGAGCCCCTCCACAGCCTGCAGATAGACTCACAGACAGATGGAGACGAGATAAACCCACCTTAACCTGATTGCACGTTAGCTTGCATAAAGTTTCTGAGTGGGCTTAAAGAGAATAATGAACAAAAATGGCAAGATTTTTATCACGGACAAGGACACAAAACATTATCTCTGCTGTCGCAGTGTGTGCAGAGGAGGATTATATAAAGTCAAATATGAGAAAAACATGCATTAAGCATGCAAAAATGACTCATATTTTTGAGCACAAACATGAATATTATAAATAAAGATTAATATTATCATGCTGAACACAACTGTCATGACCTTATTCTTTATTTCTCTGATATGAAAGGATCTCTATTCAGCTTCAGCACTGGCTATTCTATGAACACCACCACTGCATACAAATGTGCACAGGCTGCACACACTTGAACTACAAACATCATCAATAAGCTGTTAATATAATTAACTATTATAAAATTAAAATGAAAAAAAGTTTATTAAAGACATTTTGCAAAACAGAAAAATAAAAAGCACATTTGGTGGTTCTTATAGCCCACTAATATCAAAGCATAGGTATTATAACCATCCATAAAGGTGTTCCACAGGGCTCCGTACTAAGCCCCCTTTTATTTACTACTTGTTTACTATGTGAATAAATACACAGTGATTTTCTGTGATGTGAGAAAGCGAACATGACTATCAATAACACAAATGACAATTTCTAACTTGTAAAATTATGATGCTGCAAGGGAGTAGGCATCAAACCAGACAACTGACAGCAGACAAAAAGAGCCTTTCTTTACTTTTTTTTTGACTTTATTAAGATGGAGTGATACTATTGGCTGTTAAAAGTAATCAGGATTAGATTTTTTACAAGAAAACGCTTCTTATGCACAGATATGAGGTATCTATCTGTCCACAAGGGGTGCCTGAATTCACTTAAACCAAAAGTTCCTTACGGGTGCTTTAATCATATTTGATAAAATCTATTGTAGGCATTTTGCCAAAAGTTTACGTGCTGTCTTAAGTTCAAAATTCAATAAACCAATGGGTCTGTTATTCTCACATTTATTCAAGGATTTACCTGGTTCTGGCATTTAAGTAGTTAAGGCCCAGTCTCAGAGAGAGAGAAAGGAAGGCTTCCCTTTTGAAAACCCTCCTTCCAAGAATAGTCTTAGTAATTTCTTCTCTAACTCTTGCTTTCACATTACTGATCTATTTCCATATGCAACCAAAAGAACATATTTTCAGTCTCACTTGACGTCAAAGACCTCCAGCAACAGACTGGGTAAATCTAAGGAGGAGACTAGATTCCTAAGTAATTTAGTCTTCATTTTAAAGAATACCTGAACAAGAACTATGTGTAGAAAACTTTTACTTAGTTCAATATAACTTAAAGGAAGAAAGACAAAAGAGAGCAAATATTTTCGGCTGGCAGAGTTCATTTATTTATGAAGTCAAATGAACCATTTGATTTTCAAACAGCTCTGACTTTAGATGATGATACATCACAACAACAACAACTACTCAAAGATGTCCTTGAGATAATTTTAAGATGTCTTTGTAAAAGACAAATCAGAGTAAAGACAGGCTCATTAACTGCACAATCGTCATAATGTTTAAACAAAATCATTGTCAGCTTTAAATCAACAAAAGCAGGACATGCAATACCGATCTTAAAACAGATCTGGATGTTAAACAGAGAAAAACTTAGGGGTTTATTATAAAACACATTATGGTCACTGAAACTGTGACACTGCTGTAAATTAAACCTTTAAGAAAAGGATAAACATAATTGATCCAAAAATGGATCATAAATAACATGAAGTGAAAGGAGAAAATGTCCAAGAATGGACCAATAACAGTTAAGACCAACATGATTATAACTAATCATAACATTGATTACAGTGTAATCAGATTTAGATCATACAACATGTATGAAAAGTTCTCTTTCTACACATGAAAGAAAATAATACGAATGTTTCCTGAGGAAATGTAAAACAAAAACATGACATTCAACCTCATGAACAAACAGAAGATTGGTCAACATTAATACAACAGAATTTACTCCAGTAATTTTTAAGACCAACATGGTCTTCTCATTGTGTCTGGTGGCTCCAGTCTGTAGGTGTCTACCATGGCCTCCAGAGGGCGCTGTTGGTTTGACTCTTCTCTTTGGGCATGCTGGTCTGGACTGTGGAGCTCAGAGGACAAAAGTCATCATGCTGCTGCTGTTTCTTCTGCTTGAGTCGTCTGAGGACACAAACTGTCATCTCCAGGATGTCTGCTTTCTCCAGCTTGGAGTCTGGCTGCTGTTTGAGGAACTCTGGACCCAGGAGAGACTTGAGCTGCTCAATGCTGCTGTTGATTCGCTCTCTGCGAAGCTTCTCCACCAGAGGCTTTCTCAGCTGAAAAAACAAGAAGACACAAGATTAATACATTCATTCTGAAACTAATGCTTTGGCAGAATTTAAGATTAGTGAGCATCAACCATGTTGAAGTTTTGTTGAGTCTTGAATTTACCTTGTGAGTCAGAGTGAGATGCTCCTGAGAGTTGGTCATTGCTGCAGTGATTGTAGGCGCCATGTCTGGTCTCAGTGTGCTGTAGAGGTCTCTGTAGAGAGAATCTGATCTCTGCTGGCTTCATCCCTCCTATATATAGTCCCACATCTCCATATGAATGTGTGGGTTTGGGTCTGACTGGAGTTTCTCACAGTCTCAGCCAATCAGAGAGCTTGTTCAGACAATGAGGCATGTGGAGCGGCAACACGCTGAATGCTGCTAATAATGCCTGGGGGACTATCGTTAGATCTCAGGGGAACAGGTGGAGGACTGGGGGGGGGGGACCCTCACAGGGCTGTGTGTGAATATGGGAAAGTGTTGACCCTGTAGAGAGATCAGATCTGCCTCCTGATGCTGGGATAAATGACTCTGACCGAGCACACGCTCATTAACCCAACACACGTGGGAGACTGACAATCATTCCACTGGGGTATAAAGTGACACCAAATGTGTTGTGTTTGTAAGATTTTGTTGTGCCATTGATTAAAAACAAGCAGGTGCCAATTTTTGTCCTTTTCTTTAAGAGTCCTGGTTATTTCTGTTACAAAAGCAGGGGGAAAATTCATAGAAAAAGCTAAACTTTTACTTGTGTTTGCCAAGCTCTTTAATTGAGATGCAACTATAAGGTTAAAACTCAATTATTTTTGAGGATAAATTCATCCTTAATAAATTAAATTGCTTTAATTTTAAACTTCAGCTCCTGTTTTTTGCTTTGTGGAAATAAAGAAAGGCTCTTGGTGAGGTTGAAATTTTCAGTTTAAGCCCTATATGAACTCTGAAACAAACCAGAGATAGCCTAATATTCATGCTGCAGCTGTCCAGATGCAGCACTCATTTGACACGTGTCTTGTAGTCTGTGTGAGTAACAAGTTGAGCCCACTTTCCCACACTGACTCTCTGTATAGTGTAGTCATTGATCCACAAAGGGACGTCTGTGGCAGATGCTGGCTGTGTGTTGTTATAGGAACAGTGGCTGACATCACCAACCATCTGGAGGGAAAGCACGCCATTGGCTGGCCCTGAAAGTTCACAAACTTTTAATTCCTGTAAAAAGTACCACTACATTTAGATAAAAACTTCTTTAAGTACCATCTAAGATTATCAGAGTTCAGTCACTGTTATCAGCCTTTATCCATGAACATCTCCCAGTATTAAAAAAAAAGCTGAAGCACCAATATTTCAACTCTGCCTAACATGAGGGTGGGAGGTTTTTAGGGGGCAGCTGTTTCCTGAAGTGTGCCAATTCCCTTAAGAGGATCACTTTTGTGCTGGTGGGGTGGAAATCCCTCCAACTGAAGTCTGCCCTCCAGAGCTTTCCCACACTCCCTTCATTAGGGAAAACAGGCATGTGTCCCTTTAAAATGAAACTCAATTAGCACCCAATGCACGAGAAGTGTGTGGGGAAGATGGTGAAGCGGCTCATTAAGTAATTAAACCTTTTAAAAGTGGAACCTGGCTCATCCATCACAGGTAAACTATTTTTTTTTTTTTTTTTTGGGGGGGGGGGGGGGGGGGTTGAAATGCTTAAAGCATGATTTAAGTTTTAGGTTGGGTTTTAAATAATAAAGCTAAACCACTTTGGTCACTAAAGGCATTCTATTGGCATATACAAACATGGTATGTCATCTTCAAAATGTACATAAAAAGCATTGATGCGATCAAAGAGAGGGTAATCAAAAGACAGGCAGTAAAAATAACATTAGCTAAGACGAAATAAAATTTCTCCAAGAACTGAGGAAGTTAGACTTGTCTTTTAAAGTCTAATTTTGCTTTAGGGCCTTGGAGGCCTCTTTGTAAGACAGGGGCTCTTTTAAAAAGTAAACAGACCTTGCTTTTATAGACATACACAAGAGAACCTCGACTGTTTTAAACGTATCCATTCAGTACAAAATTGCACTGATATTGATATATAAAAACTTTACAAAACAATTACTTAAAAATTTGAATAGTTAAATATAGAAATTAAGTTGTAAAAAGCCTTACCTTTCATTTCATGTTTTGAGGGTTGAATATCCTGTGACAGGAAGAAATATGACACCCCCAATAAGATAAATAATTATGAGCTTCCAAGTACTGATGAAGTATTTTTCCGGCTTTTTTAATATTTATATTTATCATGGTTTGTGGTCAGTCTTAATGAAGCCTGGGGAAATATTATGAGACATATGAACATTTAATGTGACGAATCGGCGGCTCGGAATCAAACCCGTCATTCAGACGTCAACTGTTGACTTAGAATAGTTCAACTTCTCACTTTATACTTTTTGCATGACAAATATATTTCAGATATTTTTCGTTTTTCATCAATCAAACTCCAAAGTAAGCCGAGCAGAGATTTTTTTTATTCCTTAATATCGAATCATACCATAACTGAACACTGTCCCACAGACCACCACCGCCAACCACTACATCTCCAGTATGAATTTAAAATACAACAATCACCTGTCTGACAATGTTACCACAAGTTTACATCTTGAAGCTTCCTGACAGCAGATAGGTGGTGGAGATGTTGTACTGGGTTGTATCAGATTGCCCAGGTGTTTCTAATGTTATGGCCGGTTGGTAACAAGTTTTGCATGGTTGGAAGCAAGGGCAACTTTTAGTTTAAGGTCAACAGTTATCTTTGGTCAGGTTCAGTCTGTCCAGCCAGCTGAATGGATCTGCTTCTTTCTGTGAGGAGTCTCACTTTTTTAGAGGTGGTTTTAATCAATAACTTAGAGCAAGTTTGCTTAAAGACACTTTTCCCTCTCTTATTATGAAAAAGCTGCAAAATAGAGACTGGTTTGACTCAAGAGATATTTTATTGAAGGACTATTTCCAGAGGACTATGTTCACAATATTGCTAGTCTATGATTCTACATTTTAAATAACTTTCAATTTTTCCAGAGAAGTTTCGTCTGCCTCCTTCAGGTGTCCTTGGTAAGTAACTTTTTTTTTTTTTTTTTCGTCTTTAGCATGACTTTTACTTTATTACAGCCCCTATCTACACCCAAAGTCTTCTCTTACTGTAGTTGGTGCATGATGTAATTGGTATATTAGGTTTCCTCTTAAAATCCTTAATGATTCATCAGTCTGTATTCCTCTTTGTTTGATAGCCAGTCTTTGTGAACTATGTGTTGTTGAGGCTTTTTTACTTCAAAGCCTGACTCACTACACTGTAATTCAGAGCCACATAAACTTAGGTGTAATATTAAAGATTACAATCTTTCAAAGTTTCAAACAGGCCATATCATGTAATTGAGAGAGACTTTTTAATAACAATGCTAAAGATAATAGGTGTCATTTAAAAGAAGTTATGCTATCCTGAAAAAGTGTGTAAACCTATTCATGCTGTAGAAAAATGTATAATGTAATCGAGCTTATAGCTGTGTAAGCTGAGCTGTCCTCTAATCTGTCTCTTAAGGTCAAAGGTCTGGATCTATTGTCCCTCAGGACTCTGTGAGTGAGTTTCCTCTGCTTTCCCACACTTTGCTTTCGCTGTTTTCATTGCAGGAACAATAGAAGTGTGCCTTATTATGCATGTCATTATTTACCAAGTCTGGCGTCTTTGAAGAGGTACTTTGTCAACCTGATTTTTTTTTTTTAATCTAAATACAAACCTAATTGCAAAAATTGTTAGGATGCTGTGGAAAATGTTGATAACAGATTTTGATGGTTTGAAAATTATCAAAAGCCTTTGTGTAATTGTAAAGAGTTTAAGACAACATGCAACTCAGATGTTGACATTGAAAAATGTGTGTGTACTTGTAATTTGATGCCACCAACATATTAAAAAAAGTTGTGAAAGAAAGCACTGAAAAAGTTGTGTAGTCAAAGATTTTAACTCTATAACTCTATTAACACCTGGAGGAACAATTCCAAACTAAGTAGGTCCCTTTGCATCCCAACTAAAGTAGACTAAACTTAGGACAAAATAATGATCTATCAAATTAGCACTTCAACTACCCTCAAGGGAATAAAAGAGTGCAAAAATTCATTAGTTTACTAATTTGAAGTGATTGTGATGCATAGTAAATATTACTGGAGTAAACAGCTGTGATATGGACAAACAGGTACTGTTAGTGCTTGTGATTGTCTTGAATTTGTTAAACAGCTAATGAATAAGACTCCCATGAATTAACTAAGTAAGAAAATACTTTTCTTTATCTTTTCCATAAATAAGTAAAGATAGAAAATTACCACAAACAGAGTTTTTCAGCTTTTAGTGCTTTTTATTCAACAAGGCTCAGTAAGCCACAGAAAGTTTAAGGGTCAAGTCAAGAGGTGATGATTCATCACAACAACAGCTTGTAGATTTCTACAAGTCACACTGTACTCACTGAGAGTAAAGGAACAACAGTCTTTACAAAAGACAAACAATTAACACTTTTTGAGGACACAGTCCTCACTAAAACATGAGATTATTTCCAAAGTATAAGAAACATTTGAACTTAATAAGACCATAAAACAGGTCATCTTTTTTAACAAGTGACAAATTCAAATCAGCTGTCAAAATATATCAACACAAATGTCACTGAAAACTGTGACAGTATGACATGAAACAAACCTTTTTTTGTTAAAGAAAATAAACAAGGTGATCTTAAAACAGATCATTTACATTTAAAACACAGTTCTTTGAGTCAAAGACAATAAAATGTAAATGAAATTAACCAGTTAAGTAATTGTCAAAAGACAAGATATGACTTTTTGTATGTATGACGTGCAGTTGGACAAACATGTATCACATTTAAGAATCATTAAAAGAATCACAAAAAAACGTGAAATTTAGAAAACGTTGACAAGAAAGCAAGCTCAGAGATCTTACAGCAGATCAGTTTCAATATCTCAGATAAAGATGAAAGTAGGCCTTAAGTGACAAGCATGTCACAACAAGGTGAGCTGAGTGTTTTTGATCAATATGATGAGTGATATTAAAAAAACTAATCGTAGCAGTGTAACAGTTGCAGATGCAAATATATTTGGTTCATGCAACAAGCATGACAAGATTTTCCATTTTCATAAGAAAAATTGTCGATACTAAATGAATTTCATAGAATTCAGTCCAGTAATCTTTGACCAACATGGTCTTCTCAGTTTGTCTGGTTTTAAGTCCAGTCTGCACGTGTCTACCAGGGTCTCCAGAGGGCGCTGTTGGTTGGACTCTTCTCTTTGGTCATGCAGGTCTCGACTGTGGAGCTCAGAGGACAAAAGTCATCATGCTGCTGCTGTTTCAGTCGTCTGAGGACACAAACTGTCATCTCCAGGATGTCTGCTTTCTCCAGCTTGGAGTCTGGCTGCTGTTTGAGGAACTCTGGACCCAGGAGAGACTTGAGCTGCTCAATGCTGCTGTTGATTCGCTCTCTGCGAAGCTTCTCCACCAGAGGCTTTCTCAGCTGAAAAAACGAGAAGAAACAAGATCAGTACATTCATTCTGAAACTGATGTTTTGGCAGAATTTAAGATTCGTGAACATCAATCATGTTGAAGTTTTGTTGAGTCTTGAATTTACCTTGTGAGTCAGAGTGAGATGCTCCTGAGAGTTGGTCATTGCTGCAGTGATTGTAGGCGCCATGTCTGGTCTCAGTGTGCTGTAGAGGTCTCTGTAGAGAGAATCTGATCTCTGCTGGCTTCATCCCTCCTATTTATAGTCCCACATCTCCATATGAATGTGTGGGTTTGGGTCTGACTGGAGTTTCTCACAGTCTCAGCCAATCAGAGAGCTTGTTCAGACAATGAGGCATGTGCTGCTTTGTGAGTGGAGTTTATGCCTAGGGGACAATGGTTAGATCTCAGGGGAACAGGTGGAGGACTTGGGGATTAATGGAGAGACCCTCACAGATCTGTGTGTGAATCTGGGAAAGTGTTGACCCTGTAAAGAGAGCAGATCTGCCTCCTGATGCTGAGATCAATGACTTTGACTGAGCACACGCTTATCAACCTGCACACACTTTGGAGATCAACTGGGAGAGACAATCCATTATAGCACTTATAGTCATTTTAAGTGTCAGCTTTTAATTATTTGATTAAAAAATAATTTCCTAAAAAGTCCTCTTGACTTTTAAACAAATTGTTTTGTGTGTATATCACGCACGTTATGACATTGTGTTGTATATTTTTTTAAGCATACTAAATCCTCTTAAGTAGTCATAGTTTTAATGTAGTAATATGACCATGAACAGGATCAGTGTAAAAGATGACCCTTCCAGTTTTGCATGTTTTCAAGTACTTTTAGTTAAACCACTGCTTTTGCAATTGTTATCCACATTTTCTCAACTTAATGTTTATCATAAAGTAAGTAATTAAGTATATGTAGGATAGAAATCAATTTTAAATCTAGGAGGAACTAACTTTTTAAATGCCCATGTAAAACAAAAATATCAAATATTTTTTGTTCAGGCTTTGTTTTGAACTGAAAATTTAGTGTTGGGAATTTTTCAGTACATTTTTAAAAATATTATATCTATACTTATAATCATGCAGGTGTCCAGATGTTGTCCTGCAGACTCCTTTTCATGTGTTCCTTGTTGTCAGTGTGAGTAACAAGTTGAGCCCACTTTCCCACATTTACTCCCTCTATAGTGTAGTCATTGATCCACAAAGGGACGTCAGTGGCAGATGCTGGCTGTGTGTTGTCATAGGAACAGTCTGACATCAGTAACCACCTGGAGGGAAAGCATGCCATTGGCTGGCTGAGACGGTTTGTAATGTATTTTACAGAATCTCCAGTTATGTTTCATTTTTCATACCCATACTTACTATTGAAACATTTTTTTTTACTATTTTAACCTCCACTCATCAACATTTTTTGTTACAAGCTATAAAATGGTGAAGACCAGAGCTACACAGAAGAGCAGGAGGTATGCTCTGAGGCCAGCTGTTTACTGAAGTGTGCCAAATCCCTTTAGAGGATTGTTTTAGTGCTTGTGGGTTGGGAGTCCCTCATACTTAACTGTGCTCTCTAGAGTTTTCCCACACTTACTCTATCAGCAGAAACCAGCCATGTGCTCTGCTTCAGTTAGACCTTTTTGAGGGCTTTTTGCTCTAGCACGAAGAGGCTGTGACTCCCCTCCAAAATATTAATGAGCTATTTTGGTAAAAAAACAGGACATCTGACATGATCCGTTATATAATTAGCAGCATAAGATCTTTTCAAGGTAGACCCTGTCCTTTGGAGTTGTTTTCAGTCCAGGTCTTGATTAAGTTGGCAAGGAAAAAAATCTGCTGACAAGGCAAACTCAATAGGAAGGAGAAGAGTAACAGGAGGACAGAGGAAGGGAAGAAGCAGCAGTAATAGTAATGTGCAAAAGTCCATAGATTTATTTCTTATTTTTATATGTAAATATTTGATATATCTGAAGTTTTATCATATCTTATTCTTAATAAACTGTGCATTGTATTTATTTTTAGATACAATACATTTATGTATTTACAAGTATCTGGTAGTTTTATTTTACACCGAAGGTAATAAGGCGACTCCAGCAAAAGTGAAACACTCACCTGACCAAAACATACGATTGCTAATTTTGATCAGGTGGAATTCAAATCCACTTTTCTTTGACGGGCTCCCTACAGCTGTGCAGAGTTTGAGGTTTTCCGGATTTACAACCTGAAGCAAGTTGATATATTACAATACACTCTGAGACTTTCAAGGTATTTGTCCAACATTGTCTCCAAAAACTGATGACTGACAAAGCCTCTCAAACGGAAGCTGACAAAGTCCAGATCCCTTTGAGAGGAACTGTAGCTAAAATGATAGGATGTTAACCTGAGATGATCTAACTGGAAAGCCTGCTTTCTTCAGGTGTATGGGGGTAAGTAACATCAATATTTCGCTAGCATTTTTCACCTTATTGTTTTTTGTGCTCAGATATTGTCGCCTTACATTTTTTCATAATGTTTTCAGGGTACAATTAAATATTTTAATCTGTCTTGTTGTATTTTCCCAAGTTCATTGGTTCTTCATTAAATATTGTAACTTATTCAGCATAGTTTATTCTATTGGATTTTATGCACAGTATATTTCCTAACCAGTTTTAACTAGCTAGTGGGTTTATGAAATGTAAGCAGTGTCTTAAAATTTCAAATTTTCTTTTCTTAAAAGCTGGACTTAATTTTAAGTAGTAGTACTGACAGGGTATAGTAGATTTCTGTCTTTTTACCAGAAACAGATTTATGATTTTAAGCAGGTTCTGGTTTTGTAAGCTGAGCTCTCATCTAATCTTTGTCTCATCAGGTCAGAGGTCTGGATCTATTGTCCCTCAGGACTCTGTGAGTGAGTCTCCTCTGCTTTCCCACACTCTGTCCTTTCACTGCTTTTACAACGGGAACAATAGGAGTGTGTCGTATAATCCATCTTATTTAACTATAGTGTCAGGTCTCTAGATGGATGTATTCAACTGTAAACATTGCCAGCTTAACCAAAATGTTGAAAAGTTTACATAAAGTCTCTAGAGTGCAAATTTTTCTCTTTTGTTTTGACTACCTGCTTCTTTCCATTTATACTGCTGGCAAAATCTTGTGTAAATACTAGAATAAACCATTAATGTAAAAAATACTGTGTGTATTTTTGATAATTAACAACTATCTGTGCTCACAATTATATCTATCAATAGACTGAGTGTGAAATAAAGAGCAGAAATATATTCATCTCGATAACAATGTGACACAAAAATAACAATGACAAGGAAAATGACAGTTTACAATGTTTAATAATTCAGACACACTGTGCCAAATATGTCTTTCAACAGTGATGACACATCACAAGGACAACAATACTTGTAGATTTCTACAAGACATACTGTACTCAAAGAGAGTAAAGGAACAACAGCCTTTATAAAAGACAATACAAATGGTTTCAAGACACTGGTCTCATTGAGCCATGTGATTCTATAATAAAACACTTAATTTAAGTTAAATATTGATCCTACAACAGATCAGATTTTTAATTATTTATGAACTTAATTATTTAGATAAGAGAAAAGTTTGTGATACTGGCAAAAAGTTTAAAGGGTGTCATCAAACTGTCATTGTCATCATAAATTTAAAACAGATAATTTTTCAATCATTATAAAAAGAAAAGGGTTGAATGTCACTGAAAATATCACTGAAATGGTTCAGACTTTTCACAAATAAGTCTTATTTTTTAAGTGATAAATTCCTCCATATGTTTGTACAGGATGTACACAGAGGAATAAAGTAATCACAACAGAATTGTGATGTAAAGAAAACCTTTAGAAAAAGGTCAAGCATTTGGAATCTTAAAATAGATCCTGTTTGAAAAATCACAGATGAAAAGAATTCATTCATTTTGACAATATGTCACGAAAGAATATGTCTTAGTGTTCAATTAGTATAATCAATAACAATCAACAATCAAAACATAACCAATGAAATCATTGATGAATTGCCTGTATAAAAATTACAGTCAAGTGTAACAGTTGCAAGTGCAACTAGATTTGGATCATGCACCATGCATGAATTGATGCTCTTCCAATGTGAATCATACTCTTGCTTTCATTTTCTCTGCAAGAATTTTCTTTTTGAAAGAAAATATGAATGCACGCTTCTGTAAGAATTAAAGAAGTCTATTGGATTTCATAGAAATCAGTCCAGTAATGTTTGACCAGTGTGATCTCTGTTTGTCGGGAAGTCAGTCCAGTCTGTAGGTGTCTACCACGGCCTCCAGAGGGCGCTGTTGACTGATCTTTTCTCTTTGGTGATGCTGATCTGGACTGTAGAGCCGTCATGTTGCTGCTGTTTTTGCTGTTTCAGTCGTCTGAGGACACAAACTGTCATCTCCAGGATGTCTGCTTTCTCCAGCTTGGAGTCTGGCTGTTGTTTGAGAAACTCTGGACCCAGGAGAGACTTGAGCTGCTCAATGCTGCTGTTGATTCGCTCTCTGCGAAGCTTCTCCACCAGAGGCTTTCTCAGCTGAAAAAACAAGAAGAAACCAGATTAATACATTTATTCTGAAAATGATATTAAGCACAATTTAGGATAAAAAGTCATTAAGAAAACTGAAGTTTTGTTGAGTCTTGAATTTACCTTGTGAGTCAGAGTGAGATGCTCCTGAGAGTTGGTCATTGCTGCAGTGATTGTAGGCGCCATGTCTGGTCTCAGTGTGCTGTAGAGGTCTCTGTAGAGAGAATCTGATCTCTGCTGGCTTCATCCCTCCTATTTATAGTCCCACATCTCCATATGAATGTGTGGGTCTTGGTCAGGAAGAAGATTCTCACAGTCTCAGCCAATCAGAGAGCTTGTTCAGACAATGAGGCATGTGCTGCTTTGTGAATGTTGTTAATAATGCCTGGGGTACAATGGTTAGATCTCAGGGGAACAGGTGGAGGACTTGGGGGTAATGGAGAGACCCTCAGAGGGCTGTGTGTATATCTGGGAAAGTGTTGACCTTGTAGAGAGAGCAGATCTGCTGCTTGATGCTGGGATCAATGACTTTGACTGAGCACACGCTCATCATCTCACTGACAGACACACGGGAGACAGTTTTCTTGACTGGTGAAATGAATTGTTCAACTTATACAAGTTCATTACCAGTGTTGTTGAATCATTTTAGATTCAGATTTTTTATTTATATTGTTTTTGTAGAAAATTATTTTATTACACTACAAAATTTCTCAATTGCCAAACATTTGAGGTATTTGCATTTTCAGCTAATTTATTTCTTTATCAAGTGTTAATTTAATGCTTGGAACTTCTTTTTATCAGGCTTTTAAGAAAAAAAGACTTTGCGGTTCACTTCAAGATTTGAGAAGCAGTTTGATGCCCAATCATAGCATTAAAAAGATATGAGGTAATCAAAATGTTACTTTCCAGATGCAGCACTCATTTGACACGTGCCTTGAAGTCTGCGTGAGTAAAATGTTGAGCCCATTTTCCCACACTGACTCCCTGTATAGTGTAGTCATTGATCCACAAAGGGACGTCTGTGGCAGATGCTGGCTGAGAAGAAACCTAGTCTGACATCACCAACCATCTGGAGGGAAAGTACGCCATTGGCTGTCTCCGCTAGTCTTGACAAATGTGGATTTACAGTCAAAGAATTTTGTGATGAAATGAAAAAAGATTTTTGTTAGATATTTCTAGCAGCCAAAAGTTTCTTATCACTCTCCACTCAAGATATTAACATGTGACACATATCATCCAATGAATCTAAATTTCAGGGTGGGAGGTTTCCTCAGGCGGCAGCTGTTTCACGAAGTGTGCCAAATCCCTTTGGAGAATATGTGGCCGCTGGTGGGATAAATGTCATTCACACTTAACTCTCCTCTCCAGAGCTTTCCCACACTCTCCCCATTAGTGCAAAATAGGCGTGTGACCCTCCTCAGATGGACTTCATCTAAAAAATTATGAAATTTGCTGAAATGATTAAGTCTTATTTTTAATTGACATTGCACAAGTTTTTATTTATGGGAACTCTGTCACAATGCTCATGTCCAAGTAGTTAAGTATTATGTGTGGTTCCACAAGTAATTAAGATCTCTGTGGCTTTAAAATGTTTCATAAAAAAATTGGCTCTTTGCCTTTTGTACGACCAGAAATTTGAGGGAAGAGAGGATAACGTGCACCTAATCATGTAATAAGGACTGTAGCCTCTATACGTGGAGCGCCGAATCCTCCATCTGAGCTGAACTAGCACCTGTTCTTGAGAGTCATAAGAGACTTCCTTTCCTTGAAGTAGGGTGGCTAAAACAACACTGACCCAGAGATAATAGCTTTTACTTAAGATGACGGTAGTATTCTGTAAAGATGGAGTGGTTTTATCAAAGTGATGATCAGATTTATGATGTTAAGCAGGTTCCAGTTTTGTAAGCTGAGCTTCTCTCTAATCTTTGTCTCATCAGGTCAGAGGTCTGGATCTATTGTCCCTCAGGGCTCTGTGAGCGAGTTTCCTCTGCTTTCCCACACTCTCTCCTTTCACTGGAGGAACAATAGAAGTGTGCCGTATTATGCATCTTATTTAACTACAGTAACTACAGTTTCAGGTCTCTTAAAAGAGGGACATGGTCCACAATAAACTTTAATTGACAGCTGAACTAAAATATTGGTGTTGCAAAAATTTCTCTGCAGTTTCGATTCACCTCATTGAATGACGTAACCAACTCCATCAAACAGATTGTTTTACGTGTCTCTAGCTTCATTGCTAATTGGACTACATGACTATGTTTAAAGTTTATGTCAATGTTAAATCATTATTCTTAGAGCAACTAGTCATCTTGATTCTGTTAATCAGTTGGTAAATGAGGTGCCTTTAATTTGAGAGAATACATATAGAACATTGAAGGTGTTTTTTTTTTCATCTTAACCACATCAAGACAAGGACGTTAAAGTTTGAAGAATTTATTCATCAAGACACAATTAACAACAGAACCCAAAAAAGCTCCAGCTAGACATGATGATACATCACAACAATATTTGTAGATTTCTACAAGACACACTGTACTTACAGAGAGTAAAGGAACAACAGTCTTTATGAAAGACATCACAACAAAGTACTCGCTGAAATAACAATAAAAGTTTTTTTTCGAGGTTAATAAAGTTATTCTGAACTGAATAAACCCCTGCAAATATATATGTTGTAAGGTGATATTAAAATATTACCTTGTGGCAGATCAGATATAAAATACTGTCCCTACTAAACGGACAGTGTGACATCAAAATGATAAACACTTTAATCTTAAAACAGATCAGTCTTCAGTGGCTAAAAAGTTGTGGAGAGTCTATGACAGGGAAACACTGATGCAACAAAAAGCATACAGTTATGTTTAAAACATTTAGGTGTCACTTGGGGGTAATGGAGAGACCTTCACAGGGCTGTGTGTGAATCTGGGAAAGTGTTGACCCTGTAGAGAGAGCAGATCTGCTGCTTGATGCTGGGATCACTGACTTTGCACACTTGGTCAGTGTCATTGACTTGGACTGTGGCATCTACATATTAAGTTCCTCGTGCATTGGAGGGAAAATTATTATGATGCCCTGTACTCTTGTAATTGTAAAGAAATTGAGCTAATGTTTTACATTTCATGTTTATTACATTAAATCATAAAATCCCCCAAATTTACATAAAATTTGAAATGACTAAATTGAAGTTTGAATTTACTTACAGTCTTGAACAATTCAGTTTACTTAATTGCATCAATGAAAATATTGATTATAAGTGAGAATTGATCTGTTTCTATTGGGTACATTTTTACCCCTAATTAGTGCACACTAGAAGTAAAATATAGAGTAGTCCTGCTGAAGTCCAGATGAATCCTAACAGAGTCATTTGACACGTGCCTTGTAGTCAGTGTGAGTAACAAGTTGAGCCAACTTTCCCACACTTACTCCCTGTATGGTGTGGTCATTGATCCACAAAAGGACTTCTGTGGCAAATGGTGGTTGTGTGTTGTCATAGGAACACAACCACCATCCGTTCCTATGACACCATACGTGTCATAGGAACGGAGGCTGACATCACCAGCCACCTGGAGGGAAAGCACACCATTGGCTGGCCGGAAAAGTTTCTGGTTTAAATCTGTCACACCTCTTTATACTAGAATTGGTTAAAATCACATTTTGTTTCTTTAAAACTCCTCAGTCATCAATGTTTAACTTTGCAGACTTTTTGAATGCAACAAAAAGCACAACTACATTACCACTGGCCTAGGGTGGGTGGGTTGAGGGGGCTGCTTCCTGAAGTATGCCGAATCCCTTTGGAGAGTTACTTGGCTGCTGGTGGGGTGAATGTAATTCACACTCAACTCTGGCCTCCAGAGCTTTCCTACACTCTGTCCTTGTGATTAAAGGTGGCATGTGCCCTTAGACTTTTTGGCAGTTTGGGACTCTGTGAGAGAGATCTCCTGAAATACCATCTCAAAAAAACAGCAAAAGACCCAGAATTTATTACTAGGCCAAAGGTGATGAATTCAGGATCTCACATGCTAAAAATAAGAAAGTCTTGTGTTTAAGTCAGGGGATAATTTCAAAAGTTAATGGAACCAAAAAAGTTGTGTAGCAACCAACCTAATATTACTGGACAAAAGAATTGCAAGACAAGAGGATTTAAAGCCATCGTGACACCAAACTGACACCTCAGTGGTTTAAAGCTAAATTTGGCAGGAACAGCCTATATGGCCTCTTCTACCCTCAATGGCTGGATGTGCTGCCCTCTGCTGGGCAGAGGGCAGCTATGAACCAACTGGTCCATCTCAAACCTTTACTCTTTTTGATATATAAAATTGGGAAAATCAGAGATGGTTTGAATTTAAAATCACTCAAAAAAGCTTGTGGCATTTAGCTGTTTTTCATTGAGGAAAACCTACAAAATGTCACTTTGTTTTCGCTGATGTTTGTGCTCAATTTAGCTGTGTGAGTGTTGAACAGACAGTTAAGACCAAAAGCCATTTATCACTGTGTGATGCAGCTATTTTCTGTTCATAGCCCAGCAAAGTAAAGATTTGTTTTAGAGACTCAGATCAAAAAACTCAGATATATTTATGTTTGAATAAGCTAACATTTAGCTTGCGTAGTGTAGGAGATGAACAAATGATGTACCACAGATATTGACAAAGGTAAGAAAGAATGATAAATGTACACAATGGTATCAGACCTTCTCTTGAAAAGCCAGGGCTGATATCCAGTGACCCACTTTTGTCTATAATCACTGCTCCCAAAAACTTTTAAAAACAGAGCTGTTGCTTTTTTGGGACTTGCATCTGCAAACCGATATTTGCGAAAGATGTATTGAGTGTTTTAAATTAAAATTCACCTTGTGTACATAAAAAAAAGGATACAAAGATTTTTCTCAACATTGTTTTGATTGTAACCAGAATGAAGATGTAAAGGGCTTAAGTACAGACACAAGATGTGTAAAGTAATTCTTTATTTGGGAGTTTGCTGCTTTTCAACAGTTAGGGTTAGGGTTAGAACACAGTGTTCCTGAAACAGACTTCTCATATGTTGTTTTCAAAGACACACAGTCCAGCCACATAACATAAGAATACTCTAATAATCTTTAAGCTGATTTATATCAGATAAACAAAAACAGCCAGATGCACAATGTGAGCCAAGTTCCAGTTTAAAAAGCTGAGCGCTCTTCTAATCTTCGTCTCTTCAGGTCAAAGGTCTGGCTCTATTGTCCCTCAGGGCTCTGTGAGTGAGTCTCCTCTGCTTTCCCACACTCTGTCCTTTCACGGTTTCACAAGGGGAACAATAGGAGTGTGCCGTATTATGCATCTCATTAGACACCAGGACTGTCCTCTTAAATAGGGTTATCGTTAACTGTAGAGTTTTGACATTAAAACTGAAGGTTGAATTTAATTTAATTGATAGTGCAAAAAGAGAACCATCAAAATTTGTGATGCTATGTTAGGTGGCTAACATTATCATCACAAATACATTCCCATATCCTCAATAATACAGCTCATGGCGTAGTTTACATCTGAACGGCTCTGCTATTAACTTATGTGCTGACTTTTGACATAGATGCCAAACACATGTAATAACAATCATGTAAATATAAAATACATTGATATAGGCTTTCACCATATGAAGAGGGTGACCATGAAACAGTAAGAAGAGTGCACCAAATTCAGCTTGCAGTTTTTATTTATTGATGGCGCACAGTCACAAGAAGTCTAGAGCATAAAAAGAAGTGATGATACATCACAACAACAGCTTGTAGATTTCTACAAGACACACTGTACTCACAGAGAGTAAAGGAACAACAGTCTTTATGAAAGACAAACATTGCACAATATCTGAGGACATAGGTAGTAAGTGTCTCTAAAAGTTAGCAGCATACAGATTAAAAAACTGTACTGTCAGATCAAAACAGTATGAAAAGCTATCTTAAAACAGATCAAATTAGTCTGGATAATCAGTCCGTTCATTTCAATTTTAGAACTGAAAAATTACAAAGTCACAAAAAAGTGACAGTAAATGCACCTTTCACAATAAAAGGTCGCTATAAACTTGAAAACAGATCACTTTTACATTTCCCTTGATAATAATGAAAGTATATTGTTACAATGTAATCATGACATAGACAGCTAAAGCCATTTATCATTTCAGATAAAAAGGGAAGAAATAATTTACCTTCATAATGAAGGAGAAGTAATCAATCTTAATGTATCACAAAAAAACTATGATACTAAGAAACCCTTTAGCAAAGAAAGGATTACGTGTAGATCTTAGAACAGATCAATCATGAGGAATCAGAAACTAAAGTACAGTAAACAGGACATAACATATAGAAACAATGAAACACAAATTTCAATCAGTATGATTAATTCTAAGATTAATTAAAAATCTCAACAGAGATTTGCAAGCTGCACAGAACATGACTGTACAGAAAGATATAGAAATAATTGCTGATGCAATCTGGTCAGGTTCATGCAACATGCATGGAATAATGATGTTTCCTTTTAAAGGTAGAAATTCATTTCCACAGAGAATGTTAGAAAATATCTTCTGTATAAACAGGAGAAAAATGTATGCAATTTCTAAAGTACTCAGCACAGTAATTTTTGACCAATGTGGTCTTCTCAGTTTATCTGGTAGTGAGTCCTGTCTGCAAGTGTCTACCATGGCCTCCAGAGGGCAACAGGTACTGGACTCTTCTCTGTGGTGATGCTGGTCTTGACTGTGGAGCTCAGAGGATAGAGGTCATCATGCTTCTGCTGTTTCTTCTGCTTGAGTTGTCTGAGGACACAAACTGTCATCTCCAGGATGTCTGCTTTCTCCAGCTTGGAGTCTGGCTGCTGTTTGAGGAACTCTGGACCCAGGAGAGACTTGAGCTGCTCAATGCTGCTGTTGATTCGCTCTCTGCGAAGCTTCTCCACCAGAGGCTTTCTCAGCTGAAAAACAAGAAGAAACAAGATCAGTACATTCATTCTGAAACTGATGTTTTGGCACTCATGAGGATAAATGGTCATTAAGAAAATATAAGTTTTGTTGAGTCTTGAATTTACCTTGTGAGTCAGAGTGAGATGCTCCTGAGAGTTGGTCATTGCTGCAGTGATTGTAGGCGCCATGTCTGGTCTCAGTGTGCTGTAGAGGTCTCTGTAGAGAGAATCTGATCTCTGCTGGCTTCATCCCTCCTATTTATAGTCCCACATCTCCATATGAATGTGTGGGTCTTGGTCAGGAAGAAGTTTCTCACAGTCTCAGCCAATCAGAGAGCTTGTTCAGACAATAAGGCATGTGAAGCGACAACACGCTGAACGCCCTTAATGCCTTTGGGACAATGGTTAGACCTCAGGGGAACAGGTGGAAGACTGGAGGGTGATAGAGAGACCCTAACAGGGCTGTGTGTGAATATGGGAAAGTGTTGACCCTGTAGAGAGAGCAGATCTTCCTTCTGATGCTGGGATCAATGACTTTGACTGAGCACACGCTCATCATCTCCTGGCACATGTGGAAGATTTTCATCAGTCTTTATTGAGAGATACCTAGCCCCCACCCTTAAACCTGGAACTACTTTTTACTGGAACTCCAATTTTATTTTATGTATATCTTCTGTTATACATATCTATCTGTTTTTTTTGTTGTTTTTTTTCTTTTTAGAAGGACAGATTTTAAGGTTGTTTTATCAAAAACAGAACAATTATAAGGTTTTGGCGTACTAAAAAAACAAAAATGAGAAGTTAATTACAAGAAAATGTAAATGATAGAATAAATAATTGATGAACAGCTTGACAGGTAAATTTGATATTATTGTCTTTTTGTCCATCTCAGTTTAAAAATTTGGCAAGAACTGTTTTACATTTCCTTAATAGCCTGATACCGCTACATAACATGCAAATAAACTAGAGATGACAGTCATGCTGAAGTCCAGATGGATCCTAACAGAGTCATTTGACACGTGCCTTGTAGTCTGTGTGAGTAACACGTTGAGCCCACTTTCCCACACTTACTCCCTGTATGGTGTGGTCATTGATCCACAAAGGGACTTCTGTGGCAGATGCTGGTTGTTATAGGAACAGGGTCTGACATCATCAACCATCTGGAGGGAAAGCACGCCATTGGCTAGCTCTGTCACACTGCAAAGTTTGAATTTCTGACCAAGTATTTACAGCAAAATTTTACTGAAATGATTTACAATCTTATATTTTCAGTTTAAAGTTAGTGTCAATCATCTTTAACTTTCAGTCATGACCATGGCTCATTATATTAAACATTTAGCTCCTCATATGGGGACAAAGTTGGGTGGTGGTGGTGGTGGTGGTGGGGGGGGGGGGGGGGGGGTCCTGTGTGGCAGCTGTTTCCTGAAGTGTGCCAAATCCCTTAAAAGAATTACCCCACTGCTGGTTGGATTGATGCCATTCAAACCAAACTCTGCTCCTCTGGGTTTCCCACACTTTGGCCATTAGTAGAGAATATGTGCGTACGCCCCTGAAAATAGACCCATTGAAGTGTGTGGTTTTAGCAGGTGAACATTGATCTTTTAAAACCTACTGTCTGATAAAAACATTGACAAGTTATGAATAGATGATACATAAAACACTGAAAATTCAGCTTTATGTTTAAGTTTAAAGAATGAATGTTAGGATGGAAGTTTTTTTCATGAATGAAGCCACAGTGGTGCCAAACAAACACCTTTCACAGTAACAAAAAAAAGTCCTGAGTAAAGTGCATCAAGTGTCGCCTCAACAGCATTTAAAGGCGTTTAGAAACGATCTTCAGGTCCTTAACAGTCAGAAATGAAAAGTCTATCCAGAAGTTTTTGTTTTTTTGCCTTTAGCGCTAATGCAGCAGAGAAGTCTTAGCCAAACTTCATCATGGTTGAAAGTCCAAAATGTATCTGTGTAGCTCTACACTAACGTAAAACCAACAGATCATCTTGGATCCATATTCAGGGAAAGAGTAGCTGTCAAAAAAAGCCAGTATATCACAAATAGTTATCGTGTCCTCCTGTGCTGTACCATTGCAAATATTATTAAATTTTCAGTCTGCAGCCAGCAAACTACTTAAAAAATCTTTACCCTCCATTGTGTTAAAATATGAAGCAGCTTTTAGCTATGAGAGTGGACTTTCTGAATCGACAATGTCAAAATAAAATCAACATCAATGCTGAGTTTGGATGTCGATTAAACAGAAAAATTACATAGTACTGATAGCAGCTCTTATCTAGAACTAATCTCCAAATATTCTGGAAAGTATCAGATCACCCTTACTATTTTATCAAAGTTTCATTTCAAACTGACGGTGTCACTAAAAAGTTTGGTAGTAAGGCAGCTCTAAAATCTGTCTCTTCAGGTCAAAGGTCTGAATCTATTGTCCCTCAGGACTCTGTGAGTGAGTCTCCTCTGCTTTCCCACACTCTGTCCTTTCAATGCTTTCACAGGGGGAACAATAGAAGTGTGCCGTATAATGCATCTCATTAGACACCAGGACTGAACCATTTAAGATGACACCAGGTTAATCATAAACTTTAGAAACATTGAAATCTGAAGGTTTCCCAAAAATTATATAAGAGATAAAGTTTCTTCAAAATCTGCTTTCACTTTTCTCTCAGGTAGGTCCCATAACTACCAAAAATACATTTTCTATCACCAGACTTTTACTCTGAGAAACTTCTTACAGTCACAGAGCATCAGATCAAACATTGTGTAGTGGCCCTTTGAAGCAAAAACTGATGGTAGCTATAATTATCTATGTTTAGAGGTTTCAGTCCATCATTACAAACTTTATACATATAGTTTCACCATCCAGTATTTGTTTGTACTCCTCTCCATTGCACTATTGTTCTCCACACTCTCAGAGTTAAATGCTCAGTGTCAAATGTTGTCCTGTACATATTAGCTCAATATTCACAGAGTTTACTTGTACATATAGACATACCTGGACATTATAGTTGACTTTGACTGTGATTCTGATTTCCTTCATTTGTAAAAATACAGACATTATATTTACAGTTCTTCATTTAAGTCTTACCCATATAAAAAGATTGACATGTTACACAAGGACACACAATCTGTGCTCATATATGATGTAGTAGCAGATAGGGACATTGATGAGACCTGTGATTAAAAACAGATGACATGAGAACTCAAAACTTGCAGTTTACATGTTTTTTTATTACATAAGGACAAGATGAGAAAGATTCAATAAGAGGTGATGATGCATCACAACACTGAGTTATAGATTTCTACAACACACATGTGTACTCACAGAGAGTAAAGGAACGACTGTCTTTATAAAAGACACATGTTTACAGCAACAGAGGGCACAGACTCACTGACTTTTCCTTAAACGGAAAGATACATTTGTTCCTAGTCAACAAGAACAATACTGGAAAAACTGATCATACAATAGATCACATCATCTATAAAATCACTCAATATGAATGACTGTCAAGAAGCAAAAGTTAAAATACTTTCAAAGTTTGACAATGTTGAGGTACAAAACCTCATTATTCTAAAAAAGAAAAGTTTCAAATCTTAAAACATTTTCATTTAAAATCAAATAGTTGTGAAAATAAAAACAAAGTCCAATAAAGGACAGATGTTTGATCAATATGATCAATAACAATCGTGAGTTTGAATGTATTACCACAGCATATAAATCATACACACAGTATATGAATATGGGTAAATGTAAATGTAAATGACATGCTTAGCATGTATCCATGTATGTACAGTACACACTGTATAAATACAAGCTTTATAAGACATAAAGTCATAAAATCAATTGAAGAAACAATCAGGTTAGAATCTAGCAGCAGTGAGACTTAGCGCTCTTTCAAAACTTGAAAGATATTGTTGATGTCATTTCTTCAGAAATGTAAAATAAAAATAAACAAAGCCTTCTGCAAAAGCAGAAGATTGGAGGTATCAGATAAATTTCACAGAATTCAGTCCAGAAATCTTTGACCAATGTGGTCATCTCAGGTTTCTGGTAAAAAGTCCAGTCTTCGGGTGTCTACCACGGCCTCCAGAGGGCGCTGTTGATTGGACTCCTCTCTTTGGTCATGCTGGTCTGGACTGTGTAGCTCAGAGGACACAAATCAGCCTCTCCCAGGTTCTTCTCAGGGGAAGACTGCAGCTTGTTGAAGTGGTTCAGCACTCTCATCTGGGACTTCATGTTGACCTGCTCTCTGGACAGGAAGTGTGTCACTTCTTGGACACACCTGGAGTAGCCTTGATTGACAGCTGCTGAGTCCAGAGCTTGATTCTTCTGCTTGAGTCGTCTGAGGACACAAACTGTCATTTCCAGGATGTCTGCTTTCTCCAGCTTGGAGTCTGGCTGCTGTTTGAGGAACTCTGGACCCAGGAGAGACTTGAGCTGCTCAATGCTGCTGTTGATTCGCTCTCTGCGAAGCTTCTCCACCAGAGGCTTTCTCAGCTGAAAAAACAAGAAGAAACAAGATCAGTACATTCATTCTGAAACTGATGTTTTGGCAGAATTTAAGATTAGTGAGCATCAACCATGTTGAAGTTTTGTTGAGTCTTGAATTTACCTTGTGAGTCAGAGTGAGATGCTCCTGAGAGTTGGTCATTGCTGCAGTGATTGTAGGCGCCATGTCTGGTCTCAGTGTGCTGTAGAGGTCTCTGTAGAGAGAATCTGATCTCTGCTGGCTTCATCCCTCCTTTTTATAGTCCCACATCTCCATATGAATGTGTGGGTCTTGGTCAGGAAGAAGTTTCTCACAGTCTCGGCCAATCAGAGAGCTTGTTCAGACAATAAGGCATGTGGAGCGGCAACACGCTGAATGCTGTTAATGCCTTTGGGACAATGGTTAGACCTCAGGGGAACAGGTGGAGGACTGGAGGGTGATAGAGAGACCCTAACAGGGCTGTTTGTGAATATGGGAAAGTGTTGACCCTGTAGAGAGAGAAGATCTGCCTCCTGATGCTGGGATCAATGACTTTGACTGAGCACACGCTCATCATCTCCTGGCACATGTGGAAGATTTTCATCAGTCTTCATTGAGAAATACTCTGCCTTTTTTTCCCTGGAGCTACTTTTTACTTCAACTCAGATTTTATATTGAATATTTTTTCTGATATTGACAATATTTTTCTATATTTATTTAGGAAATTTTAAAAGCAAAGATTCAAAGTTTGTTTTATCAAAACCAGAAAAATGATGAGTTTTGAGCAAACATTGTAAAACAATGTAAAAGCAATAACTGCTTTATATTTTCTTAATAGCCTGATACCGCTACAAAACATGCAAATAAACTAGAGAGGACAGTCATGCTGAAGTCCAGATTGATCCTAACAGAGTCATTTGACACATGCCTTGTAGTCTGTGTGAGTAACACGTTGAGCCCACTTTCCCACACTTACTCCCTGTATGGTGTGGTCATTGATCCACAAAGGGACTTCTGTGGCAGATGCTGGTTGTTATAGGAACAGGGTCTGACATCATCAACCATCTGGAGGGAAAGCACTCCATTGGCTAGCTCTATCACACTGCAAAGTTTGAATTTCTGACCAAGTATTTACAGAAAAATTTCACTGAAATGATTTACAATCTTGTGTTTTCAGTTTAAAGTTAGTGTCAATCATCTTTAACTTTCAGTCATGACCATGGCTCATTACATTAAACATTTAGCTCCTCATATGGAGACAAAGTTGGGTGGGTGGGGGGGTCCTGTGTGGCAGCTGTTTCCTGAAGTGTGCCAAATCCCTTAAGAGAATTACCCCACTGCTGGTGGGATTGATGCCATTCAAACCAAACTCTGCTCCTCTGGGTTTCCCACACTTTGGCCATTAGTAGAAAATATGTGCGTACGCCCCTGAAAATAGACCCATTGAAGTGTGTGGTTTTAGCAGGTGAACATTGATCTTTTAAAACCTACTGTCTGATAAAAACATTGACGAGTTATGAATAGATGATACATAAAACACTGAAAATTCAGCTTTATGTTTAGGTTTAAAGAATGAATGTTAGGATGGAAGTTTTTTTCATGAATGAAGCCACAGTGGTGCCAAACAAACACCTTTCACAGTAACAAACAAAAAAAAGTCCTGAGTAAAGTGCATCAAGTGTCGCCTCAACAGCATTTAAAGGTGTTTAGAAACGATCTTCAGGTCCTTAACGGTCAGAAATGAAAAGTTTATCCAGAAGTTTTTGTTTTTTTGCCTTTAGCGCTAATGCAGCAGTGAAGCCTTAGCCAAACTTCATCATGGTTGAAAGTCCAAAATGTATCTGTATAGCTCTACACTAACGTAAAACCAACAGATCATCTTGGATCCATATTCAGGGAAAGAGTAGCTGTCAAAAAAAGGCCAGTATATCACAAGTAGTTATCGTGTCCTCATGTGCTGTACCATTGGATATATTATTAAATTTTCAGTCTGCAGCCAGCAAACTACTTGAAAAATTTTTACCCTCCATTGTGTTAAAATATGAAGCAGCTTTTAGCTATGAGAGTGGACTTTCTGAATCGACAATGTCAAAATAAAATCAACATCAATGCTGAGTTTGGATGTCGATTAAACAGAAAAATTACATAGTACTGATAGCAGCTCTTATCTAGAACAATTCTCCAAATATTCTGGAAAGAATCAGATAACCCTTACTATTTTATCAAAGATTCATTTCAAACTGACGGTGTCACTAAAAAGTTTGGTAGTAAGGCAGCTCTAAAATCTGTCTCTTCAGGTCAAAGGTCTGAATCTATTGTCCCTCAGGACTCTGTGAGTGAGTCTCCTCTGCTTTCCCACACTCTGTCCTTTCACTGCTTTCACAGGGGGAACAATAGGAGTGTGCCGTATAATGCATCTCATTAGACACCAGGACTGAACCATTTAAGATGACACCAGGTTAATCATAAACTTTAGAAACATTGAAATCTGAAGGTTTCCCAAAAATTATATAAGAGATAAAGTTTCTTCAAAATCTGCTTTCACTTTTCTCTCAGGTAGGTCCCATAAATACCAAAAATACATTTTCTATCACCAGACTTTTACTCTGAGAAACTTCTTACAGTCACAGAGCATCAGATCAAACATTGTGTTGTGGCCCTTTGAAGCAAAAACTGATGACAACTATAATTATCTATGTTTAGAGGTTTCAGTCCATCATTACAAACTTTATACATGTAGTTTCACCATCCAGTATTTGTTTGTACTCCTGTCCATTGCACTATTGTTCTCCACACTCTTGGAGTTAAATGCTCAGTGTCAAATGTTGTCCTGTACATATTAGCTTAATATTCACAAAGTTTACTTGTACGTATAGACATACCTGGTCATTATAGTTGACTTTGACTGTGATTCTGATTTCCTTCATTTGTAAAAATACAGACATTATATTTACAGTTCTTCATTTAAGTCTCACCCATATAAAAAGATTTACATGTTACACAAGGACACACAATCTGTGCTCATATATGATGTAGTGGCAGATAGGGACATTGATGAGACCTGTGATTAAAAACAGATGACATGAGAACTCAAAACTTGCAGTTTACATGTTTTTTATTACATAAGGACAAGATGAGAAAGATTCAATAAGAGGTGATGATGCATCACAACACTGAGTTATAGATTTCTACAACACACATGTGTACTCACAGAGAGTAAAGGAACGACTGTCTTTATAAAAGACACATGTTTACAGCAACAGAGGGCACAGACTCACTGACTTTTCCTTAAACGGAAAGATACATTTGTTCCTAGTCAACAAGAACAATACTGGAAAAACTGATCATACAATAGATCACATCATCTATAAAATCACTCAATATGAATGACTGTCAAGAAGCAAAAGTTAAAATACTTTCAAAGTTTGACAATGTTGAGGTACAAAACCTCATTATTCTAAAAAAGAAAAGTTTCAAATCTTAAAACATTTTCATTTAAAATCAAATAGTTGTGAAAATAAAAACAAAGTCCAATAAAGGACAGATGTTTGATCAATATGATCAATAACAATCGTGAGTTTGAATGTATTACCACAGCATATATATCATACACACAGTATATGAATATGGGTAAATGTAAATGTAAATGACATGCTTAGCATGTATCCATGTATGTACAGTACACACTGTATAAATACAAGCTTTATAAGACATAAAGTCATAAAATCAATTGAAGAAACAATCAGGTTAGAATCTAGCAGCAGTGAGACTTAGCGCTCTTTCAAAACTTGAAAGATATTGTTGATGTCATTTCTTCAGAAATGTAAAATAAAAATAAACAAAGCCTTCTGCAAAAGCAGAAGATTGGAGGTATCAGATAAATTTCACAGAATTCAGTCCAGAAATCTTTGACCAATGTGGTCATCTCAGGTTTCTGGTAAAAAGTCCAGTCTTCGGGTGTCTACCACGGCCTCCAGAGGGCGCTGTTGATTGGACTCCTCTCTTTGGTCATGCTGGTCTGGACTGTGGAGCTCAGAGGACACAAGTCAGCCTCTCCCAGGTTCTTCTCAGGGGAAGACTGCAGCTTGTTGAAGTGGTTCAGCACTCTCATCTGGGACTTCATGTTGACCTGCTCTCTGGACAGGAAGTGTGTCACCTCTTGGACAGACGTGGAGAAGCCTTGATTGACAGCTGCTGAGTCCAGAGCTTGGTGCTTCTGCTTGAGTCGTCTGAGGACACAAACTGTCATCTCCAGGATGTCTGCTTTCTCCAGCTTGGAGTCTGGCTGCTGTTTGAGGAACTCTGGACCCAGGAGAGACTTGAGCTGCTCAATGCTGCTGTTGAGTCGCTCTCTGCGAAGCTTCTCCACCAGAGGCTTTCTCAGCTGAAAAAACAAGAGGAAACAAGATCAGTACATTCATTCTGAAACTGATGTTTTGGCAGAATTTAAGATTAGTGAGCATCAATCATGTTGAAGTTTTGTTGAGTCTTGAATTTACCTTGTGAGTCAGAGTGAGATGCTCCTGAGAGTTGGTCATTGCTGCAGTGATTGTTGGCGCCATGTCTGGTCTCAGTGTGCTGTAGAGGTCTCTGTAGAGAGAATCTGATCTCTGCTGGCTTCATCCCTCCTATTTATAGTCCCACATCTCCATATGAATGTGTGGGTCTTGGTCAGGAAGAAGGTTCTCACAGTCTCAGCCAATCAGAGAGCTTGTTCAGACAATAAGGCATGTGGAGCGGCAACACGCTGAATGCTGTTAATGCCTTTGGGACAATGGTTAGACCTCAGGGGAACAGGTGGAGGACTAGAGGGTGATAGAGAGACCCTAACAGGGCTGTTTGTGAATATGGGAAAGTGTTGACCCTGTAGAGAGAGAAGATCTGCCTCCTGATGCTGGGATCAATGACTTTGACTGAGCACACGCTCATCATCTCCTGGCACATGTGGAAGATTTTCATCAGAGTCTTTATTGAGAGATACCTAGCCCCCACCCTTAAACCTGGAACTACTTTTTTCTGGAATTTCAATTTTATTTTATGTATATATTTGTTCTGTTATATATATCTATCTGGTTTTCTTTTTTTTCATTTAGAAGGACAGATTTCAAGGTTGTTTTATCAAAAACAGAACAATTATAAGGTTTTGACGTACTTAAAAAAAACAAAGATGAGAAGTTGATTACAAGAAAATGTAAATGATAGAATAA